TATTTTATTCTATTATTTTATTTTTCAACCAAGGTTTTGGTTCAGCGAAGTAGCTAAAAGATTTCATTTGACTGTCACCTTAATTAAAACTTTTAAAGGACTGTATTTAATTAGTATTATAACTTTTCAAATTGATTGATGTTCTGATTTTGATTCCAGTTTCATACATTCTGTCTAATTTGATATCAAGTTTGATTCTAATTTCGAATTGAAATTCCGGTCAAGTCTAAAGTAATTTGAGTAGAATTTGAGTTCGAATATATTTTTATCGAGTTGAGTTTAGCGGGACTTATTTACGGCTTTAGCTCTGGTTTGATATTAAAATTGAGAAGTTTAGCTTGAAACTATCCGGGTTCTGATTCTTATAAAGCTAGGGTAGAAACCAATATTGAAATCTTTTAAATTGGTTCCAGTTCACTTTTGTTTCTGATTCAATAGGATCCTGACCAATTCAAAATCGGTTCAATTGTAGTTTCAAACTGACACCTTGGCCGGGTCTATTTCAGATCAATGGCTTGGACTTATTACCCAACTTGAGGGTATACAAAACATTCGATCGAACCGAACCAACCATTTTGATTTGATTCAGTATGTTTGGTCAAAGGTGATTTAATTTTGTAAGTTTGAATCAACATATTGGTGGTTTGGCTCAGATTGTAGAAACTAGTTGGTCAACTCATGACTGATTCAAAATAATAAAAACTAATAAAAAAAATTTCTTATTCTATTAGATTCGGTTCTGTTCAAATGTCAATTTCAGTTTGATTCAATTCCAGTCAAAAAAGTTATGTTTTTACATTTTTAACCTTGATTTGATTTGATTTGAACCGAACCCACTGTTTGCTTGTCAACTATGTCAGGAAATTACATATTTGGATAAAGTCCAATTGTCTAAAGCTCCTGTAGTCAGTCAAAATACTGGAGCTGGGCTCTAAGCTACAAGTTTGGATATGTACCTGACCCAATCCAGATAATATAGAAATTTGAACAGGTTAGTTAATCATTATACCCATTTGGATAATTGGGTTGGACATAGACATTTGGGTTCCAACTTCAGTAAAAATAAAAGATTTTGGGGTTGTACTTTGAAGCTGCCTGTAAACCAATCCACATGTACAATCTCAAAAACATAAAATTCAATGTGTTTCATAATTAATCCTAATTATTGTGTAGAAAACCATATATTATATATAGATAAAAATATAATATTGTGCAGAAAACAATAATTAATTGAAATTAATTAAGAAAAATTAGAAGAGAAACAAAATCTTAGTATAAGTTCTTTTTAATGTGAAGAGAAAGACTAATCCTAGATTATTGGAGACAGTTAATTAGTGGGTTGTCCAGTTTGTCGTTTAGCCTTTAATTATTAATTTTCTAAAATAAGTGAGGAAAGTAAAGATCCAAGCTGGCCAACCATATGTCTGTTGATTACTGGGGAAACAAAAAAAGGAATTCCAGGTCATCATTGTTGATTTTGATTTAATAGACATACAAAAGACTAACGCAATTGCTGAAAGGGCAAAAAAAATCATTACATTTTATGATTGCGAAGGAGATTAAATTTTGAAATCATATAACTTGTTAACAGGTAGATACTTGCATTTAATCATTTAAGCTTAAAAGACAAAAAAAAAAAAAAAAAAAAAATCCTAAACGCAATTGCTGAAAAGGGCAAAAAAAATCATTAACATTTTATGATTGCGAAGGAGATTAAATTTTGAAATCATTATAACTTGGTTAACAGGTAGATACTTGCATTTTTAATCATTTAGAGCTTAAAAGACAAAAAAAAAAAAAAAAAAAAGAATAATAATTATTTAATGCTGTGTTTATGTTATAAAAAAAAAAAAAAAAAAAAAAACTAATAATTATTTAATGTGTGTTATGTATAGATGATGCATTTGAAGACAAGGAAGAGAAGTAGTAGTAGAACAGTACTTGAAGGAAACAAAAACATAGTTGATCAAGCAAGCAAAGAACAATTAATATATTGTTTTGATTATGTTAAATTCACCAACCAAATCCACTTTTGGAATAAGTAGTTCGATATTCTTTTCCCTTAAAGATCTGTTTGGTAAATTAGTTGTTTTGATAAATGGTAGTTATTTTAGTGGCATTTAACTATTAGATGTTTGAGTAGCTTTCCATGAAACGTTATATGAGTTAATTTTTTATACGACGCTACCTTAACCTTTAAAAATTAGTTCAAATGTTATATTATCAAAGACTATAAAAAATAACACTTAGTCAAAATGCTAAAAACTAATTAAAAAGCTGTTGTCAAACACAACTAAGTAAGGTCGAGGACTTAATCCTCACATATGGAATAAATACTCGTTAGGAGTGTTTTACTCTTTAATGGACCGACTCGGTACAAGCAGAATTTAGTCATGGCCAATGAGTCGAGAATACACGTTTCACCAACCAAATCCACAACAAATAGTGAAAGAAAAATCATTAGAACATTGATGATGCTTTACTTATTTGGGTACCCAACTAGCTAGAGGTGATGCTGGCATTAGCATATATTGCCTCTTACGTGCCTCTCACAAAGACCCCAAATAATTCTCTACTCCAAGAATCTCCATATCCTTAATACATTCTTTTCTAATTAAGTTCATGAAACATATACTATACCTTAACTTGTATGGCCACCGTCCTATCTTTTCTTTATTCATTTCTTTGCAGCCGTATGATGTCTTCTTATATTGTATGAATCTAAAATATATAGGATGAACGTTCCACGCAACCTCTCTCAATTAAACAAATAAATAGAAAGTTTCTTTACCTTTTCTTTTAAAGATTTAATTTACCATTGCATTTACTTCTTTGACTCCCTTTGAACTCAGTTGAATAATTGATGTTAATATTTGACCTCGAGGGTTCGATTTTTATAGATCGAGTAAATACTCTTTAGAAGCACTTTACTCTTTAGTGGGTCAATTCAATACAAGTAAAATTTAATTCTAATTCAGTGGGCTGAGATATCTGTAGTTAAGAAAGAAAAAAATTTGACCGATCAGCCAGTTTTAAATGTATCACAAGAAAGCAAAATCATATGGATGTGTTATAATCATTTTTTACTTCAAAAATAGAATAATATGTCCACCTATTATGTCCTAAAGACGACACCAATATACATACATGGCTACATTTTTTTTATGATTATTTATACGATCATGGGAACATGAACCACACATAATCATTACTAAAATCATACTGCAAAAAACGTTTTTTTTTTTTTTAAATAAGTCTTTCGTTGAGACAATGAATTGGCTTGCATGCATTTATAAATATGCCGGCTCAATGTTTTTATATCTATTGATTTATCTACGTATTTATCGGTTTTCTTTCCTTTGTATAGAGTAAAAATTAAACATAGATGGGTAATTTACTGGCAATTGTGCCTATGTCTGGACTATTTCAATTACAACTGTAATGTAGATGAGAGAATAAGAAAAAAAGAAGGAACTTTGAAGGTGTCATAATTTCATGCCTCCTTTTTAGTGATTACAAACCCTAATGATTGGTAAAGCATAGTATAAGCTAATGATCAAATAATTGGTTCATAGAAAGTCGGCGTGATTTTTGGGTCATTGTCTTTAATTTCCAATAAGGTAATTAGTGCACTATGTGAATGTGAACTTGTTGTGGGTCAACTCTCTTATTATTTAATTTAGTGTCTAATGCCATATTAGTCCATAATTCCTAGCAATCAACTAAAATCACATGCTTAATGGTCTTCCAAGAAACACCCACTTATAAAAAACATCAAATCTTTATTAAAAGATTCTAAAAATTTAGTAGTCATGCTAGACATTTTTTTTTTCTTTTCAAGAAACACGCAATTATAAAAACCAGAATTATATTTTGGATTACACAACAGGGGTGTCCTCCATTTCGAATAATATTTACCAAATTACTTATAACTTTTATGGTGAAGATGTGACTTAAAATCGAGATATTTCACTCCTCACATTTTCTACGAGAGGTAAAAAGACTAATCAGACAACACTTTTTTTTTTTTTGACATTGAAATATTGGGCATTTTATTATTTATTTTTTTTTGACAGATTGGAAATATTGGGCCATTTTTATTTTTTTTTTTTTTGACATTGAAATATTGGGCATTTTATTATTTAGAGGAAAAAACGAGCAATACAAGTGGGAACAATATCCCAAGTTTGAAAACAAGCCTCACGAGGAACTGATTTAGCCAATACATGAGCTACATCATTAGTTTGTTTTCTTATCCAAGCCAAGGTGACATTAGGCAATTGGACTAATAGTAGCTTACATTCAAAAATAACAACTCCAAACTCGGACCAGTCTTGGACAAAATTTCTCATAACACAGTAAACCTGGAGACGATCAGTCTCAATCAGACCACACTTGATTGACATACTAAACATTTCTTTACATACAGAACCTTGCCTATGCTACTTTAGTAACATCATGCATGGATGAATCATGAATAAAGACCGGAAGGATAATCTTCAAGAACATCTAGTCCAAGGGAAGTTGATTCAACATAATAAGCAAGTCAATCCGCGCAACAGTTACCTTCTCGATAAACATGTTATTTACATTCTAGAAACCCTTATTTCTCACTATTAAGTGAGAAAACCGAGAGAATTTATTAGGAGTAAAAGAGATATTACTACTTTACTTCAAATATGCTAATTTAACCCATGTATTAAATGACATTCGAATGGATTATAGTAAATAAATACATTTGTAACAACCAAAAACTATAAGTTAATTAATTACTAGAAAAAAACCAACACTAGTTATATTAATTAAAGTTTAATTGAAATGGTTAAGTTACAATTAGACATTAGGTCAAAATGTGTAGTATAGAAAGTGTAACAAGCAAATAAAAAGAAACAACAAAGACTAGTAACAGAATTAAACATAAGCAAAAATAAATAAAATAAAATAAAAAGGAGTAAAAAAAGGGGAGAAAGCGCAAATTATGTGGTTCCAGGCTTGCAAACCAATCCTCCAGAAAGGAATCGTTTAGAAAAAGTAATGGGTTTGCTTCAAAGCCAACCGAATCTCACTCCTTTCCTCGCCTTCTCATTCTTCCCATTGCATCTTCCTTTATATCCACCTCCTTCTTTCTCAATGTATATATATACACACTCTTTAGCAAACTTCCAAGATTGGAAAATCAAGAGCTGCCTGTACCAAGAAAATCCACGGTTACTTTTGAAAGATAACTCTATACCTATACCTTTTCTTGATTTCTTTCTTTTCTTTCTTTAATAAATGGTTATCGAAGCTCAAGAATTAGCGATGGGGTCTACAGAAATAATCACCAAAGGAAAACGAACTAAGCGACAAAGGGCAGTGTCACCGCTCCGGTTAGCTGTGACTTCTAGCTCATCGTCTAGTGGTGGAGCTGCGCCAAATGAAATAATTGAGAGCAACACGTCATTATCTTCTTCAACTCCAGCCACCTCGATAGAATTTTCCGGCGGCAGAGGAGGAGGAGAAGAAGAAGAAGATATGGCGAATTGTTTGATTCTTTTGGCTCAAGGTACTCAAAAAAATTTACCTAAACTTCCTGCCTCTTCTTATTCTTCTCCTAAGGCTTATGTTTATGAGTGCAAGACTTGCAACCGTTGCTTTCCATCGTTTCAAGCACTTGGCGGCCATAGAGCAAGTCATAAAAAACCTAACACCAGTAAAAATAGCAATGAAGAAAAGAAAGTATTTCTTGAAGAAGATGATGATCAAGTAGCGCTTTCATTGCAAATAGTACCAAACAGAAGTTTGTTTGCTAGTAGTAATAGCAATATTAACGTAAAATCGAATAAAGTTCATGAATGTTCTATATGCGGCGCTGAGTTTTCCTCCGGTCAGGCTTTAGGCGGTCATATGAGGCGGCACAGGGCAGCGTTTGCTAGTAATACTAATTCAAATTCGATGAAGATGAGTATGAGTTTGGGAACTGAGTTGCAAGAAGCTAAAAAGCCAAGAAATAGTTTACAGTTAGACCTAAATCTTCCTGCGCCAGAAGATGATATTAGAGAATCAAAATTTCACTTTGCTTCAAAAGAACAAGTTCTTGTATTCTCTTCTTCTTCTTTGGTTGATTGTCATTACTGATCATACAGCACCAACTCTCGTTTTCCTTTTGTGGAATTATTTTACTCAATGTTAATTAATCATCAACTTCATTGATCACTAATATAATTCATGTATAATTGTTCATTCTTTCAATTAATTTGTTGATTGAAATTGAATTAATTTTTTTTCTACTATTTTTAAAGTTAATTACGATTCCAGAATTGCCCGAATTTATATTTGTTTTTGGGTTAAATAAAAGTTCAATTTGATTACTAAATTATCGTATTTTTTGGATTTGAGTGAGAGGAACATGCAGAAGAAGCAAAAGAATTGGATGAGTTAGGCAGCATGAAAGCCACAACCGAAAGTGGTGGATTAGGTTGTTTCTTGTTTCATGTGTAAATTGCAAGAAAGCTAAAAAAAGCTCCCATTTTGTCAGTCTGTTTCATTAATGTGACAAATGGAAATAAATGAATAAACGGATGAAAGCAAATTAGGGTAACTGTTGTCTTCTTTTATGCATCCACTTGGACTCATTTACTCACCGTGTTATACCATATACACGCATATGTATGCCTTTAAATAATAGATAAATCATCCATTAACTACCGCTGTTTTGATCGGTGATTAGTATGGTAAGTAACTTCATTTATTCGGAGTGCACTTTGAACCTAAAATTTTCGAAAAGTGCATTTTGGTGAGTTGGTTTACCACACTCATAGTGAGTTAGCCTAATCATAATTAAGGCAAAGTAGTTAAAATTAATTAAGAAACACCAAATGAGATTATGAAAAGAATGCAAAGTGAAGTGAGATTCATGTGTTCAAAGCACATATGCATTAATTCGATTAGGGTAAATAACTCGTGTTTGGTCCATTCCAGCATATCCAACTTGAGTAATATGGGTACGTACCTGAAATTCCAAAGTGTAAAGTCTAAGCAGCTTTTACATGCCAACGAAGCACATTAATTTATATGATCTTATGGACATATATCCTAAACGGTCTGAACAAACGTGTGTTGTCATAAAGTAAAATATAACGCCACCATTCATGGGTTGATGTTAAGAGAGAGGACAAGAAGATAAGGCAACTTATACCTAAGTTTTCTCTTTTGTTTTGTCCCTCACTTTCTTTGCATTAAGTTACGGAGAAACAGATAGACAATAAAGGAGGAAATCATGTTATTATTATTATTATTATTATTATTTATTTTTTTGTGTGTTGGGTATGTTAATATTAAGTGAGTGTTGAAAAGCCACGTGTGTCACCTCTTTTATTTTATTTTATTTTTTTAAAGCCATACCCACATACATTAATTATTGGATCACTACCAAGTATATTTCTATTCACCTCTATTTCTTGATTTTTAAAAATTTTTTATTATCTTATATCCTTATATTTTAAAAAAAATCTCAAAAAATTTCTTATTATTTTTATTTAATCAAAATAAACAATAAAATAATGAAAGGAATCGAAATAAAGAAAGAAATTAATGTATTTAAAGAAATGAATAAAGTTAAAGAATAGAGCAAAATATATCTATTTTGATTTTTGATGTCTTGGTAAGAAATCCCAGCCAATTGCATCTAATTATAAAAAAATTTTTAATTTTGAAAATAACGTTGAGACTCTGAAACAGAAAATTTAACAAAATTCAAATACTAACTCATAATTATTTTTTTAAAAATGATCTAACATTGAAGTGAAAGCATCTCAATTTATTTATTTTTATAATTTTGATAAATAAATTCATATTTTTCATACATTGAGAATAAAAAAATACAAATTTCAAACTCAAATTAAAAAACTTTTCACGTCTATGAACAACAGAATCTTAATTTGTGGCCAAAAAAAAAAAAAAAAAATCTCAATTTAATTTATTTTTAATAATTTTGATTAATTAAATTCAATATTTTATCCATACATTGAAAATATAAAAAATATCAAACTCAAATTAAAAAATCTTTTCCACAGTCCTATGTACAACAGAATCTAATTTGTGGCCAAAACAAAAAAAAAAAAAGTTTCAGAAAATTGGGTCCATTACACAAGGGGAGAAAGCCAAAGATGAAACGAAGGATAGAGTAGACCTCAACAACACCTAGAGAGCCCAAACCCAAGGCCCAGTAGAAAGGCAATCACACAAGCAAAAGCCCATAATTCTAAATAGTATCCAGTCTAGCCATGGTAAAGGAAATTGTTATTGTCACTGTATGGGCGGTTCGGTTTCAGGGGCGGTTAAAAAAAAAAAAAAAAAAAGTTTCAGAAAATTGTGGTTCCATTACACAAGGGGCAGAAAGCCCAAAGATTGAACGAAGGATAGAGTAGACCTCAACAAACATAGAGAGCCCAAACCCAAGGCCCAGTAGAAAGCAATTACACAGCAAAGCCCATAATTCTAATAGTATCAGTCTACCATGTAAAGGAAAATTTTATTTCACTGTATCGGGCGGTTCGGTTCGGGCGGTTCGGTTCAGCCTTTTTCCTATTTTTTGTAATAATTTAAATATCAATAAAAAATAATAAAAAGAAATCTCGTAACGAGTACAGAATCTAATGGATTCAAGTTCAACTCGTATAAAATGCCAAAGCCTGCTTTGAGTACATCGCTAAACAAAACGAAGTTGAAGTACGCTGCACTACAGAACGAAGGTCGCTGACATGGCGGTGCATCGCGATGGTTTGATAGACGAGGAAGAGAACGAAGAAGACAATGCTCTTTTTTCAGAGGATGGTTTGACCGACCTCGATTCTGATACTCCACCTCATCTCCGGGACATTGCCGTCGCCGCTCAGGTCGGCGATGTCGACGCCCTTCGCCGAGCTCTGGGTCAGTAACACTACTCTTCTCTTTTATGACTATTAATTTTACATGGCTTTTGTTTTCTTTTAGTTTGATATTTGTGCTTTTAGTCTGTTCAAATTGAAACCCTAGGTTTTATAACAATAGGGGCGACCGAGTGCACGAAGCATCCCAAGCCTTCCCCTATTCTTTTTGTAGAGAGTCTGTTTCCGTTAGATTATTTGAATTGGGGTTATTTGTATGTTATTTGAGAGATTTATTAATTTGTATACTGTTCCAATTTTTGAGAGCAACTGGATATGTTTTTCAAGGCGGTTCCTCTTTGTTTTTCTCTATTGTGCTCGCGATTAGGTTAACGGGCACTAGAATTTGTGTCCATTGATTAGGAGTTTGTTTGTGCTGATTATTATTAGATAGTTAACCTATTAAAACATGTAATGTAATAAGTTAATGCTTACCTATGGCAATAGTAACGTTTGATTGTACTAGATGCGTACACTGTACAGAAAAAATTGAAGCTTTATAGTGAGTTTTTGGAATGTTAATATTAAGGAGAGTGGGTTTGAACACGGCCTATTGTAAGAATTCAGCTGTTGCTTTGTCCTTTTACAGGGGTCAAAGATCGTAAATCCTATGATCCCTTTTCCTGGCTTCCTATGTGACTCTGCTGTTTTATCAAAGGCCAAATACATGTTCTAGAATTTAGAAGAAACAAATTATGCACTGAGTTTATAAAAATCTATAGGGTACATGCAGACATGCTGAAGAGTAATATTGTTTTTTGTCCTCTTCCCTATAACTCACTTTATTTATTTGGATTGTAACTTGTTGAATGGGAATGGTATAGGATTCAATTGAATGTTTCTGAATAAATTTTACCTGCCCATCATCATTTTATTTTTGTTAGTTATAAACATGAAACTCATTTTGCCAGACTGAGGAAAGATAAAACTCTTTGGAAATAAATGTTTTATAAGCAGCTGCTAGTATGGTTTATCATTGTGGGAATTTTAATGCCCACTTGGAGTAGTTGTTGGTGGTGATGGTGGGTGGGTGGGGGTGTGTGTGTCTGTCTGATGCTTTTCTTTCTGGTGTAGATAATTTGAATGGAAGCATTGACGAGGCAGTAGAGGATGGGGACACAGCACTTCATCTGGTCTGTCTCTATGGTTATTTACCCTGTGTCCAGGTATTGCCTCGTGTTATTCTTCTATTATTGCTGTTGGTATTGTACTGCTTTGTTATATTAAAGAACAATGTAACACGTACACAATCTTTTCAATCTAGCTACTCGTGGAAAGGGGAGCAAATTTGGAGGTTAAGGATGAAGATGGGGCAATTCCTTTGCATGATGCTTGTGCAGGGGGTAAGCAACAGTGGTTGATTCTTAGCATCTTGTTCAAAATTGCCTGTGGAATATATGATTGGATTTAATTTTTCAATTTTTTCTTCCTACTGCAGGTTTTCTAGAGATAGTCCAGTTGCTGCTGAATAGTGCCAATAGCACAGAGACTGTCAGAAGAATGTTAGAAACAGTTGATGCTGAGGGTGATACTGTGAGTATTCACCAAAACTGAATGGTTTTTGTGTTTCAAGGGAGAGGGTGCCGAGGAGGGGGTGTTTCATTATAGATCAAACTAAACCATTAGTTGGAAGAGAGAGAGACAGAGGGATGTAAGAAAAAAGGTGCAAAAAAATATCAGCTAATTCTGGTTTTGGTTGATTCTTGTTAAATATTCCAGTCTGATGCTGGGTTGATTAGTTAACCTTTTTTTTTTTCGCTTTTTTGATATGAAGTTAGGGCACAGGCTAAGACAGTTGAGAATGACCGTTCAGTGGACAGTAGGTGGACTTAAGTAGTTTCTTCTTTTTTCTTTGGTCCTCTACTCATGAGATAACTTTGTTTGCTTTGGCAGCCTCTTCACCATGCAGCAAGAGGTGAACACGTGGATGTTATAAGATTACTTCTGGCTTCTGGAGCTTCTGTGACAACAACAAACCTATACGGAAAGGTAAGCATCAAATTGATTGTTTTGGCAATTTTGTTCCTATGTCACCTTTGTTACTGATTAGTTAATTTTTGGCAGAACCCAAGTGAGCTACCAGATCCAGACACAGACGCAAGGAGAATTTTGGAATCTGCTGCTAGGTCTGTTCTATCCCAGTAGGTTATAACTTGGGCGCATTCCCCTCTACGGTGGACATGCTTCACCTTAAGAGTGAGACTTCTTGTGGTGATCAGCACCCTTGGATACTTTTAGTAGATTGCTCTTTTTAAGCCGATGGTTTTATTGGCTTCTCTTGTAGAGTTAGGCAACACCATAAAAATGTTTAAGATGTTATTCTACCATTTTTAGAATATGAAAATTTTTTTTCAGTTAAAAAGAATTTTTCTTTCGTATTGCATATTATGAAAGGCTAATGGATTTACATGAGCTATAATATTACTATACATTGATTAACCCAAGGCGACTTGATGATAATGGTAGCAGTTAAAACACATCAGAAACAAATGTACTTGATGTATTTAAGTGAAAGAACGTGACTGCACACACTGCCTATGGTTCTATGCTTAGGTTTCTGGATATTGACAAATTTATTATAACCTTTACCATTATTGAAAAATAAGTTATTTTTTCTGGAACAAATGGAGCTTTATAACTTTGCAGTCTCTACTTTGTTTTATTGATGTGTAGTTGTAGTACTTTCATTTATGTGTTATTTGCATCCCTTAAAAGCAGCATCTACGACCTCGACCTTCACCCCCACCCGGTGGTCCTGTGTATGGTGCTGGATTATTTGGTGGTTTGTTAATGTCTACTTTTGGTTCTGTTGGTTTCTGTTTCGGTTCCTCCTGCCGTTTCGTCTCTAATTCCTCCAGAATCTACAAGACAAATTGTAGAAATATCAGAACCTCTTTTATTTATATATAACTCTGTTTTGGCCGTCTCATGAAATGAACTACCTTGAGTGCCAAATCTTCAAAGCATTTCTCCACATTTTCTCTAGTTTTAGCACTTGTTTCTAGAAACAAAAATCCATTCTGTTTTGCTAGTTCCATACCTTCTTCCCTGCTGACAACCCTTTCAGACACCTGAAATCATATAACATTTACCCTCTTGGTAAATTTAGGTATTTACCCGGTCCTGCTTTAAATTATTTATCTTTCCTCTTGAGAAAACTAAACAAGAAATCAAAATAACGAAGAACTTACTCTGTCCACCTTGTTTCCGACAAGCATCTTGATGCAGTTCTTGTTTGTGGAGTAGAGTTCGACTTCTTTAATCCACGGGTTTGCCAAATTGGTAAAGGTTTCTTTCTGTGTCACATCATAAACTGTAAATTTATAATAACAGAAACTTAATTAGAAATAGTAGAACCCAAATACAACCATTTTTGCAAGAAATTTGTACTATAAAGTAGCATACCAAGAATAATCCCATTAGCATCTTTATAGTAAGAACCTATTAATGTTCTGAATCTCTCCTGTCCAGCTGCAACAATAATATTAACATTAATCTTGATTTTGCAAATCCTTAAAACTAAGTTATCTTCTTGATTAACTAATTAATGTAGCAAACTAGCCAGTGCGAATGTAAATATACGAACCAGTGTCCCAAACTACAAGCTTCAGTCGCTTCCCGCCCACTGTTATCTGCTTGATCATAATATCCATACCTTGAAGCAAAATTAAAATAATCCCAATGACTATACATTTTATATTATCGTGTAGTAATGAAATGCGATATGCATGATCACAGGCTACTGTTCAATGATCGAGTTCATGTCTGTTCGGAGAAAAAGATTAAAGATCAATTACTAACAGTATCTTTTTTTTATATATAAATATTTAATTTTCTAGCATGAAGAAGATTGAAGTGGGTGAAAAAAAAAAGAGTGAAAAAGATTGAAGTGGGTAAATATTTAATTACCAGCTGTGTCAGAAAGATCTGTAAGAGCACCAGTAACAAAACTGACAAGAAGACTGCTTTTGCCAACACCAGAATCACCTACCATCACAATCTTGAACGAGTGATCATTTTCAGGTGATCCCATTTTCAAAATACCTTTACTCTTAACACAAAACTTGCATCTTATTGTGTTTGTGTATATAAAGTGATAAAGAGGAGAACAACTAATAAGAAGCAACGGTAAAAAAGTATTTATGCTGTTTTTAGTGTAGAAGCTAAAGGAAGAACCATCCTACGCCCTTGTTCTCCACTTCTCTATGCGTTTTTACTGTATTAGATTCTTATTTATAATAGTAATTAAGATGCTAAGCCGTTCTTGTGGAAATTTAATATTCTTTTCTTAAATTCTAAGTTCGTTTTAAATTATGAGTTCTGGATTATTATAGAAATAATCATCAGCTAATTAGGTGTGGTTGATTAGTCTTTCTATCTCTCCTAGAAAATACAAGGAGTAAGAAGTCTCGAGTTTGAATCCTTTCGCATTTATTAGTGTTTTTTATCTAGAAAAGTGTGTTTTAATTTTTTAATAATTAAAGCACGGAAGATTAGTTTCAAATTAAAAATTGCAAAAAAAATTAAGATAAGTCCATTTATTTCTAAAAAATTACATTTATTTTTATGTTATTTACATGTTAAAATTTATAATATATAAGAATAAAAAAATATTAAAATAAAAATTTCATATTTTAAATAATAGAAAAAAAAATTCATATTTCATATTTCATATTCACATGATGAGACAATAAGCCAAAGTGCTCACATTATGAAAGGCAAATAGATTTACATGAACTTAAGTCTATACTTTGTCTCTACTTTCTTTTATTGATATATACTTTCTGCTTGTATATATATATGTTTAAGGGCCTCCATTTGCAGCCCTTAACTGCAACAACCACCACCTCCACCTCCGCCTGGTGGTCCTGTGTATGGTGCTGGATTATCTGGTGGTTTCTGTGTTGGTTTATTAATATCCACCACCGCTTTTGCTTCTTCTGGTTTCTGCTTCAGTTCCTCCTGCCGTTTCTTCTCTAATTCCTCCAGCATCTACAACACAAATTATAGAAACATCAGAATCTCTTCCATTTATGTATTAATCTGTTCTTGTTTGGGTACCTTGAGTGCCAGATCTTCAAAGCATTTCTCCACATTTTCTCTAGTTTTAGCACTTGTTTCCAGAAACAAAAATCCATTCTGTTTTGCTAGCTCCATACCTTCTTCCCTACTGACAACCCTCTCAGACTCCTGAAATCATACACATTTTTACCCTTTTAGTTTATTAATCCTGCATTAAATTTTTTATCTTTGCTGTTGAGAAAACTAAACAAGAAACTAAAAGAATGATGGAATGGAAAAAACTTACTCTATCCACTTTGTTTCCAGCAAGTATCTTAACACAGTCCTTATTTGTGGAGTACACTTCAACTTCTTTAATCCACAAGTTTGCCAAATTGGTAAAGGTTTGTCTTTGTGTCACATCATAAACTGTAATGTGCAACAACAGAGACTTAACTGTAGTCAAACTTGTGCTAAAAAGAATTTATAGTAGAAAAATCAGATTCTAAGAAGAGAAACAGCTGCCTGCAATTTCATCAACTTTTTTACAAAGTTGTAGCAAAAGATATACTGTTTCTTGGCATTAGTATGGATATATCCATGAACAGAACATAACGAAAACAGAGGATTCAGATTCTAATGTATAGTTATTGTATAAAAAATTAATGGTTCTTTGTTACTGCAGAGTTTAGAAGAATAAAAGAAGGCACCACCTTTCCCTATTTTTCTAAAAGGCTTTGATGCTAAGATCATTATTGCTGTAAAATAAAAGGGGAATCTTGCATGAACCATCATCCATATATCTCAATATTGTGATTATTGTGTTACCTCAAAATATATATAGATATTAATATATTATATGTTACACAGAAACGGAAACGGAAACGATGAAAGATGGAAACCCCGAAGTAATATGGGAAATGACATTTAAAATATAATTTTACATAGGGAAACAATATTTTATACAGGAATTGGGATATTGGAAAACATTTCAGAAACGAAGAAACGCCCATGACTAAGAGTTTTCGTGCATCCTATATCATAATGCTAAAAACTAGGCAGCGAATCATGTACTATTATTTTTTTTTATTGTAAGGATGATTGAAAGATGTGGATATGAAATTAGATGTAATCTAGTTAATCTCAAAATTAATACGAGAATGGAGTGAAGAGTTCACTCAAATTCAAGTATCTCATGGATTAAATTTGTAACATTTAACCGAAACATACCAAGAATGATCCCATGAGCATCTCTATAGTAACCACTTGTTATTGTTCTGAATCTTTCCTGTCCAGCTGCAACAAAATCATTAAACACTAATCATGCATAGATTTTCAAATTCATAAGACTTAATCTACTTCATTTTAACTAATTAACATAGCAAACCAGTGTCCCAAATTTGAAGCTTCAATTTCTTCCCACCCACTGTTATCTGCTTGATCTTGATATCCATACCTTGAAGCAAAAACAAAACACACAAAGGAATAATTTCAATGACAATATATAGTATATATTATTCACGGCCTAATATTCAGTGATCGAGTGTCTGTCTATTCTGAAAAAGATTAAAGGTTAATTACCAACCAAAACTCTTTTTCTAAATGAATATTTCCCAAGAAAGTATATGTTTCTGCAAGTGCAGATAATTTCTAGCATGAAGAAGATTGAAGTGGGTGAAAAAAAGAGTACCAAGTGTGTTGGGAAGATCGGTAACGACACCGGTAATAAAACTGACAAGAAGACTGCTCTTGCCAACACCAGAATCACCTATCATCACAATCTTGAATGAGTGATCATACTCTCTGCCTTGTCCTGAAGGTGTTCCCATTTTTGTAAATATCTTTACTCTTAACACAAAATTGTATCTTTTTGTGTTTGTATATATGGAGTAATAAAGAGGAGAACAAATAACATAGAGCATATATACGTATGGTATTTATGCTGTTCTTGAGATAGAAGCTAAAGAACTCCGACCTCGTTCTCTGCTTTTCTTTTGTGTGCGTCTTTCTACATTAGATTCTTACAGTTTAGATGCGATGCTTTTCTTTTGGAAAATGTCGTTTCTGATATTCTTTTCTCTCAAGGTTTCTGAGATGAGTATAAATAATGATATATATGAAAAGTATATATGTAGATCAATTTTAGTTGTTTCTCTCTAATTTTATATTTGCAAACTTCAAAATCCTGAATATTAGCTTAACAAAAATTTTGATGTAATTCAAAGTATTCTTTATGAAGGAAAGAGTGTTTTTAGTGTTGTAATAATGGAAGTTCATATGATTAATTTTAAATAATTTTCAACATCTTATATATTTTTTGTTGTTGGATTGTAATATTAAAAATCAGTTAAAAATAATAATTTATAAGATTGTCACAATATTTTGATACGTGCAGATAATTATTTACTGTTACTACTGGTTAGAGCTTAGAGCATCTTTTAATTTGGGTGAAAGTCAAACTCTAAAAAATTAGCAGGCCAAGAAAAAATTTTCAAATTAGAGAGCCAAGCTTCCCTTGTCACAAATATTTTGGAATACGTGCAAAGATATTTATTTACTGTTACTACTGTTAGGAGCTTAGAAAGCATCTTTTAATTGGTGAGAAGTCAAACTCTAAAAAATTAGCCAAGGCCAAGAAAAAAATTTTCAATATTAGAGAGCCAAGCTTCGCCCCCCCCCCCCCCCCCCCAAAAAAAAAAAAAAAAAAAAGCCAATTAATGAACAGAATTTATGAGGATAAAAAGCTCACATTAACTTAATCAATAAAAAAAAAAAAAAAAAAAAGCCAATTAAGAACAGAATTTATGAGGATAAAAAGCTCACATTAACTTAATCAATAGAATAAAATAAATTTTGTTCTTACAGCACGAGTGAATAATATAACATTGGCCAATAAAAACAAAGGCAAGCACTTATACACAAGCTAGCACATGTTATTTGAGTGCCTGTATTCCCAGAATGATAATACAGAAGTGATCAAGGCAACTCAGGGATGGATGATCATAACAGAAGTGGAAAAACAAAGTAAGAAACAAGGAAAGCAATTATCATATACATGATCTGTTCACGATGTGTTAAAGGGGAACTCATTTTACATGCCATCTTCGTACAAATGCCTCCTTTTTGCAGCTTATGAAGAGCAACAACCGCTACTAGGTCTAGAAGTAGGTGCTTGGTTTTCCTGTTTCTGCTTTAATATGTTTCTCTTCACTGCAGTAGAGCCTTCTTGCAAAAGACTGGGAACTTCCATTATCTGTGAGATAAATGCTGTTTTTGTCAGAATCGGGAAGTAGGAACCAAAATTATCATCGATACTATAGCAGCAATTTTACTTGTTTAATATTTGGATCACATATTTTTGTTATTGTGGTGGTTCTTTTATGCCCTTAAAGACATATTTTAAGGTAGTTAATGTAATGATTTAATCTGTTCAAAAGAGTTGCCAAAGCCATAATTGAAACCATGATACATAATTCACTGCATGTAATAACATATGTTACTGATGTGTAATCTGGTAGCAGAGATTTTATGTTATTTGAAAGAGTACCTTGAGGGCCAGTTCTTCAAAGCATTTCTCCACATTTTCTCTAGTTTTAGCACTACACTCAAAAAATGTGCATCCATGCTCTTTTGCCAGAGCTATTCCCTCTTCTCTGCTTACATCTCTTTCGGACTCCTGAAATCATACATTAGTAGAACAAGAATAAACAATGAGTCTTCACCCTTCTCTATTCCCTTGTTTACAAATTTATTTTGCGGGTGAGAGGTGAAACAAGTTGAGGAAATAAAATAAGGAGGTTTGCAACTCAACAAATCTCATGCCTAATAAAATAGGAAGGTTTGAACAAACAAAAGTTATGCATGTTATTGGCCCAAGACACAAAAAGGTGCAATAAAATGCAATATGAAGACTTGGAGTACTGAATGAGACAAATTGAAATAGTAATCTTCCATAATTTTGAATCAGCACATTCCAGGGAGTACTAAACAAGGTGATCATCAAACGATCGAGTTCATAGAATAAATTGGATTGATATAATACCACTCCTAGATCTCCTAGAGACAGGGGAAAGGACAGAGACGGATTGAAAATTCTGTGAGAAGCAAATTTCGGCCTATTGAACAAGAGGTCAAGCACAAATCTTTTCCAACATAAAAGCAAAAGTGCTAGAGCATGCAGAGAAGTTGTAGGATGCATCTCATAGTGCAGTAGGACATTGTGTCAACTGATGATTTTAGAAAGCAAGTTCAATTGGATTCCAATTTCCAAGTGAACTCTGCATATGATTTATTATTCTTCCATGAACTTAATATTTCCACTTGAAAAATACTTGGTGTTTCTTCTTGAACAGAGAATTAGAACTTACTATATCAACTTTATTCCCAACAAGCATCTTTACGCAGTCCTTATTTGTGCAGTATAGTTCAACTTCTTTAGCCCACACGTCTGACAAGTTTGTAAAGCTTTCTCTTTTCGTCACATCATAAACTGCCATTAAAGAAAAGAGACTATCATTCTTTGGTAGACATGCATATGCTGAAATTGGTCTGACATTTTGAGATAAAATTGTGAAGCCTTCCATCAAGTTCATGGGTGATAATAGTTTACAATGATTAGAATGAGAGCAACTATTCCCCCCTTTTTCAAAAAGCTAGGATGCCAAAATTCTGAGTTAAGAACCTTATCTATCTAGTAAAGCTATAAGCATTGCATTAAAATAATATGGAATATTTCATAAAAGAAGAAAGAACTTTATGCATAAGCATTCTCCATGTCTTACATGGAAATATAATTGTTTACATTCAACGTAATTATGGCAATATACAATATTTTAAAATATTAATGAATAGGTTCCATCTCAGATTCAACCTTAACACATTTTTATTTCCCTATAAGAAATTAGTGGTTATACCAAGTCATAATTATTCATAAGTTGCAAGAACTACAAATTTTCAATTATCCAGATGACAAGAATTCATACTCTTGGTAGCATACCAAGAATGATTCCTTGGGCATTTCTGTAGTAAGAGCTAGTTAATGTTCTGAATCTCTCTTGTCCAGCTGCAAAAAAAGTAATAATTTTACATATCAGTCACGCATTAATAAATTTCCACTCTGAAAGAACAGTGGAAGAAAAGAGTAGGCACCAAGATAAATGACAAAGCATTTACTGTAACACAAATGGGAACTAACACAACCTTGAAAAATTCATGGGATAATTTATTCAGAACAGGAAATAACCATAGTTTAGTGGATCCGATATGTAAAAGTCAAAACAATTGCCCCTAAAGCAGTTTTGCAAAAGTAAAGTGGTCACTAATCAACTTCTGACTTCTAGTGAATAGCTTTCCTCAAGCTTTTGTTTCACTTTCAATATCTCACTGTTGCACTGATGGCCATATTGAAAAAAAAAAATGAAAGATATATAAAAAAGAATTCCTTTGACAATGCAGGCTTTTATCTCTATTTATTAGGATAAAAAGTAGAGACATTATACTCAGTTGAAGATGTAAAAAGTGAAATTGAAATATAAGATTGCATACCAGTATCCCAAATCGTAAGCTTCACTCTCTTCCCACCTACTGTTAGCTGCTTGATCTTAAAATCCACACCTTAACAATGGATAATTATATTAGAAAAAATCCATCTTTTCAACTGCATCAATCAATTCAAACCTAATGCAGCAATCACTAAACACTTTTTCTTTTTTTCCCTTCAATTTAAAGTAAATGCAAATTTCACAGATAAAGACATTTAACTAATAATACAACTCATGAGTCAAAAATGAAAATCTACAAATTAAATTTAGCAAAACCCATCAAAAAGCTCTTAATTAGCTATCATAATACTTAACAGCTTAAATTATAAGTTTCAACTCAAAAGAGATCCAAAGGCAATACTTCAAGCAAGAACGCTCAGAATCCATAAAACAAGAAGACAAAATTTAGAGAAATGGAGATAAGGATTTGAAGTACCAATGGTGGGAGCAAGATCCTCTACAGAATTCGAAATGAAACTAACAAGAAGACTGCTTTTACCAACCCCAGAATCACCGATCAACAAGATCTTGAATGAGAGATCAAAGCCACCACCTTGCCCAGAAGATGATCCCATTATTCAATACCCGACAGAAAAAAAAAAAAAAGGGAGACAGGAAAAAAAAACAGCAAGAGGCTCTCTTTTTTTTTTATCCCCTTTTATGGGTTTTCACGAAAATTCAAACTACAAATTTCTTCTCTCTCAAATCTCTGTATATGCGTTGTCTTTAATGATGATCAAGACTTCCTGGGTCATTTCTCTCTCTCCAAGAAGTACGGGGAAAAAGAAATGTATGTTATTATGTATATAAAGAGACGGAGAGAGATAAAAAGCAAAGAGAAAATATCAAAATAAATAAAGAAAGAGCAAAAGTAATGGCATCAACGTTGTTTTTTGAGATAGCGAAGCTAAAGAAAACGGCTATAACTGCAGAGGAACACCTGACTCCAACGTTATGCTTTACTTGTTTGGATTTTTCTTTCATTTATACATATTGTCAGGATGCGATGCCGTTTTCCTGGAACTCCCGTGTTTTGTCCAAACTCGGGTCGTACTTTGGTCTTAGTTTCCCACGCGGGTGTCATATGCGTGTGTTACACGCTCCGACCATCTGGTAAGCAGGCACTGTCAGCGAAAGATTAGGCAACCTGTTGGGGTCAATGGGCACTAATGGGATTATACTTTAGGGTTCATTTATATACTTTGGAACCAAAAGTCACCTATTTTTGGATTAACTTCTATATGGAATTATTGCAATTTCAATTTTTGTGATGGAGATGGTATGTTTTAGATTTCAATTATTCAAATTCTAAAATAATTGATTTTCTAAAAAAAGAGTTTCCTTTCGATTTATAAAATAATCTGAAATGGAAAAAAAAATAGAACAATTGTTTTATATTATTCCATGAAATAATAAGTTTGTAATCTTTAATTTTAATTGAATTTCTAAATATAATGGTTTATTATATATTTTTAAAAATAAATGTTATTAAGATTATAAAATATATAATTTGATATTTTTCTTCTTTACTAATTAATTCTTGATGATTTTAAATCTCTAGCATACAAGATTCCTCAAATTTGTTTTAAGCATGTTAAAAGATGTGTGAATATTCAATATTGTTACCTGGTACGAGCCACTATATTTTAGAAATTCGGTTAACAATTTGATATAAAAAATCATTTAGTTTTCGATTTTTGCTCGCTTATCATATATAATTAATTGAGTTTATTTTTAAGTTAAAAATAGTTAATTTAGTTTGTAATAACTGCATTCTAATTGAACAAACTGATTCAATTTGATCTAATTACCATAAAAAATATATTTAAATAAATTGAAATCGAGCTAAATATTAGAAATAGAAATTTTTATCTAAAGTTAAATATATACTTTATAATAGTTATTTTATTTCTTGTTATTTTATTATACGCATTAAAATAAGGCCCAAAGACTTAAGAAATAGTTATTAAGACTTAAGAATCAAGATATTTGTAAAAACTTAGGAATTTCAAGTCATTAAGAAACAATGAATTAGTTAAGACTTAATAATTAAGTTATTTGTAAAAAAAATTTTAATTTGAATTCTAGTAAAATAAATTACAACACAAAAAGTTATTTTTGACTGCATAATTTATTTAAATTCTGATATAAGAAATAAAATTCAATAAATTCTAGAAAGAATTTGCATCTTTTATTAAAAAAAAAAAGGAGTTAAGGGATGAAATTCCATCCTTTAGCACTTAATTTGGATAATTAAGAAATCTAAAATTAAAGGGTATTTGAATTTGAATTTTATATTAATGATTTTATAATTTTCACTTAAATAAATTTATATTTGTATTATTTCAAGAACAAGTCCATGTAGATGGTGCCTAAAATTATTTTGTTTTGCAAATAGGTTAGCAATGAGCAACCCATAGTTAATTATATCTATTTAAACTCAAATGGTCCAACTATCAATTTGATTTGCTGATGATATTTTGTTGGCCCAAAGTTTGAGAAAAAGATTTATTTTTTTTAAGTATAATAAAATAAATAAATAATACACACATGAAGTCATTTAAAAATATTGTATGAAAAGTAATTAGACATTATCATTAGCATGTGGAGTTTTTATTTTCTTTTTGTTAAAAAAATTGCATAGTAATCATCAAAGGTGTGCCCATAAAAATTAAAGCTTTGTGTAATATTTAGCAAATCATAATAATGGTTGAGATCCAGTTGTCAAAATTAGAGAAAACCCTAAGCTTATAGAGACCCATCTTTTATTTCTTTATGTGTTTGCATTTCAAAATAAGTAAAAAAAAAAAAAAAAATTAAGAGTAAAATGAGATTCATTTGATATGAGTAGTGATAATGTACATATCCTTCAAAGAGTAAACAATTTTAAAGAAAATAGATATTTTAATTTATAAGTTTGGAGTTTAAATTAATTCTCTTTTTTATATTAATGAAATTTCGATTTCGAACTGGTTCGGATAACGTTGGATCCATCTTATAAAAATAGGGATCAATTGATTGTTTTGCTTTTTAATTTTTTAATAATATATTTGTGTCTAAATTAATATACTAAATTTAATTTATTTACGTTTTTTTATTTTTTTTTCAAAAAATTTTATATTGGTCATGGAAAAATAAATTAGATCCACCGCTGAGTTGGAAAGTATTTTAAGACTAATAATTTTGAATGTGTGGTAATTTGGTTAAATACAAGAGAGAATGCAACAAACTTGATTTTGGTTGAAAACTTAGTTTGAAGATCAATGCAGATATAGAAATTTTGATTAATGGACGCAATCACAATATCCATTATAATAAATTATAAGAAAAAACGTTATGGCTCAGTTAGCGACGCATGCTGGACATTTAGAAAGAACTCTCGAGTTTCATCCCACTAAATACATCTGCAGAGAGAGGTGAAGAGTTTTAACTGTGACTAAGCTCGAGTCAGATTAGACGATTCGTGTTAATAAGATTCGGATACCGGTAATCTACACTAAAGAAAAAAGAAAAAAACTAAGTTGATTATAACTTTGAGGAGAATTGCTTTTAGTAATCTATCTAATAGCCTTTGCTTACTTCCCAAATTGACTGACAATCATGCTTAAATTAAGATCACATGCATAGTGAGTAATAAAAACAAAAACATTTCTATGACATTAAAACAAATGAGAAAAAGAAGAAGAAGAAGAAGAAAATTGCAAAAATAGAAGCATTTGCTCCCCTTTGGTTAGCTTGATTTGGTTGAGTTAGTTGTGTGTCTCTTTCTTTAGAATCCAAGAAAGCACATCACTCACTATACCAATTGTGATAGCAACAGTCACAAATGTTACTATAACCATAATAGCATTGAACTTAGAAGAGGACTACTTTTATTTTACATGTAGCACATCGGACTAAGTCTATTCTATTTGCGTCACATTAAGTTTACAATGGAAACGCGCTTCCAGCAATGATTTTATCCATTTAAAAAGATTAAACATATATGAATCGAGTTATGATTAATTAATTTTTGAACACTATTCTTTCCTTTTCCCATATGAGAGAACTCTCATTAATGAAAAAGATATAGAAAAAGTGAGTAGCTTTGGACTAAGGAAAGATACAAATTATAAAGATCTTATTATAGGCATAGCTAAGAAAGAAAGAAGCTTCCTGGATAACAACAAACAATTTTTGCTTTTGCCTTCCTTGAATGTCTTGTCATTCTTACTGATTAGTTACTTCATTTTTGTTTGGTTTTATCATATTCCTATTTTTGGCCTGTTGCTTAATTAATGCTGTAAAATTGAAATTTTTGATTTGTAAGTCTATAAAATGCTTAGAATTATAAAAACTTCCAATTTTTGAAAATTTTTTTATCAATAAATATAAAAATAATAAAGAGGATATCCACTCTTTAATTGTTTAATACGGTCACCTATTAAAACAAGCAATCCAAAAAAATAAAATTTCTAGAAGTATTACAAGAAAATTGAATTATCTGTGTTTGGATGAAAAATTTTTTTTTTTAAGAGTAGCAAAATATGAAGATTCAATGCACTCCAAGCATATCTATTTATTTATTCTAAAAAAAAAAAAAAAAAAAAAAGAAGAACACAAATCTATTTATTTCGAAGGCTAAACATAAATGGATCAAAGTCCAAATGGACTAAGGGCAAGACTTGGGCTTCAATTAGGATTAGAACTTGAAAGAATGGGCTAATTTTGGGCCAGTCACCGCCTAGCCCAAACTCTTAAATACTTTATCTCATCAAACCCTCGAAAATCTAAATTACTGACTATCATCGAATCGCAGAGAGAGAAATAGACAATGGACAGAGACTGGGGTTCGAAGCCGGGAAGCGGTGGCGCCGCCTCGGCACAGAATGAGGCTATCGACCGTCGCGAGCGTCTCCGCCGTCTCGCCCTCGAAACCATCGATCTTGCCAAAGATCCTTATTTTATGCGCAACCATCTTGGCAGGTACGTATAGTGAGACCTCTCTCTATAATAATGAGTGATTTGTTGGTTTTAATTGACGCGATTGTATTTGGAGTTTAATTTTGTAGTTACGAGTGTAAGCTGTGTCTGACTTTACACAACAATGAAGGGAATTACTTGGCTCACACTCAAGGAAAACGACACCAAACCAATTTGGCCAAGAGAGCTGCTCGTGAGGCCAAGGAGGCTCCTGCTCTGCCACAACCTAACAAACGCAAAGTTAACATTCGCAAGACAGGCAACTTCCTCTTACCTTATCTTTATTATTATTATTATTATTATTATTATTATTATTATTTTAAATCTTTGTTCATTTGCTTGTTCAATTGGGGTTTCTGACTAATGGCCATTGCTAGGTTTAGGTGAATATATGTTTGGATAGTGAAATTAGGAATTTCAGTGACATATAATGTGATAGAATTGCATAGTTTAAATTTAAGGCCCATAGATTAGCTTTAAGGTTAATTTGCCTAAATTAGAAAGAAGATTTCTTGCCAACACCAAGTGTAGGTAGTGTTCTATACATCCAATCAATGAGTGAATGGTATTCAAAAACTGTTGACTCCTCTATCCATCTTTTTTAACTGTGATGGACATACATATCATTTTTTTTGTCCGGTTCTATTAGCATTTGCTAGGAGTTTACACAGAGTATGGGCAGAACTTACTCAGTTAGGATAAGATTTGTCTTGGTGGGATATAAATGGTATGGAGTTTTGCATTGCTTCCAATATGCAATTGTTCACTCGCAAAGGCTTTGTGTTGGAATCGAATATTGTATAGTTTTGTTCTTTAGCTTAAGTAGGTGGATGTGGACTTTGCAATAAGACTACATAGAGCTGTCAGCCATTTCTGCTATTTGAACAGGGCAGTAATTGCACATGATTTCTTCATAATCAGTTTGTTGGTTTATTTTATTGATTTACTGACTTAAGATATGAATTAGTGGTTGGTTGGAGAACTTTGATTGATCTTTGATGTCTTAATCAATGTGTGTGTAGGAGATTTGATTTAGAACCAAGGTAGGGGATTTCTGATTTGAAGCTTAAATATTGTGCATATGAACTTGGGACTGTGTTTACATATATATTGACTACATTTAATTTTTTTTTTTTTTCATTTTATCCTCCTGAACAAGGATTACTACTTGGAACTTGCAAAGCTGCAAGTCAATTATGTGATTATTAGAAGTTAAACTAAAGATAGTTTTCTTTTTGGTCTGTCTGCAGTTAAAATTGGTAGGCCTGGATATCGGGTGACTAAGCAATTTGATCCAGAGACAAAGCAGAGATCCCTTCTCTTTCAGATTGAATATCCTGAGATAGAAGACAATACAAAGCCAAGACACCGGTTTATGTCATCCTTTGAGCAGGTATTTTCTTTTAATTTTCCTTTTGAATTAGTAACAAAATATTTGTAGCATGCTCGTGCTGATTACACTTGAATTTCCGCCCATAATGTTATTTGATTTACACTTATTTCTTTGGATATCTGTTCCCCTTTCTATCTCTGTTTTCTTTCTCAGTTTTTATTCGTACCCTCTGAAATACTAATAATGTTTCTATGAATGTGGATGTAGAAAGTGCAACCTTATGACAAGAGATACCAGTATCTTTTATTTGCAGCAGAACCTTATGAGATCATTGCTTTCAAGGTAAATTGATTTAAGTTAAATGCAGGCTTTTGATTTTACTCTTCTAGTGGGTTTAAGAAATTTAACATTTGTGATTGTTTGCGTTTCAGGTTCCAAGCACAGAAATTGATAAATCCACTCCTAAGTTCTTCTCACATTGGGATCCTGACTCAAAGATGTTCACGGTTGGTCTTTTTGTGCATTTGGATCGCTTCCTACCCATGTAAAACATGGAGCAAACTTGGCCATCTTTATATAATTTTTATGTTTATATTTTTTATTACAACATTTTGACATGCATTGAGTTGGCTCGGGTTGCCTATAGGCTTAATCCAATTTTTGGAATAACTTTACCCCATTAATTGATTTTTGTTACTAGATTGGCTCTCTAAAAGACAACAATGTTATTTGTGAAAATTATTCATTTTACTGTTCAGTTGTCTCACTTGAAATGTTTTTGATGTGCAGTTGCAGTTGTATTTCAAAACCAAGCCACTAGAGGCAAACAAACCTCAATCTGCTCCTGCAGCTAATGGCACAGCAGCTCCCGGTGTCCCACCAAGGTCTTTGCCGCCACCACCCCAAGCTCCACCGCCACCACCACCTCCACCCCAAGGATTACCAGCAGGATCTAGACCACCACCACTGCCGGTACCTGGATCATTACCCCCTCCTCCTCCTCCTCCCATGGCCAATGGTCCTAGGCCTATGCCTCCAGGTGGAGCTCCACCTGCGCCCCCTCCACCTCCTGGTGGCAGCGGCACAATGGCAAATTTCACTCCTGGTGTTCAGGTTAGACCAACAATGCCTCCAATGCCTCCACAACAGATGTAGGGTCAGGCTTTATGTGTCTGAGCTTCACCTCCCAAACTGGTTGGATTTCATAGCCTTCTGAATGTTTGTGAGCACATCTGTACGTGTCTAAGCCAGCTACCAGCTACCGAGGAGTGGATGGAATTTGCCAGAACTCGAGTGTAATATTTATCCAATTAATATTTAGTGATTTTCCTCTTAACGAAAAGAGCATGTATACATTTTTTTCATCGAATTCGGGACTAAAAAATATAAATATTTAGTATTGAATCATGGTCAGTTTTAATGGGGGAGATGACATTGAATGTCAATTTTGAACCAGACTTTAATCAGGATGAGTTGGGTTTTTAAAATATTCCAAGAGTAAGATATATCACTACTATGTGATGAAGAGCAATAAAAGTAAAATACTCTGTTGTGCAATGTCGCCGTTCTGAGTAATAAATTAACATTTCATTTTTTTTTTTTGGGGGGGTAATATGCGATTATTCTTGCTCATGTTGGCCTTGTTTGTTGTTTGACCTTAAAGTTTGAGAATTTATAGTTCTCTTTATTTGTTTATTTCTCTTTTCTTGTGTTTTTTTAAATGAAGGGCTTCCAGCTTTATTGTATAAAAGGGTATCCATTTACCAAGTATTGTGGAAGTTCTCTGGAAAAAGAAAATGCTTTAGCCATTTGGCTTTTTATGAAAAGAAAAAAAAAGAAAGTCACCCAACTTGCTTTGTTGAGCAACACATTATCTTCAAGAAATGAAAAAGATTTCTGCACCCAGCCTCCCTGATTTTTTTTCCCCCCTCGTAACCAAAAGGCATTGAAAAAGCTACCCTAGACGTTTGTACAAGAATTTCACACTATCAATCATGAGATATATGGAAAAGAGTTGTACAGTATCAAGATAACACTTACAAGCTGATTTAAAAATGTATCAAAACCAAAATGTTCTTTAGCTTGAAATGGTATTAGTGGGAAACACCTTTTGGATGAACTCTAGGAAGCGACTGGAGTAAAATGTTGGATCCACAGCAGAGATGGACAGGGAATCGAACTGAAGAGATTTGTATGCATGTTCTATCTTCTTACTCATGTTGTACTCTTGCAGTATATCAATTATGCCTAGATAAAGAACAACGTCGTATGCTTCGTGGAATGTCTCTTTTTCCTCTTTCCCTGGAATCTGCTCTGCCCTTGCAGGCATGTTCACACCAAGCTGGATTTGGAGTCTGTCATGAAGTTTCAAGTTGGATTTGAGTATGCTAATGGAAAAAGAACTTGAAACAGACTTTTGCCGCTGGAGGATAGTATATGGTTATGGCATTTCAACAAGAAACAGACTTTTGAGTATAGATGTGATGTCATACCTTGCTGTACCAGGAAGAACGAGATCCACTTCCTCATCACCAAATGCTCGCAATCGACTTCCTCTGATGTGAGGACCCACAACAACACTATTATCATCTGTTCCATGGGGTACCAAGAGAAGACCTTGTGGATAATTTTCATCTTCTATTGTATCTGCTAGTAAAATCGTCAGCAGCAAGTTTCCATAATCAGAAATGATGTGTGCGCGTGTGTGTGTGTGTGTGTGTGTGTGTGACAAATTCTACAAGCTATGAAGAGGGTGATTTGTAAGTTAATGCAAGATTAGTCCCTAGACCAAATCCAACAAATTTCACATGGACGTTGTGATGGATTTGGTTTATTGCTGACCCATGATATGCAATACGATTATAAAGAATAATTATTGAGCAAACACTCCATGTAGGAAACACAATGGCAAGCGAGCTATCAAATTCATTTTAAACAGGGCGACAGTTTCAGTTCCTTTATAATTCAAAACTTACAATTGAACCGCAGATAAGAAGAAAATTGGTTTTGCATGCCACACAAACTAGACATATTATCTGATCTCGATCTTTTTTGTATCTTTTTCCCACCCTCTGTCAAAGCTTTCAATGATAGAAAAGACACTTTATGGCTAGCTAATATGACATACTAACAGAACATCATATATTAAATAAGATACCCACCATCCTCTGCCAACACTCCCAATCCTTCAGCTCTCAAGCTTCGACGGTAGGACATCAGAGATTGCAGGTGTTGGGGGGCTCGATAATGCACCCCAAGCAAAAGGCTATAATCCATAATGTGTTGTGCTTCCAAAAATTTACTGTCAATTTCAATCTGCCTGCATCAAGGTATATATTTAAGAAAAAGACAATTGTATTAGCAGATCATGATAAGCCTACTAGCATGAAGACAAAATTGATACTTGAAATGCTGGACATGCATGTTCTCACAAATGGAATTGAGCACATTTTTATGTGCTTTTGCAAAGACAAAACATGACAATATTACAAACATAAATGTTTAATAATAAGGTTCTCACATACTGTTGATTTTGAATTGACTTCAAAAGTGTAAGAGACTCGGAATGTCTTTTTCTATGGTGGAATGAAGTAGAGAGCATCTAGATTCTTCTAGCACAAAAGTTTAATCATTTACCGTAAGCTATAATCCTTAAGGGATAGTTGAAACACAAGCATTCTATAGAGATTTGGGTGTACAGAAGGTATGATTTATAAGAACTAAACAATGTGATCTCAGACTCAGAGATATGGTTGTGAAACTTTTGGATAATCCCCACTTTTGGATACAAGTCAGATTGACTGAGTTAGGTGTTTTTGCAAACTGCAGCACTGCATGCTTAGATTGTGTTGTGATACTTGCATATCTCTACATCTACTAAATATTTCTATATGTATATATATGTATATATATACTCATTTCTTACATATAAGTAAAGAGGAGGACCTCAAGATTATCAAATAGATAAATGTGAACATAAAATTAGGAAACAGGATTGAGCGACTATATACATATATTATAGATCGGACTTTTTTGCAAGAGACAACATGACAATACTTACAAATAAATGTTTAATATAAGGTTCTCACAATACTGTTGATTATGATCTGCAAAGTGTGTATCGAGAAAGTGTGGAAGTATATGCGTAATTATGTGTATCTCTCGGTACTGCGTGGAATGAATGTAGTGAGAAGTAGATACTAGATTCTTCTTTGGATCACACACGGGTTGAAGAGTAGATATTTGTACGGTCAAGGCTATAATCCTTAAGGGATAGTTGAAACACTGAAAGCATACTCTAAAATGAATGTGAGATTGGGTGGTACAGAAGGTAAAAGGATTTGTAATATAAACAATGTGATCTCAGACTCAGAGAGATGAATTGGAGTCCTTTGTGCGAAGCTTGTCCTGATAATCCAACTTTTTTGGTACACATGTAGAATTGAGTGAGATTAGCTGTATCTTCTTGGCAAACTGCACAAGACATAATGCAGGCTATAGGATTTGTGTTGTGATACTGGTATGTTATCTAACGATATAGCTAAATATTTCTATATGTTTATACTGAAGTCTTGTCTAGATATACTATATGGGTGGTCGGTCGTTCAGTTCGGTACTATTTATTAATGTGGTACTTGCATATCTCTACATCTACTAAATATTTCTATATGTATATATATGTATATATATACTCATTTCTTACATATAAGTAAAGAGGAGGACCTCAAGATTATCAAATAGATAAATGTGAACATAAAATTAGGAAACAACAATAGTTTCAATAGCTTATAAATCAATACTTACTTCAATAAAGCTTCACGCCAAGAAGGTTCCAAGTAAAAGCAGTAGTTTAGATCCAAGTCCTTCAATGTTGTGTTCTCGTCAATTTCAATTTTGTCTGTAGAACGACCTAGCGATGAACCTTTCAAATCGAACCTTCGGTGGATCCTCAATTCTGTGCAGAACATATTTCCCATCACTACAAAGCGAAACTGCAATATAGGAAATAGTTATATGAAATCAGGTTTCAAAAAATGAAGCTCTAGAACATCGATATGTTGCAAAATTCAATCCAGGAAACATTTCTCAGAACTGCTTACACATACCATGTGGAGATAAAATCATAACTGGTCACAACATTATCATTCAACTAACAGGCCATGGACATGGATAAAAGTTGCTATTCACACTGATAATTACCTTTTGACCACTTGAGGGTTTGATCCTGTGAAGACCAAAAAATTTTGTTATAAGTGTGTTTTCATATGATCGCACATGATGGTGATAATCTGGAAGCATCTTCAGGAGTACCTGTCAATATGAACTCTGGTGAGTAGACCTTAATATCATGAAATAAAACATTTTGAGAAAGAAAAGCAATTATAGGTTCAAATATGAGGAATCTATCTAGAAGAAATAACAAAAGAATCAACGAAGAATATTCAAATAACAAAAGAATCAACAAAGGATATTCAGTGTACCAAAACGTAGAAGTCTCAATCCAGCTATCTACAGAGAGCAAAGGGGGTTTTTTTCCTCACTCAAATGCTCTTCTGTAGTGTTCCCTCCAAACAAACCAAAAAAAGTAAAGGATTCAAAAAAACCAGAAAAACTTTTTGCCCCTTTTATACAACATGATCATCCTATTGTCTTCTGAGAACATATATCAGTCTAGAGTAGACCTGATACTACCTAAGGAAATGCAACAGATCAGCAGGAGAACTAGCACTGACAATCAGCACTTCCAACCACAATTTTGGTTGCCAATGATTAAACGTAGAGCACAATATTAAGCAAGGAAAAGTAGAAGAGAATCTTTCCAGAAAAATCTTCCATTTTCTTTCTTTTGTTTTCTTTCTCTTCTTGAGATTTTTCACTACACCTATTCACTGATACAATCCACATTTTTTACCCTTTCAGAGATTGTCAATTTCGAAGTCCTGAAATTCCATGCATCTAACGGCTTCATTCCCAATATAATCTTGTCCATTTCGTTTCTTGACTATTCTTTAAAATGTACATACACAGTAAGACTACTTTGAGTCAACGTATACTAGACCCTCTCTATCTAAATGTTATCCTCCTTTTCATTTAATTGTGGTCTTGTATAAATGTCAAGAATGAAAATAGAGAAGATCGCTAATTTCCGTTTTCCAATCAGCAGCATTCCTCTCGAACTTCACATCTCAATTCAACATTCTTGTTGAGTACTGGAAACAAGAAATTACAGTTGTATCTGATGCCAATCTCTAGTCCAATTGCCATTTCCATTTCAGAAAGAGGGGCAAACTTTCTATCTGGAAATGTTTGACCTATTTACCTTACTCAAACAAAAAAATACTTGGCATTAGCATTACATAGCACCAATACATGGGAGCTATGAAAGAGTACCATCTTTTTAAAAAAAAAAAAAAGTTGTCCAGACAAAGACACACCAACGCTGATGTACTCTACGAGTTCATGTAAGGAATCTGTGGCAACATTTTAGTCGACTCAATTTCAAAACTCTTTTATAAGTTCACCCAGTCAGAAAAAGAGAAAACAAAAAAGCATCTTTATTTGACACTTAATATGGCTCGAAAAATTCAAGGTTTATAAAGAGATGGCAAACCTTTACTTCGGATTTCCGGAGTGTCTTAATCATGAAGCGATCATCTTGAGACAGGAAAAAAATGCTACCACTTTTACCAGGAGATGAAAGTTCCCTAAGAGCATCATTTCCACAAATGGACATCATGTAGTCGGCAGCATCTATCTTGAACATCTCCCTTAAATTCCTACATTTAGAAGGCATAAATGTCAACATTAAGAGAAAAGCCAAGCACAAGATCCACAGATATACTAAACGAACCTGCATACTTAAGGGAACAAAATAAATGAAAAAATTGCCATTCCCTATAAAAGAGAAGTAGAGAATATCAATGCACAATTATGACCTCAATAATGCAACCAGTAAAGTGTACTAAATGAGCGATCATATACACTTTATGTAGGCATAAGTATGCCCGAACTAACATTTTTTAAAAATTTAATTGTTGCATTGAAAAATTAATGTGCTGTCTCTTATGCTTAATTTGAGCAATAATGCAAGTTTGATAGAAAAAGTGCAAGAAACTGCAGATATGTAAAAATAATAAAATAGCCTGTTTGACATATACATATAGCAATGGAAAAATTGGGTTGAACTTACAAGAATGCAAAGATAATGTATCAAACAAATCAAATTAGCTGCTTGGGAATTCTCAAATTGTAATAAGTCTAAGGCCAACGAACAAACCTGAAAACCATTGGGCAGTAATCTTTCCACTTAAAGTCATCTGATTGGTGAGGTGGTGTTAACTGCGATCCATCTTTTGGAAAATGCATCCAAAAGCTTGCTCTTGGACCAAAATCTGATGAGCGAACTTCTCGCCTCTGCACGGGAGTGATTTTACCAACAGTATACCTGATCACATTCAAATACTGCATTAAAGAAGAACTCAACAATCATGAATCATTCAGCTAAAGACAAACTTTTTGCAAACCACAAATTTAGGAAAAAGAAGAGAGTGCAGCCTTATCAGGAAACCCAGCTACATTTAAAATCAGGGACAACTGGAATATAATATGTAAGATCCCGATTATGTGTTGAAGGATTAGACTACTGTGAATGCAGGAACATAATACAGTTTCAAAATAGCCTATACCTGATTCCAAGCTGCAAATTGAGCATCAGATCATAACTCCTATGCCCTTTAATGATTGTTTCACCAGGCCTCTTAACCTCTTTTGCAAGTTTCTTTTGCCGCCGTCTGGCTCTTCTAGACGATGATGAAAAACTATTATTTATCACAAGTTCATTAATTAGAACACCTTGCATATATTCACGTTCCAAGATTGGCGGTACATTTGTTTCAACCTCTTTCTCCATGCCTTCAAAGACAGAGTCAGATAGCTCTAATGATGAATCATGTCCTATCACTTTTTCAATAGATACCTCAAGACTCCAACGCCTTTCTAGGGAAACATTTCTGTTGCAAGACTGCTCCAAAGTTAGCAAGTTTCCCTTAGATAGTTTACTAGATACAGTATGACGAGACCCCTGGTCCCCACTGATCTTGACATTCCCCATATCCACTGATGATGCATGATGGATATGTGCATGGTTCTGCTTTCTTAAATCTGGCAGTAACCCTCTTTTTCTCAGAGCATTCAAGTACCGTTCCTGTATAGCCGGATACCGGCTTCCTTTTGGATAAAATGATCCTTTTCCATCTTTGAGACCATGTGTCCAAGTTCCAGCATAGCTACCACCATCGTTCCATGTATATACTCCAAATCCATGCATCATGCCATTCAACCAGCTTCCCTCAAATGAGTCGCCATTTATCCACGTAAGAGTCCCTTTACCAGTCATTTTACCTCCTTTCATATTCCCTAGATAAACATTGCCATTTGCCCAGGTATACTTGCCAGGTCCTTCTGGCGTTCCCTGGATCCAAGAGCCCTCAAAGATATCTCCATTAGGAAAAACTTGGTATCCTAATCCATGCTTGAGATTCAACCGCCATCTTCCTTTATAGGTCATACTATTGGAAGCAATATAGGTCCCTGTACCATGCATATAACCGCCTGAAAATTCACCCTCATAAGCAGCTCCGGAAGGCCATTGAATTTTTCCATTTCCATGCCTCATCCCCCGTCTCCACTCTCCATCATAAATACAACCATCAGACCAAACATATTTCCCCTTGCCTTCAGGTACATTTCCAAGCAATGACCCACAATAATGTTCCCCATTGGTAAGAACAAGCTCCCCAACTCTAAAGGATGCAGCTTCGGAAGAAGCATGGGCAGCTTCACCATTGGTTAATACAGATAAATGGTCTCCATCAGAGATGATATCAACAGACTTCGTTCTGTCTGCAGAAGTTAGTGTCCGTTCAACAAAATTATCAGCAATGGCCACAGGGCCAGACATGCATAATGCCCAAAAGGTTCCAATTTGTCACAAGATTACAACTAAACTAAATTTCTCATTGGCTATTCAACAATCAATGCCATAAGAAGATCTTACAATGAGATTCTGATGATATCTTTAAATCTCCATGGCCTTTGATCTGCGCAAGAAGACAGGATGAAAGCAAGATTCTGATGTCAAAACAAATAATTCCAATACCATCAGAATTTTAAGATACTTACACAAGTACAAACGAAAGCTACTATGAAGCCTTAAACAAAGCAAGACTCCAACTTTATAGTTCAGAAAAAGATATCAAGGTATAAAAGAACATATCATACAACAAAGATAACACTACAAACTTACTGTGTAAACACTTTTTGCAGGAAAAAAGGAAGAATAAAATTATACTTCAAAGTCCAGAATAGACAATAATTAAACATAAAATCAAGATCTATGAAAAGGCAGAAGTCAACTACCTTTAACCAAAAAAAGAAAAGGAAAAAGCAAAAAAGAGAAAGGGTTCTGTTAGCAAAACTGTCTTTTGAAATTCCACAAACCAAAGAAAATTAAAATAAAAATTTGGGAAAGCAACTGATTTTCTGCATTCACCAGAAAAAAACAAATAATCCTCAGAGCCAATATCCTATCCCCGTCATTTCAATCTCTTATTTCCAGGAAAAAAATATAAATTATATTGATCCAGTTCCAAATAAATCCTAATTGAGCAGGATCAACGGGCTACTGGTCCCAACTATCAACTTTTTTAACTTTTTGCCGAATTTTCTTTTCCTTTTACTGAACTATAACCATTAATTCCGAAATCTAGTCAACTCTAGTCCTCCAAACATCATGAACCACAAAAATCTGAGCTACCAAACACACTAGAAATCAATAATGCAATCATCCACCAAATTTTACCTCACCTTCCGATCACAAATCTTCTTTGCTAAAAACAACACTAAACAGACTAAACATAAGAAGAAGAATAAAGATCTCCAAAAACTGATACTAACACACTCACAATCCAAATTGTACAAATACACATATTATTGCAGAAATTCACATATATACATACTAACGAAGAGCGAGAGAAAGAGTATACCTATACACATACAGATGAAAAAGTTTTAGTCGTTAGCTAGGCTATGAAAGTCTTAGCGTTCTTTTCAAAAGTTTAGACTTTTGAAGCTCAATCTTTTCTATGTTAAGAACCAGAGAGATAGAGAGCTACTCTTCTTCTTACACGAAAATCTAAATATTACAGTTCATTTTCAACTGTATTTATATATAGCGTTTAGCTGAAATGACGGATGTGCCACCAAGATGGGTCAGTTTTTACTTTTTTCACTTTTTTTTATTATTTTGACAGTTAATGGTAATAATTAGGGAGATTGGCTTAACTCTTAAATTAGTAGGAAGGCGATAAAACGTCGCTAACCGTTCCTCTATTTCTAGAACACGACTTGTCGTTTTTTCTAAAAGCGTGGGGTTTCTTTGACCTAGAGTTTGTTGTGCTAGATTGTGACCTAGGGCCCATTATTTCTTAAAATTATATTAATATTTAATCACAATAAAGAAAAATCGTAAAGGCATATAATTTTTGGGTTGACGCATGAGGGTGATATTAACCTATACTCTAGTATTATAGTACACTTTTCAAAAGATTTTTTGAGTACTTGGGTCCACCACTCCACCTTATTAAGCAATAAAATTTTGTTGTGGTTTAGATTCACTTGTTAAAATTTTTGAATACACAGGACTCCAATGAGGGCTATATATAAATTATTTGCCGACTTTGCACGTAATCAATTTTTGTTTTAACTTATTAAATACTTTAATTTATAAAATTATACTTATTAAATATTTTGTTTGACCATTAAATATCTGAACTGAGAAAGTAAATTAATTAAACACTTATTGAATAATTGAAAAATGTAAAAGTTATTGTTACACAAGTTGTATTAATCTTACGTCAAATCAATATTTTGCATATCAAAATTAAAAATTTTAAAAATTATTGTTGTCAATGTGAGAAGGTGACTTAAACTCTAAAAGTTAATTCAAACATTATGTTACCGAACACTATAAAAAATAATATTTAGACTACTTCAAAAGCTACTGCAGGGGACAATCTAAATCTTTTCTTATATTAATTTATGCTGACTATACTTATTGGGTGTGTTTAATGTATTCAATAAATGATAATAAGTATTTCCTTTGACTTAGGTGTACACTTGTGGGTCCATTTTTAGTTAGGCAAGAAATTTTATGTAGTATACTTAAATCATGCAACTCTTTTAGTCCAAAAAGGAGTTTATTAAAAGCACATATAGCTCCACAAGCACCAATCTAATTAAATTACTAAACGTTCTATTTTAAAATGAATGTGACTTTCTCATTGTTGCTGATTTTTTTAAGTGGAAAATGGATTAAAGAATTGAAGATTGGAGTGGAATGGTGATTTTTTTTTTTTTTTATTAGATACTTTATTAATGGGTTAAAGTGGGATGATTAGCTACTCATTAGCATGTCCATGCTGTGTGTTAAAAGATAATTTAGTGGATGATAAGCTATCTTGCATGTGTCAATAGAACTCTTATGCCATTATTCTAAGAGGAACCAAATAATGAAACTAAGGTTGTGATGTGTATTCTAATATACATTATTTATACTAAGTGGCACTTACCCAATTCTTAGGTATAGGTTCATAATTGTTTTTTGCTTTTTTCCATCAATATCACTTGTACGAGATTAATTTTATTTCGGAATTTTTAATTTCTTTCCACATAAGCATCACTCAAAGAGACAAATGTCTTCCAAAGTAGTGACAACGTTTCAACAAATTTGATGCGATGCTAGAATTCATTTCATTATGTGAATCAAGATATAGATCATTTTGTCGATATCTGGGCTAAGAGATGTATAGATACAAGAATGCCTTTCTTGCTTGGATTTGATTTCTACTGTGAGGCTATATGATATTTTGTTTAATTGTTATTGTTTCTTATTTCAAGAAAAGACTTCAATCTGATGTATAATTTATAGGGTTTTTTTTTTTTTCTTATTAGTATTTTCAAGTTAGGTTAGATGTATTAGAGAGGCCTAGTGGCCTGGGTTTAGATGCTTATTATGTTAAGTTTTCTTAGAATGTTAATAATTAAAAAAAAAGGTTTTGCCAATAAAAATTTTAAAAAAAAAAAAAACTCTATAGATTCTTAGATTTGTAAATTTTTAAAAAATGATGGGATACTAATTTTTCACATTGATTTGTTAGGAGTTTGATGTCTATGATTAGGCATCTTAAGAAAAAAAATTCCATATATAAAGGAGAAAACTTTATTTATTTATTTATTTATTTTAATCAAAGTTTAATTTTATTGATAGTATTATCAATTATTGAAACATTAAAATTACCCTGTGCATTTAAATTTTTTTATTCACTCAAATGAACGAATATTACAAAGTGATCGGGCATATTCAAACTAATTTATTATTAGTCAAATTAGATAATTAATAAATTTCCACTTGTATATTAATAAATTACAACTTGTTTTATAAAATAATAATAATAATAAATTACAACTTGTATAATTTATAGTTAGACGAATTTAAGATACATCTGTTGCTTTACCTTGTACATTAATATATTAACTATTTGAATAAAATAGTTTGAACCATAATTTCAAATAAACTTTTATTGAGCGTGAGGGTTCCTTTTTCTTTTCTTTTCTTTTTCTTTTAACAATCAACCTTGTACATTATATATATATATATAATTATTACCTCTTTTGATTTTATTGAAATTATGCAACATGCACATGGCAAATGGTAAAATTGGCAGGTACAGATTCATTAGGACTCTTATGAAGATGGGACCAAAGAGCCATATGTTCCCACTTCCACTTTCATTCTTTCATCATGTTGTAATTATTATGAATCATATGCATTTCTGAAAGGATAAGATTTTAACTCCATATGGATGCCTTCAATTTCTTCTTACCCAACCATACTTTAAACTCAATATAATTACTTTAATACTCATTATCTATATATTATATAATATATATATATATATGGAACCCATAAGGTCCTATATTTATAAATGTTAATGTATCTTAGGATTAACCTCTTTTTATGAGGTGGTGTCCTTCACACTTATGTAGGACTCCTGTGCAATCACTTCCATTCCTCACATTAAGAACTATCTGTGGTACTTTCCGGTGACTTGATCGAACATACGTATCGCAATTTTCAGAATTTTCTCATGCTGGAATGGTCTTTTTTTTCTCTGAGAGCTCCTGTGTCAATCACTTCCATTCCTCACATTAGACTATCTGTGGTACTTTCCGTGACTTGATCGAACTAAGCCTTCGCAATTTCAGAATTTCTCTGCTGAATGGTCTGTTTTCCTGAATCGGAATATTCTCCGTTACGTATTCTCTATAAAGATAAAAAAAAGATTGCAAAAAAATATAAAACTCTTGTTATAGTAATTTTAAACCTCACTTCTTTTCGTGTTAAGTTTGTGTCCGTTTCATGGTCAATATAATCCGACTATTATTTGTAGCTTTAAGAACTACGAGAATTATCCCATTAAAGTTTATCTGTTCAACCACACAATCTCATAGATCTCTTAACCTCACTTCTTTGTATTGATTTCGTCTATTGAAAAATATATTATTCTTGAAAAATTTATCTATATTAAATTAAATATACAAAAAAAAGAGACTTTACATCTTTACCAATTTGGTAAGTTTGGTTAACTACATATTAGACTACTAATTCTTTTCACTGTTACACAATTTTTCTCATTAATTATTATCTAATTAAATGCAAATAGCTTATAGCCTACTTTTATAAAATTTCTAGTAATTTCTTCTAAAAAAATATAAAATTATCAATTTTATAAATAATTGAAAGTCGATCTCCTAATATGAAAAAATGAAAATATTTAAATATGAATATTTCATTCTCTTTTAAAAATTATCATACCAACAGAAAAATAAAAGTAGTCTAAATAAATAATCATTAAAAGGGAAAGGAAAATGCACTAAATAGTTTAAGAGAATCAATTAATATTTAATTCTCTTCCTCTTTGTTTTAATTTGCTTGATTTACATATTTTAATTTCAATTTTCTTTTAAATTAATCTTGATTATATAATGTGAATTAAGTGTGACATGTCATAGTAATGTCCTTATCAACAAATTATAAATGCACGGTCGGTAAATTAATATAAATATATAACTAAATAAATATTGCTAAGCAAGTTGTCCCTTTTGAATTCTGGATGCCGGCAACCGCCCATTTTCCACCGCCGATTACTATATTTATATTATTCTCATATTATGTTTTATAATATATAATGATATGTTACAACCAGGTATGTTTTGATTAGTCTTCTCGCTAGTTCGCTAGTATAAAAAGTGAAATGTTTCAAATTCGAGTTATTTCAAAAATAAAAAATTTTTCACTAATTTAATGAGTAAAAAAAAAAAAAAGATGCTATGCAGTTCATAATGTTATTTCAGTTTATCGGGCTTCCTAATAGATAAAAAAATTATATAATGGTATGTCTAATGATCTCATCTCACACTAAATAATAAAAAAATAAAAATATCATCCATCACTATATAGCTAAGTTTCATTGTCATTGGCCCACATTCATCTACCTTATAATATTTCTCTTTGAGATTATTTGATGTTTATTGTTAAGTTTCATTGTCATTAGCACTTAATTATAGAATGCAAAATTAAAATTTTCCTTTGTAGTTTATATTTATAGTGACTATGAAGTTGTAGCTTCTCATTTGCTCTCCAATATAATAATTTGTAAATTAAATTATAATTTAATTTTAAAGATATTTTTTAAATACATATATCAATTTTGAAATGTATATTTATTTTTTTTTTTTGAAGAATTGACATATGAAAATTTTTATATTTTTAATCCTATTTCAAATATATCAATGAACCACTTGATGAATTAACTATGTTTATTAGTTTCCATTGAACAAACTTTCCCTAGAAAAATATTTGAAAGGTTTGAAATTTTCTATAAGAAAATTCTCCAACTCAATGATCGAATTGGGTTTTCCTCTTGCAATCATTTGTTTATATTTTGTCCATCACAATAAATAACAGGATAAAGACAAATGAATATGACTAGTACAAACTTTGAATTAGGAATATGAAATCAGAAATGCTTTTAACATATCCAAAAATTGAAATATTATATAATTTGCGAAATGATAATTAATAAATTGGAATTTCTTCTAAAAAGCAAATACATAAGAAAATGGAAATTTAATTGTGTGTCAAACTAATAAATTAATACTAATTCTCATCAAGTACATCACTAATCGCTTAATTAAGCTTCATCCAAATCATATTCGTTCGTCACATACTTTGTGCACAAGTTTTACAAGAAACCATGATGTGCAATACTTAAAACTCGAAAGCAACGAAACTAAATTGAATTAAAACACGTAATTAATTATTTTCATATTTTATATATATAAATAAAAGTAATTCGTAAAATATATTTTCATATTTGATGAAGATAATATATATTTTAAAGTCAATCAGGTGAAATTCGGTTAATATTCTGAATAACGTGGAAAAGTGGGAATCGAGTTTCAAATATAGGATTGGAATCCATAGTGCCTCCCAGCAAATTATACAAAAGAAAAGAATCATGTATGTTCTGTTTTTGGGCATTCAATATGGGCTTAAAGAAAAAAAGGTCTTAGAATAAAACGGACCTGGGTTGGGCTCTATTTGGGGTTATTAGTTCAATCGAGCCTTTACGAACAAGCGACATGTCATGCACGTGAGAAAATTGTTTATTTGTCGACGGATTATTTTTCGCATGTCAGAAAGTTAAGCAGACGAATTGTCGTTTCGATGATTTTAGTCGGCTCTTAAACCCTTAAAACCTCAGGAAACTTTAAAGTTGAATCAATGAACTAAAAACTGGTTCGCAGCCATAGCAGAAGAAAATAAGCAAAGACAAGAGCTGCAATGGTGAAGGCGTACCTGAGGTATGAGCCAGCGGCGTCGTTTGGTGTAATAGCATCAGTAGAATCAAACATAGAGTATGATAATTCCGGCAAGCATCTTCTATCTCCGGCGCTCGAAAAGATTGGAGTTTGGCACGTACGTCAAGGCATCTGCACCAAAACGCTAATTCCTTCTACCTCCTCTCGCGGGGGTACCTCCCTCGCAGTCACCTGTATTGCATCTTCTAATTCCTCTCTGGTATTTAATCAATTGCTCTCTTTGTCTTTTCTTTGGTTCTTGATAAAGGAAATGGGAAAAAGAGGAGACAGAAGGAAATTTAGTTGGTTAGGTTTAGTGGAGAACTGAAGTAAAAAGCTAATTTCTTTGTTTAAAATAGCCGGTGAAGTTTGCTACTTTAATCCAAACTGCTCCTTTTTTAGCTTTACATGTTCAAATTTAGTGTCTTTTCAATTAGCTGTTTGTTTTTACAAAACGAAGACACGAGAGAGTGAAGTGCCTTTTCAATTTGAATGCAGGTAGCTAGTGGGTATGCTGATGGTAGTATAAGAATTTGGGATGGTGAAAAAGGAACATGTGAGACCACATTGAATGGACACAAAGGGGCTGTCACTGTTCTACGGTATAATAAGTCTGGGGCTATACTCGCATCTGGAAGTAAAGATAATGATATTATACTGTGGGATGTGGTTGGAGAGACTGGCCTTTTTCGCCTTCGTGGCCATCGTGACCAGGTTTGTTATGACATGTTTTTAATGAAGTTAATGAATTATGTCCTTTACTGGGTGTATTTCGGCATTCTTGTTGTTATATCTGTTTTGTGTTTTGATGATTTTCTTATTGCAGATCACTGACCTTGTATTCCTAGAATCTGGTAAAAAACTTGTTAGTTCCTCCAAAGACAAGTTTTTGAGAGTTTGGGATCTTGAAACACAGCACTGTATGCAAATAATTAGCGGCCATCACAGTGAAATTTGGTCAATTGATGTTGATCCAGAAGAAAGATTTTTGGTTTCTGGTTCTGCAGACCCAGAACTTCGATTTTATATGCTTAAGCATGATTTGGGAGATGGGCAAGCCTTATCCATTGAAAATGGAACTGCGATTATAAAAAATGGAGATCCTTCTTCTCAAAATAAGTGGGAAGTTTTGAAGCTTTTTGGTGAAATTCAGAGGCAAAGTAAGGATAGAGTTGCAACTGTGAGATTCAATAAGTCAGGAAATTTGCTGGTTTGTCAGGTGGCTGGAAAGACAGTGGATGTATTCCATGTGCTGGATGAGAATGAAGCAAAACGCAAAGCAAAGCGTAGGCTTAATAGAAAGAAAGAGAAAAAATCAAAAAAAGGGACGGTTGAGTTAACTGAAAATAAAGATGTAACTCTTCAAACTGAAGAAGATGGAGGTGCCCTCACGGTTACAGTACCTGATGTTTTCAAGCTTCTTCAAACTGTTCGTGCAACCAAAAAGATTTGTTCCATCTCCTTTAGTCCAATTATTCCGAAAAACTCCTTGGCTACTTTAGCATTGTCTTTGAATAATAATTTATTGGAATTTTATTCTATTGAAAGCAATACAGCTACAAAATCTCTATCTATTGAGCTCCAGGGGCACCGTTCTGATGTCAGAAGTGTTACACTTAGTTCAGACAATAGTATTCTGATGTCAACAAGTCACAATGCAATAAAGTTTTGGAATCCAAGTACTGGTTCTTGTCTTCGAACTATTGATTCTGGTTATGGACTGTGTGGCTTAATTGTTCCACATAATAAGTATGCACTTGTTGGAACCAAAGATGGGAAAATAGAAATTGTTGAAATTGGGAGTGGTACTTGCATAGAGGTACTGGAAGCTCACGGTGGTTCAGTACGCTCTATTGCTTCCATTCCAAATGAAAATGGTTTTGTCACAGGCAGTGCAGATCATGATGTTAAGTTCTGGGAGTACCAAGTCAAGCAGAAAATTGGTCAGGTATGGTTCTTGATACACCATCGCTTCATGCTAATGTTATGTATCATTTGTTTTCATTTTCTTTATAAAGTCAAACTATTACCACATTAAAATCCTTTTTATTTAAACAAATTATCCAACTCTGCTTTAACAAAATATGTCAGAGTTTATGATAATCGCTAGAAAATTTTCATGTTCTATTAAGTTTATAATCATTTGAAAAAATTATAACTTTCTAGTGTACTTTTGGAATTTACAAGTTGCTAACAAATGGTTATGACTTGAATTAAGATAAGCAGCTTTTGAATTTGATTTCTTAGTTAGATTGTTTCTGTTTAACTTACAGGATACTAAGCACCTTGTGGTGTCAAATGTGAAAACTATGAAGATGAATGATGACGTCCTAGTGGTTGCAGTTAGCCCTGATGCAAAATATATTGCCATTGCACTATTGGATTGCACAGTGAAGGTTAAATTGACTCCCTCAACCTTTTCATTTTAGAATTTTATTCTTTTCTCAGTCATTTGGCTATATGTGTTCTAGTGGTTGCAGCTTTTTATTTTTTATTTCTTTTTACCTCAAGTTTTTGCTAGGTTGCATGTATTCTTATTCTAACTTTTAAGGGAAATGGAGGGCAACTGTCCATCCTGTAGCTTGGCTCTGGCAATAGTCAAATTCACAAAAAGAAAAGGAGGTGAAAGAGCATCGCTGGTTTAAAAATAAAATAATGAGGATAAAGACTGAAAATTAATCGATCAATGCAATATTTATCCTTTATTATCTTATGATGGAAACTTAGGAAAAAAATGCCTAGCGTTAGAACTTATTTACCAAATTAGGACCTTGGAGCCAAGATTTTTTGCTTGGTTGTAACCATTTTTGGTTACTTCTACTCGGAATTTTATTCTAAAGCACCTGTGTTAAATGAGGATTTTGACACGGTATCTCTGACATTGGAAGAATTAGCAAAACCTATGAAAGTTTGGAAATAATGGTGCCCAACAAGCAAACACATATCATATTCAATGCACCCTCTGTGGAAAGAACTGGTATATTGCTACGGGAATACTGTAGTGCTTGAATAAATTGTATGTATGGAAATCTGTATTCCTCAAAGTCACTAATTGTACTGTTACACTGCATCTATTGTTTTCAGGTTTTCTTCATGGATACACTTAAATTTTTCCTTGCGCTATATGGTCATAAACTGCCAGTTCTGTGCATGGATATTTCATCAGATGGAGATTTGATTGTTACTGGTTCCGCAGACAAAAATTTGAAGATTTGGGGTATGGATTTTGGTGACTGCCATAAATCCCTTTTTGCCCATTCTGATAGGTGCGACATATTTATATTCTCACATGAACTGGATAATATTTTTCTGTCAGTAATGGCTTCTCTAGATTAGTAAAACTTTTGGCATGTGTAAAATTCTGATGAGCTGTTGCTGCAGTGTTATGGCAGTGCAATTTGTGCGCAGTACCCATTATGTGTTCAGTGTTGGGAAAGATCGCCTTGTAAAATACTGGGATGCTGATAAGTTTGAGCTGCTTTTAACTCTTGAGGGACATCATGCAGATATTTGGTGTCTTGCAATCAGCAATCGTGGTGATTTTGTTGTCACTGGTTCTCATGACCGGTCCATACGTCGCTGGGATCGGACTGAAGAGCCATTTTTCATTGAGGTATTATCTTCTTGATTTATTTATTGTGTTAGCTAGTTTGTTTCTCCTAATGCTATCCTGATGCAGTTAATATTTGATAGTCATTAGTTCTTAGCAGTAAAAGATTTGATACAGATATATTTTAGAGTCATTGGTTCTTAGCAGTAAAAGGTATCATTTGATTTTGCAGGAGGAGAAGGAAAAAAGATTGGAAGAAATGTTTGAGGCTGACCTTGAAAATGCATTTGAAAACAGATATGCGTTGAAGGAAGAACTACCAGAGGAGGGAGCTGTGGCCTTGGCAGGAAAGAAAACTCAAGAAACCCTTACAGCAACTGACATAATTATTGATGCATTAGATGCAGCAGAGGTGGAATTGAATCGTATTGCTGAGCATGAGGTATGTTGTTTCTTCTCTGTGTTCAAGTTTGCTGAGCATAAGGATTTTTTTTTTTTTTTCCAAAGAAGATAGTGAACATTTTGTTTTTCAGGTGATTATCATACTAGGTTACATAGTTGCCCTTGAGTGCTGGAGGGCTTATAATTAAGTGCATTGGACTTCACTTGGTTAAGCATGGGTGTGTTGCTACCCAGTACCCATCTTCTTGATGACATGAGTTCTCCTTGAATTAGTATTAGGTTTTACGGGGGACAATATGATCTGTAGTTTTAATACCTGTTATTTATTTTTGGAGTACTGTATACAGCTTCCAGGAAAGTTACGGGGGACAATATGATCTGTAGTTTTAATACCTGTTATTTATTTTTGGAGTACTGTATACAGCTTCCAGGAAAGTTACGGGGGACAATATGATCTGTAGTTTTAATACCTGTTATTTATTTTTGGAGTACTGTATACAGCTTCCAGGAAAGTTACGGGGGACAATATGATCTGTAGTTTTAATACCTGTTATTTATTTTTGGAGTACTGTATACAGCTTCCAGGAAAGTTACGGGGGACAATATGATCTGTAGTTTTAATACCTGTTATTTATTTTTGGAGTACTGTATACAGCTTCCAGGAAAGTTACGGGGGACAATATGATCTGTAGTTTTAATACCTGTTATTTATTTTTGGAGTACTGTATACAGCTTCCAGGAAAGTTACGGGGGACAATATGATCTGTAGTTTTAATACCTGTTATTTATTTTTGGAGTACTGTATACAGCTTCCAGGAAAGTTACGGGGGACAATATGATCTGTAGTTTTAATACCTGTTATTTATTTTTGGAGTACTGTATACAGCTTCCAGGAAAGTTATTTGATCTTCAATGTAGATTTCTTTTTTTTATGAAAATGGAACTTTGTTTTTAAGAGGGAGATTTCATTCTTTGAATGAGAGATTAGATTTGTCATAAAAGTCATAAAATAGACTGGTTTTTGGGAGAGAATGTAAGAGGGAGAGAACACAAAGAGAGAGAGAGAGAGAGTGAGAGAGAGTTGAGTTCAAGGTTATATCACTTGCTTATCTTGAGACATGTGGCCTTCAGTCACTTTTTCATCCCATATAAGTTTTATGTGGCAAAAGCATTATTTGTGGGCTACAGGTGGCAGAATAGGCCCTTTATTTTACAATTTACCCTGTTTAGCCTAATATAGGATCTTTCCTAACAATTGAATTCTAGACTACCTAGTTATTTGCACTAGTCAGATTATTGAATTAGACCGAATTGATATGTCTGTATTTTTATTTTCCAGGAGGAGGAACCTAGGGGAAGAGTTGCTGAATTCCAACCAAATCCTATTTTGCATGGGCTTGCTCCATCTGATTATGTTCTTCGTGCACTTTCAAATGTTCACACCAATGATCTGGAGCAGACATTACTGGTACGTAAACTGTGTGATTTTCCTGAAAGTCATCTGATACAGGCAAACTAAGGGTTATATTGGGGCATTCATTGATATTGGAGATGAACTAGTTACTGTATGACTACCATTTTAAATAATAAATTTTTTTAGGGACCCTGGACATAATCTTAATTTCAACAAGTCAAAATCATTCTTAGCAGGTTTGAACCTCCTATATATTAATAGGTTTTGTGGATCAGTCTTTCCAGTTCTGAATTATGGTTCATATGTCATGTTTCTTCCATGTCATTTTTGTCTCAGACCTATGTGGCATGCAGTCAATTTTTAGGTGCTAATTAGATTCCACACTTGAAAAATTAAGCTGGCCAAGTTGTCAACCAGCTATTCTGCGTTAAGCTAGTGCAATAGATTTCTTTCCAAGTAAAAGTTCCCGAAACATATACTTGGAATGCACATGGTCACTGTTGCTGCTGACACCTCACTGTGTCTCATTTTCTTAATGTCTTCATTCAGAGGTAAAATAGATGCCACTTACTCTGGAATCAAATGAATGTGTGAGTATGTGTGTGAGAGAGAGACACACAGAGCTTGTTACTTCTAGAACTTAATTGTTTTGAGAACTAAGAAAAAATTCACCTTTTCCCACTGCCTAATGATTGTGCTCTCAAGACTGTTCTTAAGTTGATAACCTATCAATTTCTGGTTTTGCATTTTTTCTTGAAACTCTAAGCATAAGTGGTTTTCTTTGCAGGCTTTACCATTCTCAGATGCTTTGAAGCTTCTCTCCTACTTGAAGGATTGGGCCTCAAATCCTGATAAGGTTGTGTGTCGTACAGAAACATTCAAATTGTGTGTTATAGATGCTTTCGTTTAATGTCATTTGATCTGGTTACCTGTTTAGTAGGGCTGTTTAGAATTAACCCGCATAAGCCGTAATCTTTCAAGTGTTAGATATTTTGTGAATACAAAGATACTATATATTAGTTTTTCATCCTGGATAGGACTTGTAGAAAAGCAAATTTAGTTGCTCAGGTTAAGTTGTGAATAGCCTTACTGTTCAGTTTCCATACAGAAATTGGTTTTTCCATCTACTTTGAATCTTGTTCATTACTTGCTCGTGAAAGAATGTGAGTGTCTATTTTACTTTTAGTTACTGTAGTTCTGTTGAAGTCATTACTTGTATTGCCTTCCAGGTCGAGCTTGTTTGTAGGGTTGCTACTGTGCTATTGCAGATACATCATAATCAGCTGATTACTACCCCAGCTGCAAGACCCATCTTGACTGTTCTTAAGGATATTCTTTATGCAAGAGTCAAGGTAATCACGTCGTCTTCCAGCAGGTTAATTTGATGTCATGTTTCTTTTGGATTAGATAATTGAATTTTTCAGGCAGAATGCAGCTATATAGATTTTAATTAAGTTGGGTGACAATTCAATTCTGACACTGGTACTGACATAGCATCTATGCATATGCATAGCATGTTGTACTTTGCCTCATAAATGTCATTTCGTTTTCCGCTATATTAATTAAAGATTGAAAAATTTGAAATTCCGCATTAACATGATATTTGAACTTGGCAGGAGTGCAAGGATATTCTTGGTTTCAATCTTGCAGCAATGGATCATCTCAAGGTGTGAATATGAGAATGACTTTTGATTGTGACTACTGAACTGAAAACAGTTGTTTCCTTTCTATTTATAAAAGAAATTTCCAATTTTTTTCCTACCTCTGGTTTTAAATATTTACTTATTTTGTTTTTTGGTCCTTTTAATGTATCAGCAATTGATGGCTTCAAGATCAGATGCACTCTTTCGTGATGCAAAAACAAAGTTGCTAGAAATCCGTTCGCAGCAGTCTAAACGTTTGGAAGCAAGGACTGATACAAGAGACGAGAAACGAAAAAAGAAAAAACAGAAGAAATAAATTGATGCACATACGTGGTCATGAGTAAGCAAGACTTCTGGGAAATGGAATAGTTGCATTGACTGAATAGATAATCAGTTAAATGACCGTGTTAAACACAACACCAATCTGAAAGCAGAATACTTTATATATATTGGTTTTTGATCAAAGCCATAACCACAAGTGGAAAAGAAATTGGCTGCAGGGAAGGTGGGTGGAATGCAGATGCCAACCTTTATGCATCGAAGCCTGCAATTTTGGAAGTCATTATTTAGTGAGAACCATCTCATCCTGCATGTAAAATTTGTAGCTTTTTTTAAGAAAATGAGCCAAAGTAGTTTCAGTTTCCCATAGCGTGGATGTTTATTTGTGAACATAATATTATTTATCAAATATATTAAAATCCACCTCTTGCAATTTTTCAGAGGGAAGTTATTCTAATAACACGATCTATACATCTAGCCTAATTGAAATTTGACCTGATGATGGAGTTGTTTTTTCTCAATCCTCCCCAGAGCTTAAAAATGTGGGATGTTTTATGCATTAGGTCTCCCTTTCTTAATGGAGTTGTTTGTGTAAAATGTGGTTCATATCTTTTCAAAGAGCTCTTCTATTTTCTCTTTAGACTTAGGTACTGTATTGTTTTTCTAATTGCTTCCATTTTTATTTTATTACCTAGTGCTCAATTTTCATTTCAATACAAGGTTAGATATAGAAAACAAGTTAGTGGAGTAGTAGTCTAAAGCTTGAGTGCTTGTTTCAGGGTGCAAGGGGTTCAGATATTTCCATGCACCAAAATAAAATGATGAAAGCAATAGAAAGAAATTTTGACTATGCAAATGTTAGAGGCTATTTATTATTAGCTTGAATTTATGTATGTACAGAAATGTTGTTATTACATCCAACGCTCAATTTTTTCCATTAGTAGTAATGACCAACATGAACTTCTTTTGAAGACCTCCAAACATATGATCAGCAATTAGGAGACAAGAATTAATTTGTCCATATGTATATGTAATAAGTTGCCCAGATTCCTTTATGATGCTCTACTTGAAGTTTTTGCCCTCAAAAGTCTGACCAAATTGCCAGTTCTTAGGGGCAACATGCCATGCAGTTGAGGATCTTCCATCGCTTGTTCTAACCCTGAAGGTGAGCGACTCTCCTTGCAGAATGCAACTGGTCTTCCAGGTAGTTCCCCAGTCACGTTCCATCTGGGTCCATTTCACCTTGTCACTTCCTTTCACTTGAAGACCAATAACATCTCCAGCTCCACCAACATTCCATACTGTCACCTGATAGAACCAAGGATTCCCATTTATTGTAAACCTGATTCCTCCTTTCTTCTGGCATGGAACCCTGCACTCAGAGAAAGTGACTTATATTTGAATAAATAGAAGCAAATGAAGTTCTTGTACATGATGACCTTTAAGTTAGGCAGGAAAAAGGAAAGGAAATATATAATCCAACCTGCGGTATTGGACAGGGATAACGCCGGCTGTGTAGTCTGCAAGATTATTGAAAACAGGCTTGGCTATGTCAAAATGCTCACATGGTGGGTTACACCATCCTCCATTGTCATTTGATAAAGACGGATTTGGTGGGCAACGATCTGTTGCTGTGATAATGATAGAACCTGGTTTGCACCATTTTGGCTCATCCTTACATTGAATTTCATAACAAGCACCACATGTTTGCCCATTTTTGAACAGAGCATCGCTTAGAGCTGCAGTGTTAAGGCCATAGCCTTCTGCTACAACATCTTTATAGTTGCATGCTCCTCCTGCACAGTTTAATGTTGTTAAGTTTAAGAATGAAAGAAAAAAGAAATCTAGTTTTGTAATTAGGCAGGGCCACCAAGTCGAATTGGGACTGGAACCTGCGTGAAAAATGGACTAGGATTGGCCAAAACTAGAATCAAAACCGAACCAGGGGCGGACCTAGGTAGTGGGTTTGTCACCCCAGAAATAAAAAAACAAAAAATCCTTTAAAAAAAATCTACATTTTGCTCTTTCAAAATATATTTTGCCTCTAAAAATTTTAAAAAATTTTGTTTTACTCTCAAACTTTATTTTCTAATTCCGCCTCTGAAAGAGGATAGGAATCGGTGCTCCCATGAATCAGAACCACCGGTTCCGGACCTTGGCCATGCATATTTGTAATGTGATGCAATGACATCCTAAAGCCATGGCTAGAAATGGTTTACCAAAGGAATTGGTGCTGCCTTCATAAAAGGTGGCACGAGCTTTGGTCCATGGTCCTGGCTTGAACTTTGGTTTCTTCGATTTGGCTACTGGAGAACTAAGCTGGCGTACAATTGCATGGTAAACACTTGCATGACAACTACTCAATGCAAAAGATAAAAGCAATATTGTGGCGTAGAGGGCTCTCAAAGGCGATGCCATGCTGCTCAGCAAATTAACAACTTTTGGCACTGCCTTTGGTTAATCTTCTTTTATTATCTAATTCTTTCAAAGAAAAAATAAATTCTTGTCTCTTTTCTTTATTTTGTTAGATCCTTGCAGGGGTTATGGATATTTATATTGATATTCTTTGCAAGTGTTTGTTATTGTTTTTGCTATTCTTAAGGCTAATTTTGACAGGATACTGTTGGATTTGGTCTTGTAGGTGAGCATGACCGTTCGCTCTGTTTGCTAATTTTAACACAAGAAGCTCAATCGTATGTGTATATTCTAGTTCCCACCTTCTAACTTTTCTTTGGTGGGAATATTTAGATTTATCAGGATAAACTTGGAGGCCTTGTTAGGCCTTTTTAATAAAACTATATCCTTATTTAAAGAAAAATCCAAATTCATTTCAGTTATTTCGTTAGACTCGGGTATCATTGAAGAAAATTTATAATTCTTTTCAAGAGATTATATGATGATATATAGGTATCGGTAAAACAATTTATATTTATCAACCCACAAACAAAGACATAAAATAATTAGTTAAAGGCTATCAACTTTGGTTGGGATAGAGTGGTCTCCACTCCTTTAATCAAAGGTCTCGACTTTAAACTTTGGGTATGGAAATTGTCAAGCCGAGAGTCACCCCTGTATGAGCCTCTCAGTACTCGAGCTGGACATAGTCGCAGTCCTTCAAAGACCGGTGGTCAGAGACCCAAAAAAAAAAAAAAAAATGTGATATGAGGATCGGTAAAACAATTTATATTATGAACGCCACAAACAAAGACGATAAATAATTTAGTTAAAGGCTCATCAACTTGGGTTGGGAGACGAGTGTCTCCACGTCCTTTAATCAAAGCTTCGATTTTGAAACTTGTGGTATGGAATTTGTCAGCCGAGAGTCACCCTGTATGAGCGCTCTTCAGTGACTTTCGAGGCTGGACATAAATCGCAGTTCCTTCAAAGACCGGTGTAGAGACCCAAGAAAATAAAAAAAAAACAAGTTTAAGGGATATATATATATATATAAGACGTGAGAGCCTAAACAGGGGGTAGACTATTCAAGCTGAAACAGCACATAAGGCATTGCATGCTAATGAATTTGGCTGTTCAGAGCGAGCTAGAACAATTGTCTCACACAGGTCGCAATTAAACTAACTCTCATTATTTAGTTCATGATAAGATTTGCATGAGTACAGACAAGCAGTTAGGCCAAGTAGTTTCCTGATTAGGTAACAGATGATTAAGAAACAAGAGTAAAAAAAAAAAAAAAAAAAGTTTAAGGATATATATATATATATATAACTGAGACCTAAACAATAGACTATCAAGCAAACAGCACATAAAAGCATTGCATGCTAATGAATTGGCTGTTCAGAGCAGCTAGAACAATTTCTCACACAGTCGCAATTAACTAACTCTCAATTATTAGTTCATGATAGATTTTGCATGAGTACAACAAGCATTAGCCAAGAGTTTCTATTAGGTAACAGATGATTAAAATCAAGAGTAATACACTTAAAAACGATGTATCAGTTGCTTGTATGCATCCTTATTTTTGGAGTAATACTCGATCTCCGCCTGCAAAAAACGAAAAACCCCATCATACTGCATATGAATTTAGGCAAATATCAAAGTTGCTTTTCTTTTAACTGACTCAAATGCATATTATTGCAGTAAAAATTGCCTTTCAACGTTAAAATGTTCTTGTTCTGAAACCATACCCAAATAAGAACAGAGGCACTCACGATTATCAATTAGAAAGCAAAATTTGAACATACCTTGCGAACTCCTTTTATAGCAACCAAAAGCTTTTCCCCAATTAGATTCTCGAAGACATTGTCTTTCTTGAGAGCTTCTAAAGACTCTGAAAGTGATTTAGGTAACCTGTGTGGTTTTGCATCTAGAATAGAAGGATTTGTATCTGTTTAAAAGTGAAAATAAGTATATATTGGCGAAAAGGGAAAAGTGGAATAGGCATGACTTTGCAACATTAATTATCAAAAGAACAGATAAGTCAAGCAGCAATATCAGTTATGAGAACATCATATTCAAAATCTTTTTTTTTTTTTTTTCTAATGCCTTTAATTTGAATTTAAATAATAAAAGCTTCAGTTTTTCAAAAGGTAAAAGGAAAAGAGCATCCCTAGTATCCGTAATGACTAATGAGTGATATAGCATTTGAATTACTGTGTAATCTTACCAACAGGTTCAGGAAGAGAAAGGTGCCTTCTAAGGCCATCAATACCAGCAGCAAGTATAGCAGCCAAGCCTAAGTATGGATTTGCACATCCATCGAAAGCTTTAATTTCAAAGTTGCTAACCAGACCATCTGAGATTCCTGGTGGGCAAGCAGTTCGTAATGGAGCTTCCCTGTTTTCTTTTCCCCAGCATTGATATGCTCCACTCCATGTATTTGGCTGTATTCGATCATAACTATAGAAATGACCAGAGATGGACATTAATAAGGATGGTTAGAAACAGCCCATTTAAAAACAGTAAAACAACAATGTCCAATGTATAACTGTTACTACATTTTGCATGTCTAAGATGATAGTTCAGAAACACAATCATGCGTAAGCATTTATTTCAGCAATAGTCAAGTAGAATGAATCAATATGCAGAAATAACTAGGCCCAAAGCCCCTGCAAGATAATTCCTTACAATCATATTATTTACAAAAATAATGGAATAGTATAGCATAAACTACCAAGAATTAAAACTATCATCAGAATGAAATGAAAACCTATTTGGAAGTGGTGCTGTGAAAGCCAAAATTGAAGGAAGGTGATGTAGAACCCCAGCCATAAACTGCTCCCCAACACTTGAAATTCCATGCTTAGAGGAACCACCAGATGCCATGAAAACATTTACTCCATTCTGCCACAGGCTGATATGAACGTGGGATCCAGAACCAATGTCATCCAGTGCATACCTAGGCAAGGGCAGAAATTAGTCATTTACCTAGATGATTTCGCTGTTACATCATAAGAGCCGGTTTGCACAAAGTTTGATGTAGCCTGATGAACTAATTGAGCATATAAAAGCAAACCGAACCGCAGCCGTGACAACAAAATCTTATGCAACAAAATATTAACCGTAATGGAACCAATAAAGATGGAACTGTCTATTTTAAATGAAATTATCTTTCTATAAGCACCTTTTTATCCTCAACATTCCAGGAACTCAACATATATTTTTTACAATTTATTTTCAGAATATTGTGATCAAGAAAACAAGTAACAGCCAGTATTAAGACAAAATCATGAACCTACTTGGGCATAAAAGTTGCCAATAATCCATGTTTCCTTGCAGTAGCCCTAATAACCTCACGGGCAAAAATTAGGTTATCGGCAGAGGACGAACAATCTGTGTGCCCCAAGGCCATTTCATATTGACCTTTTCCAGCTTCTTTGTGCAACTGCAACAGTTTTAAAAGCCAAGGAACCAACAAAAGCAGGAAAATTCAAATTATGTTGAAAAATATGTACACATGAGAGAGAGAATCCATAAGATATCAAATGGCATTGAAATGAAAAAGCAGTTACTTCTTAAATTAAGATTTAAGTTCAACTATTGCCTATGATTAATAGAAAGGTTATGGTTCCAAAGCTTTCATCAGTCCTTTATAAAAAGAAAACTTGCAAACAAAAGCTAAGAAACTAACAGTAGGGATAGGTATAGATTTTATGATGAAGTTGGCATACTTCTAATTTATCAGGAAATGAAACCCGAAATTTGAATGTAAATGTCAGCAGCATTGAAATTTTTCTACTGCACCTGTTCCACAGTAATATTTAAGGACTCAAGTGCAGCAAGGAGTTCGTGAAATATAGGGGCAGCAGCATCATATCCTGATGCAGAGCAGTAGGGGGCTGAGTCAATTGGTACCCATTCTTCTTTCCCTTCCCTGCAAGAGTATGAATTGTGTTCAAAAATAATTTCACAGCCCAATCCATTGCTTGAAGGAAAAAGGTTACGTACTTTGACACACTCTTCAACAGCACAAACTCATTTTCAAATCCTGCATTCATTAGCTGATAATGTACTGTTAAAAACTCGTATAAATACAATAAAGAGATAAATTTACATATTTTCAGTTGTGACTTATTAAGATACTTGTATCTAACTTACCAAGTTAAATTCATCTTTCAAAACTTTGGAAACCCTTCGTAAGGCGTCCCTCGGACAATACTCCCATGTTTCACCAGGTCTAAGGTGCATGTCAGCCAAAACCATTTCCTCTTGGTTCATCCTATTGTAACAGATATGATATTAATTAAATTGTTACACTAACAAACATGTGCCAATGCCATAAAACAGACAACATGGGAATACTAACTAAACTTTCAGATAAGTGAACCAAAAATAACCATAAAGGTAACTGTAAATCTGGATAATAATTGACCAAACAGAAAGCAGCACAAAGCAAGCACAACATAGTTCAAGAATGTGGCAAGTGTTAGGGCATTCTGATCAGGAAAGCCAAGAAGCTAGGCATCGGCCTTGCTTCCCTCAGGCAACTTGTTATCATTCGTGCTTTCCATCTTTTAGTTATTGTCCATTGTAAATCTAGATCGCTGCTCCGGTTCATAGTCAGTTGATTGTGGGAACCATGTCTAAGTATGCCAAGTCTGATTTTTCTAGGTTCCTAATAATGATCAGATTGAACCAAAATGATAAACCCATGATCATCTAACAATTTTAAGTTCAATTCCACGCAAAACTGAAGTCATACTTTAAGTCTGTCTGTGGGTGAGCACTCGGTTAGTGGAAGTAAACAAAATATGTTAGAAGAAAACCAAACCTAACTAAATAGGTCTATTTCAGTTATTCTGATTGCTGCATGAAAATGGGATTTCTTTATACCATAATAACCAAATAATCCACATTCCTATAGTGGTTAGAGAAGGGATTCTTGATTGTTAAGCTTTTTATAAGGTGAGCATTTTATTCAGAACATAAAGGAATATGATGTCCTTCATTTGATATATTCCAAGCAACATAGGTTTTTGCAAGCCTGTCTAAAGTCAGTTTACACCAAATCTTAGACCTATTTTAAGAGAGACTGTGTATGCAGCACTATTATCCAAGCTGGAGATGTTAAGGAGAATAAAGGGCTGGAGCAAGGGTAGCTGAACCTTCTGGTTGGCTTCCATGAAAGCTGTGATCTGGTCTATGTTCAGGTTTTGAGCACAGATATATATACCAACAATTTTCCATTTCCATACAGACTCTTCATTAGATAGTGGGATGCAAAGCATCAGCAAGTTATATGGTCACAACTAAAAATTAAAATAATGCAAGGAAAAATAGAAATATTTGATAGGTAAAAGGCCAGTTAAATTCCTTGATCTAGAAATAGTACCATGGGATTGTCTTTTTAGTTGATAAATCAGGCATCAGCCTGATCTCACCCACTCCAGTCAGGTTTGTCTCATCTGCTGGACCATCAACAGCTGAAGTCATTCCCATACTTGCAAAAGTCAAACCAATACCATTCTTCTTCACGACATCATTGAAGCGCTTTACTGGAACAACCTGAAAATATATATTACATGAATAAAAAATAAAACTAAAAATCCAGCAACTTAGGGACCACTAGCTATTTACATGAGCCTAGAATGATCTTGAGTTTTCAGTTTTAAGATATATCAAGCACCAAAGAAGTCCTCAGTGACTTTTTACTAATGAAGTACTTCTCCAACATAATTCCACAATGGAAGAACCAAACTAAGAAGACAGTAAAAAATTAGTTCAAGGAAGAAAAGTACTTACTCGGCATCTGTGTTGTCCAGAAGAATCAACCCAGATGATACGAACAAGTGAAACATCATTGTTTGAAGTACTATTCACGATGTTCACAAAATTAGCAGACACAATATCTGTTGAATTAAATGTTTTCACATTTATATTAATCTTATATAATTTAATTGCATTTTGTGCTAGGATTCCTTGAGCTGCTTCAATGGCTTCAGGAATTGTGAGGTCACCATCACAACATGCATCATGTAGCACAGAAAAAATTATTTCACGTGACTTCCTTGCACCTGTAAAAACAAGAGGCAATAATATCAAACATCATTTCCATAGTTAGTATGCTTCTAGGAAATATGAAAAAAATAAAAGATAGATAAAGGTAAATTTTTGTCTAGTAATTTCTCTGACCCTTGCATAATTTTCTAGTAATTATTTTAGCAGCAATGATGAAGAATGACAGAAGGTAAGCTGAAACGGTTTGGTTGTGTACACTGAGAAACAATCACTACAGACACAAGGGAGCATGTCAAAGTGTAGAAAAATTGCAAGTTGAAGAGAAGAACCTGCACATGTAATTGATTTTGCCCCCACTTTTATGGTGAAGACAATAAGATGTGTGCAAAGCAGACAAAAATCCAAATAAAAAAAGGTCACAAAATCAAATTCATAGCTTGAGAGCCATAAAAAAGCATCATCATCAAGATTGACAATCATATCAAAATCAGCTGATGAGAATTAAACAAACCTAAGTAATGTGTTTCAGGAAATGCATAGCCATCAGTGCTGAACATAACCTGCAAATTTGATTATGTTTAATATCAAATATCATTAGTTTAAACCTAATAAATGTCAGCTAAAAAACACATGAAGCAGTGAGCATCACAGTCGCATACTGTTTGTTTGCATGGACACACATTCATATTACCATACATATGCACAAGCACAGGAAGAAAATAATAATGGTGTTTGGCAGCATGTGGTACAAAGTGTGGTTATCTAATCTAATGATGTCATTAAAAGAAAATATAGCAAGAATTTCCATTAAACTAATTGAAAAGAAAATTCTCACAACTGCACTATGTAGAAAATTTTCTCTTTTCATATCTCTGAACTGGGACGGTTATCACCTTATTTAATGGAGCTAGCTCCAAAAGTTCTTTGAGTGAAGATATCATCCCATGTACACTGAGTTTAGGAACTGCCAAGCCAAAGTCAAGGTACACCTGAAAGCATAAGCATTGCATCATTGAAAGGGAACTTACAAAGTAAACACTCCAATCACATGCATAGAGAGGGAAGAAATGATTCTACCTGGGGATAAACAGATGCTAAATATGAAGCTTCCTTTGAAAATGGATATGATGCATGTAGAAGAACAATACGACATTTAGAAAATCTCTCATCCTCAAGAAGCATTCGAAGATGAAGAGGATTGGACAATCGCAGATCCAAATCTTTATCTCCAAAACTAAATGTGGGGATAAGAGTGAAGCAATAAATAAAAAACTAAATTGTCAAGGGAAAGAGTCATAATAGATAAATGTAGGAAAAGGAATGGTAACTGGAATCTTTAGTACTTGTCAAGGGATTCCCAATGTGGACCAAGTTGACAGCTGATCCATCTCACTGACAAGCACACCTTGTGTTGATAGTAGGTTTCAACTTCAAATAATTTAAGCATGGTTTTTAGCTTCACAGATGACTGCATTCTAGATTTTTCAATCAGCTCCAAATATACCTTAAGTCCAAGTTTCCAGTTCCTTTTCCCACACTTCCCAGCCATCAATCAAAGCATAAATTGAAAATATAATAAATTTTTGTTTTACCCTGTGTGTATCTGAATTGGCAAGTCAAACTGTAAAGCAACCTCCAAACTATGCGTGAAAATATAGTCAATAAGGCTTTTATTGATTATGTGAACAGGCTTGCCAGCTGGAAAGGGCAATTAATTAATATATTGTGAGATTAAAACAAAAAAGCACCAACCCATTTGCCGCTCACCATGCAAGACTTCAGCAAGACCTTCCTCAGCAGCTTTTGTGGTGACAGTAGTGTTTATATCTAGGCCACTGCGGTATGCAGCTATGCTTTTCAAGCTAACTACTTTATCAGCAACAGTAATATTGTAAGGAATTAACTAAACAGGGAAACACTTCTTAATATAAACAGAATAAAAGAATCAGAAAAATGACCACAATAATATTTCAAAGGATATGACCTCAAGCTCTCCACAAAGGTTTCAATGAACTTATCCAATGTCCAAGCTGATCCATCTGGCCTCTCCTGCAAAATACAAAAAAGAGAGAAAGCCCTGATGAAAATTTGAATTTAAAGGACAGCATAGATGTTGCTGTTAATGCTGACTTGCAAATAAAGAAAACCTTATGTTATGTTTAAGGACCAAAAATTAGAAATAACAGAACTCAACTTTCATGGACTCAGATAATAACAAAAACCACTCAAAAGTGGAAAAGAGGCCACTATGATTCTTTATTAATTTTTATCCTCTGGAATTGAATTCATGGTTTATTATTATTAGGTCAATGACTTAAATGTAAAGTTTCATAAAACTGATCTGAACTGATTCTTCCATGGCATTATTACGTGAGTCATGGAGCATAATTTTCATTGAAAATTCAAATGCTCAAGCTACTAGAGAGTGAAATTATGCAAAGGCAAATAAAACTGTGAGTCTGACCTTATATCTTCCTCTTGCAACGTGAAGCTAAAATCTATACTGGAAAGTTTAACTACTTGAACAATGAAAGTAACCCGGTCACAGTTTCTATTAAAGTTGATGAGCATTGACTTTCACCACTTTGGTCAAAGGTAAAAAAATGATAATAAGCACAATATGAGACATAACACATTTCACAAAAACATACCGATTACTCTTAAGTACCCATAATCACCAGTGAAAAAGCAAAAAGAAAAAGGAAAAAACATCTCACATTATCAAGAATTTCCTCAGCCAGGCGTTCAATTCTCAGTATTCGACCAACAAATGGAGTGAAACTCTTATGCCACTCAATATCATGCTTCTTGTCCAACTTCAATCCATCATCAATAAGAGTTGCAGAGATTCTAGCAGCATTAAAGCATTTCAAACTAATGTTTTCCAAGCCTGAAGTTCTGCGATGCTCTTCAACAGCTTGCATTGAATTCTCACATCCATATAATTTAGCAATTTCCTTCAAATTCCTCTTCAATAAACAAAACAATCTAGTCAAATCAACACCAAGTAACCAAAAAATAACAACACAGATTGACCTTTATCTAAAAACATCATCCAAGAAAAGTCAACCAAATTTGCAAAGCTTACCTCCAGAAATCGGATTTATTAATTTCTGTACATATCTACCAGCAATTACATTCAACAGTTACAGAAGCTATACAAAAAATTTCCAGACATATCTTCAACTAAAACCAAAATTAAAATTTACTCAAGCCAATAACACACACACATCCACTAAAAGCAACTACCTTGCAGGAGAGGGAGTGAGAAGCAAAGGACAAGGCTTCACCGGCCGCTTCAGAGAAGCCATTGATGAAAGGAAAAGAAGAATCGAGAGCAACAATGTTGTGAGCGTGAGCATCGACTAGCTCTACCTTCTCTATCGCTTTCCTTAGCTCTTCGAACTCCATTTTTGTTTTGTTTTCTTTCGTTTACTTCTACGGATATAGAGAGGAAGTTTAACATAGGCGCGCGCGTGCTAAAGAAGTCCACGTGATGTCCCTCCACCCGACTTTCTACAAGTCAAAGGTTCTATTTTTAGTATTTCATTATAGACAAAACATTTACGAGCATTTATTACATGGGAAATCAATATATATATAACGAGTTGACACATGGCATATTCATTTAACAATTTAATTTGACAAGATTCTATTTTGAGCGTTTGATTATAGCCAAAACATTTACGAGCATTTATTATATGGGAAATCAATATATATATATAATGAGTTGACACGTGGCATATTTGATATTTTAATTTGACACATGGCATATTCTTTTAATTAGATTTTCACTTGATATAGTTTGATTTAATTATTTAATATATTAATGTGGTTTCATTTGGTTTGAATTTGATTTATTTTGAATTAGTGTTTTTGGTTTGGTTGATTTGATTATTCAATGTATTAATGTATTGGTTTAGTTTGGATTTATTTTGAGTTAATGTTTTTGATTTGGTTTGATTTGGTTATTTAATATATTAGTTTGAATTTGATTTATTGAAATTATGTTTTGGTTTGGTTGATTTGATTATCAAATGTATTAATGTTTATGTTTATAAGTTTGGATTACTTTGAGTTAATGTTTTGATTTGGGTCTGATTTTGGTTGATTAATATATTAATGTATTGATCGTTGGTGATATTTTGACTTAGTATTTTTTGATTTGATTTGGCTATTAATATATTAATGGCTTTAAGTAATTATTATTAATTTATAATTTTTAAAAAATTGTAAAGTTTAATAACAATAAATTATTCAATTAATGTATTAATGTATTGCTTTGTAATAAATGTTTCCTCTAACAACGTTAATGTATTTTTAACGTTTTTATTTTTTTTAAAATAGTGCAGTAATGCACTTTTTTTAAAATTTAAATTAATTATCTTCAAGAAATACTTTAGCTTTTTTAGAAATACTATATATAAATTGTATTACTATATTCTTCAGTATACTTAGCAAATGTGTTTTGGTAACTGCTTTTAAATATATTATTTATTTTTTTTATGTTCAAAATTTTCTACATTTCAACTAGTTCCACTAATGGGGTTAGTAGTTCTTACTCAAACTTTTTATTTTTGTCTCATTTTTAAAGATTATTAAACATATTTTTGTAGTTGTAAACTATCAAATTAATATATATAGCGGATAGAATTTACCTTAGTGTTGCCACGCAAGATTCTAAATTAATGACATGTGTATGACTTAATTGTTTATTTTTATATTTATTTGTAAATAAATTAATTTATAATTGAATTAAACCGTCTTAACTGTAATTGATTAATATAACGTTAGAAAATTAATAGTGTGTTAATTAACTATGTATATAACTTTTAATGATATAAATAAATTACATAATTTATAAATTTTAATGATATGGGTAGTTATTATTTTATATTAAAAAAGTATAAATTGAAATTATTTGAAATACAATTGATTAATATTAAGTATTAATAATAGATAGTTAAGAATTTATATAATTTTTATCATTTAACTAAGAAGTTATTAATTCCATCGATTTAATAAATAACAAAGATAATTATTTTTTTTAACCATTAACTGTTAAAACACCGATCAAATTAAATTAAGAATTTAAAGTTCACCTTTTCATTTATTTTTAATCTCTATCAAATCAATTATTTTAGTTCAATTCCCCGAACAGCATGCATGCTAATTAATTTAACTTTAATAATAAAAAACACACCTAATTTATTTATTTATTTATCTTTATAATATTTTTTTAATAGCATAATAAAAGAAATTTCATATAAAAATATATATAAATAAAAAATAAATATATATTTTTCTGTGGACTAACCTTTTATGGTCAGATCGAGAAGCGTTGGTGTTGCGCCTCTAGATCAAGAAATAGAAAGAACAACATCAACTTTATGGAGAATCAATAGAAGGCGTCAAAGGAGAGATCAAGGTCCCATCCGGACTAGACACCGAAGTGCTGAAACGCCATGATCCAAGCCAGAAGAGGTAGAGAAAATAGAATCCGAATCTGAAGAGTTAGACGATACAGAACAAATCATGGTCAAAGAAAGAACTTTATGTGTGGCAAGGCCAGCACACCTTAGGCAAATCCCACATCGGTTAAGTACGAGGGGGTGGTCCTGTACATAAGAGGGGTGGTTCCAGAACATGGTTGAGGCCCATGGTAGACGCGTTTTGGGTGGGTTGCAAAGCCTGCCTGAAAACAAATCCGTGAGGGGGACGACGAGACGTAACGCCCCAAAGCGGACAATATTTACCATGGGCTGGGCTGTTACAATTTGGTATCAGAGCCGACCCTTGTTCCTCTGACCGGTGGTGGGGCAAACCTCAGCGAGGACGCTGAGTCCCCAAGGGGGGTGTATGTGGCAAGGCCAGCACACCTTAGGCAAAATCCCACATTCGGTTAAGTACGAAGGGGGTGGTCCTGTACATAAGAGGGGTGGTTCCCAGAACATGGTTTGAGGCCTTTTGGGCGGGTTTAAAGCCTGCCTGAAAACAAAACCGTGAGGGGGTACTCGTACGGGCTGGAGCCCCAAAGCGGACAATATTGACCATGGGCTGGGCTATGACACTGTGAGTTTTTCTCACGTACTTAATCTGCGTTTTTAACTGAATATTATTTTAAAATAATATTTAATTATTAGTTAAGTAATATATATGTGTGCAACAAAAAATTATTAATCAATATGTATATATAGCTTTTTTCCTGATGCTGCCACGAAGGATCTAAACCAGTGATGTGATATGCGTAATGTTTATAATAATTTTGCTTTATATTTATTTGAATTTTATAATAATAACATGTGCTTTAATTATTTATTTTAAATTTATTTAAAACTAAATTAAAATTTTAATTATTTATTGATTGAATTAAATTATATTAAGCATAATTAATTAATATAAGATTAAAAAATTAATCATATACTTAGTAAAAATTTATATAGTTTTTAATGACATAAATAAATTACTTAAATTTATGGATTTTAATAATACAAACGGATATTTTTCATTTATTTTTTAAATTAAAATTTATTAAATATGGTGGAGTTTTTCATACTTAAATGAATTACTTAATTTTGTAATTATCAATTTCTTAAAATAGAGATTCTTATGTGCTTAATTTGATTATATTTTATTTTTTCATTAAAAAATAATTAGATACAAAACCCCTACATCAAGACATTGGTGGCCAATGAGAGCTAAGCTAGACCCGGTTTAGATGCGAGAGATATTAAATGGGATTTTCTAGTTTCCTTTTCAGTTTTCATGGGGGTGATATTGACGATTGAGATTTTAATTTATTTAGATTAAAAAACAAAACTCATATATTTTTTTTTTTTTTTTTTATTAAAAAACAAACTCAATATATTTTTTTTTTTTTTTTTTTGAGAAAGTGAACAATAAAAATTTTCTGATATTTTTTTTTTTTTTTTTGAGAAAGTGAACAATAAAAATTTTCTGAAACCTTAAATAAGAAATAATTATTAACTAATAGAAAGAAACCTTATTAAAAAGGAAATAGAAGTTCTAAACAATTTATTTTTTTGAGAAATCTAAATAAGAAAATATTATCCTAATCAGAAAATCATCTTTCTTTTTAAATAAAGTCCTAAAATTTAAATAATTTATATTTAACAATATTAACGGCTAGAAAACGCATGCATTTATTAGTGCTTATTTAGAAGATAGGTTATATTTCAACTTTTGACAGAGAAAATAATTACTGTATAGGAAGTTTTAAATTTTGACATTTATTACAATATTAAGACAGTAATTTGGAAGCATTGATTTGCAATAAGAAATTTAATATCACACAATAAAGGAAATTAAAAAGAGGGTTTAGCTCTATATAAACACCCCATTCCATACTTAATTGTTACACTCACGCAGCAGAATACGTTTCGACACACAAAAGTTACTGTCAAAGCAGTTCCAAGAATGGCGATTGAAGCAATATTTGGCCTTTCCTTTGTGTTCCTCTTCTTCACTAGTAAATATCCTCCTTTTTATTTCTAAAAATAAAAGAAAAAATCTCATTTTCTTGTTCTTTTTTTAAGTCTTTTTACTCTTAATCTAAAATTTAAAATTAAATCACATAGCTAACATATCTAAAACCTTCTATTTTTGCGAGAAATTGTTGATAGAACTTTCTTTTTTTGCATGCAGATTCTGAAGCAACCACATTCACCATCACAAACAACTGCCCTTACACTATATGGCCAGCAACCCTAACAGGCAGTGGCACTCCACTGTCCTCGACTGGCTTTGAACTGCCCTCTCACGCATCGTTAACAATAACTGCCCTGCCACCATGGAGTGGTCGGGTTTGGGCTCGTACCGGTTGCACTACAGACTCTTCCGGCAAGTTTAGCTGTGCCACCGCGGACTGCGCTTCAGGTCAAGTCCAATGTAATGGTGCCGGCGGAATCCCACCTGGCTCTCTTGCAGAGTTCTATATAGCACCAAACAGTGGAAAAGATTTTTATGATATTAGTCTTGTTGACGGCTTTAACTTGCCTGTTTCGGTAACCCCACAAGGCGGAAATGGCGTTGCAGGGGAGTGTCAGAGCACCAGTTGTTCAGCTGATGTGAATAAAGTTTGTCCACCGGAACTTGCGGATTATGGAGAAGGTGGGGTTATTATTGGTTGCAAGAGTGCATGTGTAGCATTAGCACAACCACAATATTGTTGCACCGGTGAGTTTGGTACGCCGGAAAAGTGTCCACCAACTAGTTATTCTCTGATTTTCAAGAACCAGTGTCCTCAGGCTTATAGTTATCCTTATGATGATAAGACTAGCACATTTACATGCAGTGGTGGAGCTAATTATCTTATCACATTTTGTCCATGATTATTTTGCGGTTTAGATGTCTTTAAATCCTTTTTTTATAAGTTAAAATAAATTTTTTCTCTGTTAATGTACTCTCATATATGTATCTCTCCTATCCTAAATCTTTTAACAAATGAATAAAAATATATACTATTTTGGCTTTGTTATTGAGATCTTTTCTTCCAGAGTTCCATTTAGCACCCATATGAATAGTTAGTAATCTACTTGGATGAGATTCTTGATCGAATGTTAGTTTATTAAAAGCTAGCATTCCTCTTTTGAGAGTATTAAAGTGCTATAGTAGAACTGTAGAAGAGACAGAAAAACAAACGTTATGAGCTAAAAGAAAGAAAAAAAAAAAAAAAAAAAAAAAAAAAAAAAAAAAAAAAAAAAAAAAAAAAAAGAAAAAAAAAAAAAAAAAAAAAAAAAAAAAAAAAAAAAAAAAAAAAAAAAAAACATCGTACTAGAAATCTTTTTTCATCTGATACGAAAAATTTTAATTTTTGCCTGACAGACTGCTCGACAGGAAAAAGTTACTGTTTCCTCAGATTTCTTATTTGTTCTGCTTTTAAACTTAAAAGTTCAAACAATGAATAAATTAGGCAATAAAAATTAAATTACAATCTCTTTAAATACATCATCATAAATTATACTTTCTTTTATAAACTTTTATTTATGTTTTTGACTAATGAATGTTCTTACAGTATTGATTAAAAATACTTAATTCTAAGTTTGAGGTCAAAAGCTTTACAATTTTTTTTTCATACAAATTCATTGGTAAATCATTAGTTTAATTTTATCTAAATTGCAATATATAGATAAATCTTTTCGGTCATTTATTCAAAAGGAATATAGATCATTTATATTTATTTGTTTGTGTTTTTTTTCTCAATACATGATTAGAAATCACATTCTTTTAGTATATGGATTGACTCATACATCGAGTACAAATAAGTCTCTCACTCTTATTAAATATTGAATTTCAATTAGACAAGTCCTATTACATAATAGACAAAGACACCAACTTAAATCCCTATCTCTAAAAAGGAAATAAAAAAACCCCAAAAATAACTAATGGGGGGAAAAATCTCTATCAAAAAGAAAGTAGAAGTCCTAAAAAATATATTAAACTAATTAAACCTACATGCCACGATTTTGTCTACATTAATGGTTTCGTTCGTACAAATAAAATTTAGGATTGTGGAATAAAAAGTAATATTTCCTTTTCAATTAAATAATTTCTATTTGACAAAATTTACGGCTAATGAATGAATATTTATTAGTACTAATTGTGCTAAATTTAAAAGGTAGGTTATTTTTTAAGTTTTGATAGAGGGAATTATTACTACTATAAAGGAAGATTTTAATTTTGGCATCGTAGCTCAACCTTTATTACAATATCAAGACTGATTAATTAGGAAGTATTGATTGACAATATGAAATTTAATATCGCATCCTAATGGTAATTAAAGAAAGTGTCACGCTTTTATAGATTTGCTAACATAATTGCCCTTTATTACCAATTTAAACAGTACGGTTTTACCCTATATAAACACCATATTACTTCAGTTTACATGCACATAACCACACACAAAACTTATATCAAGAAGAGCAATTAATCAAAAGGAGTCTCAAGAATGGCCATTGAAGCAATCTTTGGCCTTTCCTTCGTCTTCTTCTTCACTCGTAAGTTAAGATCCTCCTTTTTATTTCTCTCTCTCACTATATATATATATATATATATATATATATATATATATATATATATATAATCCTCCTTTTTGGTTTGTTTACTTCTTTTTTCTCTGTAATCTTCTTTTTTCAAGCAATGTTTTAAGTGCTTTTACTCTTAATCTAATGTATTTAATAGTAAATAATTACTTTCTGCTGTTTGTTTATTGTGTATTGAATTAGACAGATAATAATAATAATTTATTATATAATTTGTAATTAATAGTTCTTTCTTTTTGCATGCAGATTCTGAAGCAACCACATTCACCATCACAAACAACTGCCCTTACACTATATGGCCAGCAACCCTAACAGGCAGCGGCAATCAATTGTCCTCAACTGGCTTTGAGTTACCCTCTAAAGCATCATTAAACCTAATCCCCACTCCACCATGGAGTGGTCGATTCTGGGTTCGTACTGGTTGCACTGCAGACTCTACTGGCAAGTTCAGTTGTGCTACAGGCGACTGCGCTTCGGGCCAAGTCCAATGTAATGGTGCCGGCGGAAACCCACCTGCCTCTCTTGCAGAGTTTTATATAGCACCCGATAGTGGAAAAGATTTTTACGATATTAGTCTTGTTGACGGCTTTAACTTGCCCATTTCGATAACCCCACAAGGAGGCACTGGCTCTGTGGAGTGTCAGAGCACCGGTTGTTCGGCAAATGTGAATACTGTTTGTCCACAGGAACTTGCAGTTAATGGAGAAGGTGGAGTTATTGGTTGCAAGAGTGCATGTGTAGCATTAGGTCAACCGCAATATTGTTGCACCAGTGAGTATGGTACGCCGGAAAAATGTCCACCAACGAGTTATTCTCTGATTTTCAAGAACCAGTGTCCTCAGGCATACAGTTATCCTTATGATGATAAGACTAGCACGTTTACATGTAGCGGTGGAGCTAATTATCTCATCACATTTTGTCCATATTATTCCGGGAGTGGAAAAAATACTAGTAACAGTAACCCTGAAAATAGGAACCCTGAGAATAGGAAAAGTGCTGGCCATAGTCGCTTTTTAGATTCTTTTTATTTGTTAAAGTACGTTTATTATTTATTGATAATAACTTGTTATCTATTACATTAATATAGCTTAATTAATTAAAAATATTAATCACTTTTTTATCTCTCTTAATTTATTCTCATTTATTTCTTGTCCCATAGTCTATTAAAATATTGTATGCCTTTCCTTTTTTTTTTTTTTTTTTTTTGTCTATTAAAATATTGGGTATGGCCTTTCTTTTTTTTTTTTTTTTTTTGATAGAATTAAAAACTTTTTACTTAAATTTTTTTTTTTTTTTTTTTTGATAGATTAAAACTTTTTTTACTTAAAATTCTTTTTTTTTATTTGTGATTTTCATGGTTACGAACCAAAAAGAACAATGAGTCAATCGTATAATTAATATATGTACACAACAATATTGATTTGCCAAGGAAAATATGCATAACAAAATTCTGTGATTTTGTTTCCAAAAACTAAGTTATTTTTGGAAAATACTTTACAAGAAAATTTTATTGATCTCAATATAAAATATTTTCCTGGTCAAATAAAAACTAAATCATCTTTAAAGAAAATGGATTTCCTTAATTAATAAAAAAAATATTTAATTAATATTTTCAGTCAACGGAAAATCCTTTTTTTTTTAATTATGAGAAATTATTTTATCAATTAATATTTTCCGTTAACTTAATGGTTCGTTATTATTGTAATAAAAACAATTCCATGCAGAAATTAGAAAGGAAAATAAGATTTGAAAATTTATAGACCAGAGATTTCTTTCTCAAATTAAGCCCCAGAGCCCATGGGGTTTCCTTATAATAACCCATCTCAGCTTCTTATTCAACAACTCATCTCTCAGAATTCAAAGCAAAAAAAGATTCAATGGCTAACAAATCTATCTTCCTCACTCTTCTTCTCTTCATACATATCACAGGTTCCTTTTCTGGTCTATGTTTTCCAAATTAGAGAACTTTCTTAACGTTTATTTGATGATTTTGGGTTTAAATTTTTACAGGGGGAATTTCAGAAACAGTCTTCATTTTTTAAAATAACTGCTTGGAAACTCTTTTTCTCGGCACTATTCCATCGGACGGTGTGTTTTATGTTATGGAATACGTACCCGGTGCAAGTATAGAATTCTACATGTCGGATCCATGGTCCGGAAGTACACAGGCAAGAACCAAGTGTACTAATAAGAATATCACCGGTTACTTCCACCGGTTACTTCCATTGTGAAACCGGAGATTGCGGGTCGCGTGAGCGAGATTGCCACGGTACACCACCCGTTTACCCATATACCCAATTCAATTTCAATATCAGCCAAGGCGTAGTGACATATGAATTGAGCTTGATCCACGGGCATAACTTGGGCGTCCGGGTTGAACCGCATGGTGGGATATTGTCGGGTGGTGGAACCAAACCATGCCCGACTGTGGACTGTGTTAAGGACATTGGTAGTGTTTGTCCAGCTCCTCTTATGGCCAAAAATGAAAATGGTGTCTACGTTGGATGTTATAATCCATGTGATGTCTTAAATGATCCAAAATGTTGTCAAGAAAATGAATATTCGAACCAGTTTATGTCCTTTAGCTCTTACTTACCCTGGGGATAATAATCCTCTACTATATCGTTGTGGTGGGGCTTCTAACTATACTATAACCTTCTGTCCTAAGTCATAAGCTTTGAGCAGATTTTCCATTCTAAATATGTTAAAAATACTTGTTTTTACAGAAAAATAAAGAGAAAGAGAAGATTTTAATGGTTTAATCCGATTCTTGTACAATCACTTGTAGGCAATCCGGAGGCTCTGAAGGAAATTTTAATTAAATACTCATCTGAAAAATATTTTAACCTTAGTATACTTATCAACGGTGAGCATTTGATCATTGTAATGTAAAGGATTGATAAAACTAAATTGAATTAATATAAAAAGTTAGTATAAATTTTTAAATAAAAAATTGAAATAAATAAAATATGATTGTTTAACCTTGTCAATTCAATTTTAATTATTTCTGAATAAATTTAAGTTTATTTTTTGGATCTAATAAAATTGGAACCAAACCAAAATAAATTTAGTTTTTTATAAAAACAAAAACCCAATCAAATATATTGAAAATCCAATTGAATATAAATCAAATATATTGAAAATCCAAATTGAATATATATATATATATATATATATATATATAATATATATATATATATAATATAATATTATATATATAATTATAATACAAATATATGCTTATTTTATATTTATGTAAGTTTTTTTTATTTTTTATCTATCGCTTTGGTTAGTATTTTTTAATAATAATAATTTTAACGTCTTGTAGTTTTGAATTTTTTTTTTTATTTTTTTTTTTTTTTGGATGGTAAATAGAGAATACATTCAGCAATGAAGTGTTAGAAAATAGAGCCATTGGCATAAATCATTATTGTTATCAAAAAGTTATTACAAAATATAATTGATAGATAAAATTAAAAGAATTTTCCGCGATTATAAAAGTGGTGATGATTTAGATTTTTTCCATTTATTAAATTGTCTTGATCCTGTTAGTGAATATGGAGACTCAGGTGAACCGATTTTATTTTTGAGCAACTTTAGAAAGAGAATCAAACTGACTGATCCATATTTAAACCGATCGTCTCATACATATTTAATTGATTTGAATCTCCTTTTTGACATTTTAATTATTTTTATCATATAACAATTAATTTAAATTTTAATTATTTAATTAATATATATTATTAATATTTTTTGCGATTCACTAATTCAACCATTAATTCATCGGTTAAACCAACATTCATCTACCCAATTCTCTACCTAGATAAATATCCGGGGCGGATTTAATAACACTTGCCAGAAGTTCCAATGTGCAAGTGCCGAGATGGATTAATGTTTTTTGGAAGCTTGAAAAAATTATATATATATATATATCCAATAGCACCGCAGGAAAGACAGTTATTTTCGTTAAAAAAAACAAAAAAAAAAAAAAAAAAAAAAAAAAAAAAACAGAGCATTCCGATGGAGCGCAGCTCTAGCAGAGTAGTAAAAAAAAAAAAAAAAAAAAAAAACAGAGCATTCCGATGGACGCAGCTCTAGCAGAGTAGTAACAGAGAAATCAAGAAAAAGAGGCACCAAATCTAGCCCATGATTGCGAACCCACAAAACTTTCAGGTCTTCAACGTCTTGTATGCTTCCATTGCATTTCTCGTAATTCAAGAAGAATACATTCTTCCAATTCACTGCAATGTCTAAAATTAAGAAAAGCACAGCAGATAGGCAAAACAGGAAGAAGTTAGACCCAATTGATAACATACCAAATTACCCAAAACAGCAAAGACGCCCTGTACCTAAACGACGCTCTGATTTCTCTTCCTTCTTCTCCTCCTCCGCCTCTTCTATCTCCAATTCAGGTATTTCTGTCTTTGTCTTCGTGTATCTGTTATTAGAATTCTCAATTTCCTTTGCTTATTGCTGAATTGGGGTTTTGCTTGATTAAATTTTTGTTTCTGCGAGAGTGGTATCTAACATCGATTTGTTCTCTATTTCTGCTACCATTGCAAATTTGGAGTTTTAAAAATAGGATTTATTCCCTGGAATTGAGAATTGCCTGTTCTTTTTGACATCTGAGTACTGTTAGGATCCCTTTTCACATTCTTAATTACTTCATATTCTTTTTGATGCAGTATTATATTTTTAAATTATTGATTTCAAATTAGCAAACTGATTATGTAGGTTTCTCTATTTTAAGTTGAATTAGAGAGAGACGGTATCTTGAATGAGATTTTTGTGCTGTTTTGGGGCAATTTTCGATTTGATGGGTTTGAATTGGAAAATCCAATTGAAGGTTGAAGTTTAATGCATTCATAACGACTGTCAGTGGTAAAAGCATTGATAGGAAACTTGACTTGTAAGTTAGCTAGCTTGAATTGCTATAAATTGAATTCATCAATAATGCAGCTGCATTGTCTGTGATTTTTTTGCTATTTGGTTAGTACGTGTAAAGGACTGGGGAAATTTACATGCATCAAGTACAATTTTTTAGTCGGAGAAACATTAGATAGAGAATGAAAGAGTAACTTTTTATGTTATATTATGTTATTCAATAATTAAGTACATCATGGAGGCTTATTGGTTTTCTTGGGTATTGTTGTATAATTGTATTGATGTCCATGCATAATTACCTGCTTGAATTTGCCGCAACATCTTAAAAGAGTATATGGCCTTTTGAAAGTCATGCTGTAATTTTTATGATGAAATATGGATTGAGTTGACAAGATTTGTTTGGACAATTTAATCAATAGGTTCCTCGCAACATGGTTTGTTGAATGCCACTATGGCTGGTTCTGTTGATAATGAGATTGAGGAAAAAGCATTGCTTGAGCTTCCTCTGATTCAATTCAAGAAATCTGCAGATAAAAAATCAAAAATGTTATCTGATTTCTACAGAGCTCCAGTTACAGGATTTGATTCAGTTGCCCAAAATATAAGCATTGACCAATGTGGTGATAGGTTTGTCCTGCACCTATGAATGCTGCTGCCTACAGGTTGACATACATAGTTAATTTTAATCCTTTTGTAATTGAATGGCTATTTTTCTCTTCTTTTAAAATGTCAGCAAGCAGACAAGTGCTACAACAATGGAATCTACTCATGAGAAATCACAAGTTGCAGAAAGCAGTAGTATTTGTGTAGTTCCTGGAAATGTTGTGTGGGCTAAAATGGATCGCGAAGTTTGGTGGCCTGCTGAAGTAGGTTACCTTTAGATAGTTTTTAAAGCAAATCAACTTAATTTCTGGATTCTAAATAAGCTCTGATAAAATTTGAGAGTTTGGGTCCTTTTTTTTTTTTGTGCTAGCTTCTAGTTAAAATATGTTAACTTTTGCAGATTGTTGGAGAAACAGCATCTGTAGTTGATTCAAGAAGTCGAGTCCTTGATGGCCGTGTTCTAGTGCAATTTTATGGGAAGCATAGAAGGTAGGCTTCTTAACTATTTTCTGCTTCGACACGTGACATAAAAGCTTCAAAATTTTCCTTTGCTTTCTATAATATTAGCTCAAATATTGGTCCAATGCTTTTCAGTGCTTGGGTTGATCCAGCCACAGATCTTTCACAGCTTGAGGATGTGAGCATCAACTCTTCCACTACTCTTGTAGATAGTCTTGTCTCATTTAGTTATTTAAGCAGTATCAATCATAAAATAGTTTGAAGCCTATTAGCGCTATTTATTTTTTGTACTATAAACTTATATCTTGCAAGCGAATCAGGATTTTTTTTTTTTTTTTTTTGGGGGGGAGGATTTTTTTTTTTTTTTTTTTTTGGGGGGGGGGGGGGGGGGGGTTTGGGCAGGGGGCGTCTAGACCTCTGCGAGAAGAGTAATCAATAAGGGGGGGGGGGGGTTGGGCAGGGGGCGTCTAGACCTCCTGCATATCATAATTTCAGCACCATGTATGAACATAGGCTGTTTATGGTGTAATTCATACGGAAGTTTGATTTTAAAGAAGTCAAACTATATTAAGTTGAACTATAGTGACCTCTATTTTCAACTTGTCCTTTTCTCTGCTAATCTGCTTGCGGTGCACTTACTTGCATGGTCTTTGCATTTTCAGTGCTTTGAAGAAAGGTGCTGTAACACTATGGACAACTTTCAAGATGCTTTGAAACAAGTAAATGTTGAAGAGTAGTATTTGTTTTGGTAGTAATACAGCTTCTGCAATTTTGCATCTACTAAATTCTGGAGTAATTTTTCTTGTTGAATATAGGCATTGAAAAGGGTGGAAGGTTTAAGTTCACGCGAACAACTCATTGGAAGCCCTGATGGATCTGAACAACCTTACAAGCAAGATCAGTCATCGAGTATGTAGTATTTGGTCGTTCTTTAAGTTTCTTTTTCCTTCAACTATCTTCAAAGGCTAATGAAGCAACATGGGGTTGCACAAAATTAAACTTGGAATATAAAACCTCACCATTTAGATAGCTTCATCCTTATTTTTTCAATAAAAGAAGTAGATTCACATGACAACGGAGTTAAATTGGAATTGAATCTTTTTAATCGGACGGAAGCAATTTCATATTAGCCATTATATGAATTCAGCCTAGGTTTCAGTTAACACTGAATATTTTTGTACTCTAAAAACTATCACTTGATGCTACATTTTCCTGTTTGAACAGATGAACAGACATCATCACTTGCTAGCAAAACAGGAAGTGATTTCCTTAAAACCAGAAAAGGCAAGAGGAAACAAAAGCCTAAAATTTGCTCTAGTGTAAGTTATTTTGAGTTTTCCACCATATTTTTAGCTTTCTAAGTTCTATTGTTAAACCACTTAAATATTGCTGTCTATGCAAATTTTTTGCAGGAAGCTACATTTCCTCCCAAATCGGCCGGAAAAGTCCGCCGTTTCAGGATAATGCGCTACCTTGGCCTCATAGCTCCTGTAGGATCTCCTTTTTGTCTAACTGATGCAAAAACTGCCTCTTAGTACCTCTGAATTTCTTTTTTTTTTTTTATTCTTATAAATGCATGAATAAGGACCATTTATGCTTGTTAGCAGACAATTGGGTCTGCAATTTAGCTATAATTAGGTATGCACTGTAACTTGTAAGCCATCTTTTTCATTATTTTTGTATTGAAGTCGAAGATAGCCAAAAATCTGAACAGAGCAATACTATTATTATGTTTATAAGGTGGAATGCCTTTTGATATTTGACAAATTTCAATACAAAATGAAATTTATTCTTCTAGTTCATCTCCTCAATTATATGGATGTCTACTATTGTTGTTAATGGGATGGAATGATAATAAAAAATTTCAGCTTTTAGCATTTAGAAAATACAAAGCTAAAATCTTCTTATATTTAGTGTGCAGATGAAATCTTATTATCGTATGTTGATGATGGGGAACTTAGAAGAAAAATTGTGGATTCACTATTGCCCTTGGCTACTGAAGAGCTAGCATTTTTTTTCTCACCGAGAAAATAATAAAATATATATTATGTTTGATAAGCGGAAATGAAAAGTTGAAAACTAGTGTCGCCCTTTGAAGAATTTTTCATGATATTAGTGTGGTATTTTATCCAAAATTTTTGTTTGTAACTTGTTATAGAGCTTTGCTCACCCTTTAAAAATGAAGGAAAAAAATTATTATTTTATTTCATCATGGATTTTTAAATATAGCATAGGGAAAGACTTACCTATGCTCAATATGTCGATTCACTTGTACACCAAACTAATCTGACCATACATTGAGAAAATAAGATAAAACAATAAAAAATTTATTTTTTTTGATTGACTTGGTATATTGGATTACCCATAAACTAGGTGTTGACTGTGTTCCACAATTACTTTTAGTACTGATTGGTCAAAATGCTAAAACGTTATTTTTCATAGTATTCGATGACATAACATTTGAACTAGATTTTAGATGTTGAGGTTAACTTTTTACACATGTAACATTTAGCTTTCATAAAACCTACTCAAATAACGTTTCATGAAAAGTTACTTAACTTTATGAAGTTTTATCTATTAGTCTAAATGAATTTTTTGGTTTAATTTTGATTATGATTTTTTTTTAAATTAAATAAAATTAGAAATTTTATTAAGTGGAATTGTATATAAATATGAAAACTATATACATATATGAGATACAAATTAATATGTTTTTATATCTTTATATAAGACGTCTAATAATAAACCACTTATAAAAAAAAAAATACAATCTTGAAAAAACACACAAAGAAAATAATATTTGTGCCATAGGCGATTGCTTGCTCCATTTGGTAGTTATTTATGGCCATTGTTTAACTCCGTGGTCTTTCTATAAATCCAAACTGATTACCTTCAAATTTATTTCTATTGGAAAAGATATATGCATAACTATTTAAATAATAAAAAACGCTAGACAAAATCAAAATAATAATAATAATAACAACAATAATTTAAAACTAAATTTGGAAATAAAATTTTAAAATATAACAACGATAAATTTCAATAATTAAGTGACAATAACTAAAATATGCATACACGTTTGAGGATTATTTATAAAAAAATAAATAAAAAAAGAAAAAAAAATGACAACAGGTAAAAACTCCTGGGTGACGACGAAAGAAAAAAAAAAAAAAAATCTAAAAAAAATAATAAAAAAAGAAAAAAAATGACAACAGGTAAAAACTCCTGGGTGACGACGAAAAGAAAAAAAAAAAAAAAATAACTTTTAAAGTTTTTGGTTTTAGTCTACGAGGGAGAGGGATAGAAGAAAGCGCGGTACTTTCGAGAGTTGAGTTATATATATATATATATATAATAATATATATATATATATATATATATATGATGGTCCTTGGCCCACATGATGGTCCTTGGCCCACATGTATTCTTGACAGCTCATTTTATAATATCCGAATTGTTTAAGGAAGCCCGAAAGCCTAATAAGAATCCTGATAAATAAATAATAATAATAATAGTAATAATAATAATAGATATAATTCGGAAACTTCACAAAAATTCTACGTTCTCTTGGTCCGTCGTAAATAGAGTGCAGTAAGATTGAACTCGTAACCTTCTATAGACGACAAGACCGTGTTCATTTTTATCTATTTTAGTATTTCTGTTTTAATTTTCTAATTAGCTTCACTACAGCAATAAATCCGTTTGCAGAGACGAGAAAATATGGAGCTAAACCTTAGCTGTGCTAAGAAAACCTAATAATAACAAAAAAAAAAAAAAAAAAAAAAAAAAAAAGAGAGCAAAATAATTGAGAATTGAAGTTTCATCTTCCGATTCATCATGGTTCTTCTAGCTCTGGGAAGTTTCAATTCCCGCGGCCAGGTAACTTCAAATTTTTTTCAATTTTCACGTTCTGATCTTTCAATTCCACTCTAGTTTCATTTTGGCATCTAATATGTAGTTGTTTGTACGTTTTTCAGAGGAAAAAAAAAAAAAAAAAAAAAAAAAAAGAAAAAGAAAAAGAGAAGCAAAAATTGAAGAATTGAAGTTTCATCTTCCGATCAATCATGGCTTCTTCTAGCTCTGGAAGTTCAATTCCCGCGCCAGGTAACTTCAAATTTCAATTTCACGTTCTGATCTTCAATTCACTTCTAGTTTCTCATTTGGCATCTAATTATGATTAGTTGTTTGTACGTTTTCAGAGGCAATTCAGGTTCTGGTCTCTTCTCTCGCCGATGAATCCTCCATTGTCCGTGAAGCCTCCATGTCTTCTCTTAAAGACCTCTCCTCACTGTATATTTCACTCTGTCACTGTACATTTTTGCTTTACTATCTCTAATTTTTGAATTTTGTATCTAATAAATGTTTAATTTTAGGAATCCACTTCTGGTTCTTGATTGTTGCTGCACGGTCTCAAGAGGAGGACGTCGAGTAAGTTGTTTTCTACTTATACTATTCCGATTTAATTGTTTGTTTTTTTGTTTTTTCAAACCTGAATCATGGAAATTTAGAATGTAATCTGAAGCTGTTTGTAATTTCTTATAGCAATTTGGAAATTTGGCGGGTGTATTTGAAGTAATGGCCATGGGAGTTCGAGCATTAGCTAAGCAAGATGTTGATCCTGCTTATATGGCAAAGCTTGCAAAGATTGCTACTGCTGAGATGATTTCCTCCAAGGTGCATGTTGTTTCTCTGTACTTTATGATTGCCATTTTCTTTGGTTATTGCCACATGAAACCAGTTCTTCACTTATGATGATGTAGTTGGAGTGCTTGATTTTTGTTTGTTGCTATTTAGATTGCCTAGGCTGATTTACCATAAATTATCCCGTTTCATTCATAAGTTCTTAACTTACAGTTTGTGGGTAAGCACTAATAATATTTTGGTTATTAGGTGAGTATAATCACTAATAAGCATAATTATGTTGTAAGTATGACTCTGTTTAAGTAACCTTCATGAATTATAATAATATAATTAAAAAGGCCAGTAAGTGCATAACAGGCTAAGGACAATACAGGCTGTCTCAGTTTTGATTTTATTTCATAAGAGAAGCATAAATAGCAGTTTGCTGCTCAGTGTTCTCTATTATTAAGAGATGGTTGCGGGAGATTGGGAATGGCTGATTGAACTTTAATAGCTTTTGACAGCTTGTCTTGTGGAAGATAAGTTGTTTCCTGTATCAATCATGTATTAGAATAGGTTGGATATTTTGTTCAACAATTATCATTCATTGTTGGTTTATTGTTACTTTACCATTCATGCCAACTTCACAAGCTCCACACTCCTCTCTTCTACCTCCCTCCCGTTACAAGATGCGGTTGACCTTTTTAAAATTTTTATATTATTAATATTGTCATTTCTGGAGAATTGTTTGCCCATTTGTGCTTATATGAGCAACTATAAGGCCTTCAAAGTTAATCTCGTAAGGTTTAGCAAAATGATCATCTCAGGGGTTATATTCATGTTTTATGGAACTTCGCTTCATTTATTTATTTATTTTTGGCATCTTCTCTTGTTCAATCAGTCATTCATGGAGAAACTTAAGTGAGCTGGTGTTTTCTTTCTTCTTGAGGCAGGAGCTCAATGCTGACTGGCAAAGGGCTGCAGCTGGCCTTCTTGTTTCAATAGGCTTACATTTACCTGACCTGGTAGGTTTCTTGCTATTGGTATTCTTGTTACTCCCTAGGGTGGTACTATATTGCAGAAATTCTTAAGTATAATATGTGAAACTAATACACGTCTCTTAAGGCCAATACCACCTTTTGTTTGCAATTGTTTAATAACATAAATCTAGCGTATAATTGTTGTTTTATTTGATTTGTTTAGTTACTAAACCAGCTCAAATGGCTATTTTTAGCAAGCTGAACTTGATCCATGTTCAAGTAGTTTGGATTGTTCTACAGTTCTAGTGTAATGAGATACATAATGAGTAATGAGATGTGGAAAGTAAAACATTTTCAAGTGAATCTTTACGATTGGAGATGATGTGCTTTGGGCTTTAGTTTTAGCAAAATTGAGAAAGCCATGATTGAGAATGCAGTATCATAATCTATAATCTATAATTCTATACTTATAAGTTATAACTATAATATATATATAAAAGTGGGAATGGGTGGGAGAACAATGAGATTTCAAAAACGCCTCTGCTAAGTTTATGAATTGACAAAAATATCATTAAGGATTTTAATTTGATTGTTTGAAAAAATAAAAGTAATTTAATTTTGATTGGTCATCTTAATTTCCTATTCAAATCTAAATTCTATTGGAAAAAATAAGAAATTATTTATATACTATATAAGGTATATGTTAAATATGGTAAGAATATAATATCTTTAAGGATTTTAATTTTATTAGTTGAAAAAATAAATGTAATTTAATTTTGATTGATGTATTAATTTTCTATTTAAATCTAAAGTATATTGGATAAAATAAGAAATTATATTATATACTAAATAAGGTATGTATTAAATATGGTAAAAATATAATATCTTTAACGATATTAATTTCATTGGTTGAAAAAATAAAGATAATTCAATTTTGATTGATTATATTATACTAGATAAGGTACATATTAAATATAATAAGAATATAATATGTGTAATTGTTATTTCTAATAAATATTTAATTTGATTGGTTATAATTATTTCCTGGAAGTAACTTATTCTACAAAAAATAAATGTAATTTATTATTATTTGTTAAGCAATATATTATAAGCTTTATTGTTTGATGTAGAATAGAAAATAAAACTCAGTAGAAATATATATAAAATATAAGATTAATGATATAACGCGTTATATTAGCAAACCATATAATACAGTGGAAGAATTTATTTCCCTAAAAAAATCAACTAGAAAATTTATTATATGCTCATAGACTTTAGCAAAAAGTTAAAGAAAAGTACCAAAATTATAAATGATGCTCTAAAATAATAATTAATATATTAATTATAATAGCTAATACTGATTTTTCATATTTTAATAATATAGACAGTTTATGGTATTATATTATGTACGAAAAAATTTAAGCTAATTAAATTTATTAGTTATTTTGTAGTAGTTATTTTTGTTGGCTGCTGATACTTTGTCTACTAAAATACTTCATGGCATTGGCAAACTGATTTTTGAACATAACGGAATGGAAATAAAGAATTCATATCCCCAAACTATTTTGTGATTAAGACTTAGCTATTGTTGTTGTTGTATTTGTTCTGATCACCTTGTTTGTATGTATTTCTATAGCAACTCTCATTTTCCCTTTTTCCTCATTTTGTTTTGTATTTTAGGTTTGCACACGGGTGTATTAGTTCATGCGCTACACTACTATCTTAGCTAATATTAATGGTTATATCTTCTTGTAGTTGGTGTCTGTACAACTTTCCTGTTGAGTTTTACTATTTATTATCATTACTTTGCATTTTTCTATCCAACATTTTTACTCTTTTTCTCCCTTTTATCTCATGATGTATTATACATTCTTGATCTCAGACTATTCCTTCCTCCCTCTCCCCCAAGAAAGTAAATAGTTTAATAATTCTTCCTCATCTTGATTTGACAGATGATGGAAGAGATATTTCTACATTTGTCTGGGCCTAGTTCAGCTTCACCAGCTATGGTTCAAACACTTGCAGATTTTGCTTCAGCTGATGGTTAATCAACTATCTTCCTTTCTGTTATGTGTTTTACTTAGCTCCCTGAAAAAGCTTTTGGCAGTTATGTTTGGATGATCAAACTGAAGTATCTGCTGGATGGTTTGATTTGTTGAAGCTTTGCAGTTTACTCCAAGACTGAAAGGTGTGCTTTCACGAGTTTTACCTATCCTTGGAAATGTTCGAGATGCTCATCGGCCAATATTTGCAAATGGTATGTTAAAGTTTTCTTTTGCCACTATAGTTGTATAATTTGTTTGATTTACGGAATATAATTTTTATTGATTTAATCCATTACCATCAACGCATTTAGGTTATGATTCTCCTGGTTTTTGGATTATCAGGAGAATACTGTGGATTCGACTTTTACAATTTCAGCATAAAGCATTAGGCATTCTAAAATTTTTGAACTTACATGACAAAAAATTGCTTCAAATTATGTGGGCCTGTTAGTTTGGGCTCAAGTGAACTCAGTTTATGGTGTTTGTTTTGATATTTAGTTGAAAGAATATGGAACTTGTGAAGTTTATTATGGTTAAATGAATTTTCGAACCACACTTTCAAAGTAATTCAGATTTCTCTCGTGAAAACATCAAAATTTTATTTTCTGTTTCACCTTTTAATTAAGTCATTTTATCTATTTCTCTTGATCCAATTTGAAGAGAAATTAAGCTCAAAGAAGAAAGGTTGTGATTGGTTTGTCACATTTATCAGCTTGCAATGAGTGTTCCAGTCTGCTAGAGTTTTGACTACAAATCTCTGTTGCAGTTCCTTTAGCCGAACTAGAACATATATCTCATACATTCTATTCAGTTGTTTTCATTATAGATCATTTTCAACCTTTCTACTTCTAAATGCTGAACCGCTTATGAGTTATGATACCTTCTATTCTTTTATAGCATTTAAATGCTGGTGTCAGGCTGTATGGCAATATAACATGGATTTCCCGTCGCATTCCCCTCTTGATGCTGGTGTCATGTAAGATCAAAATCCTATCTGTTACTAATTTTCTATATATCCTTACGACTTCTTGTTTGAAGAAAATGTCACTTAGTGCAGGTCTTTCCTAAATTCTGCTTTTGAGCTTTTGTTGAGAGTTTGGGCAACTTCTCGGGATCTTAAGGTATAAAAATGATTTCCCATTCTCCTGTGGCTTCTTTTCATGCCAGAGCTATTCTTCTCCCTTCCCATTCTTTTCAGCTTTACTTTGTTTGCAACAAATAGACTTACACCTTTGCGTTGGAAAAATTACACTTCGTTAATTATCTTTTATAAAATAACTTTATGTAACTGGAGCTGTTCCACTTATGATTGGTCATGTCTCTATGTTTGATAGTTATGCTACATTTATTCTGGTAGAATGCTTTAGGAGTTGAACTGACATACCTTAGCTCTACAGATCCGCACATCTTCTGTGGAAGCATTGGGTCAGATGGTTGGTCTTATCACCCGGACACAGCTAAAGGCAGCTTTACCGAGACTTGTCCCTACTGTATTGGAACTGTGAGTTCAATATTAAACCATTGTTTTTTTAAACTATGATATTTTGCTATAGCGCTGTAATTTTTTTACTACTCTTGCATCGCTATATGAAATGTCCTCATATAAAACACACATTTATAATTGGATATATCCAAATGGGCTTCTGCGATTTATTTTGAGGTTATCTTTTTTTTCTTTGCGGTGTAGGTATAAAAAGGACCAAGATATTGCCCTTCTTGCAACATGTAGTCTTCACAATCTCTTAAATGCCTCGTTACTGTCTGAAACCGGTCCACCATTGCTTGATTTTGAGGTGATATATATATATCTCTTTTATTTATGCTCCCTTTATTGAAATTGTTGTTACTTTTAAAGGTTCTTTTTTTCTTTCTTAAGGGATCATTCATTCTTTTGTATATTATGTTATAATACTTGAAAGTTCCTTAACCTTCATTATCTCTGTTTATTGTTTCCTCTTGAGTGCAATTTTATATAGTTTCGCGAGTGTGAAAATACTGTATTCTTAGAAGTGGAAGTGGACAAAGATTTATGGAATGCTCCAAAATGAAAAGGGGATAAGAATATTAATTTAGTAACTTGAGACAATCCTGAAATTCAGAATTTAAGATTGAAGTATTGATATAGGGAATATAGGTCACAAGCTTGAGTATATGTGGAAGAAAGTTGATAAAATTTATCAGAGGAATACCTTGGCTTTTGCAGTCATGAAAAGTAACCCAGTTGAAAGAGAGCTTTTACAAGGCTGAAAATTCAATCAACCATGCTGTAATCTATTGAGTTTTGGGCTGTAAAGTAACACGTCTATGAAATTGGTATGGCAAAGATGAGAATGCTTATGTGGGTGCTTGGAAATATAAGAAAGGACCAGATGTCATTGGTATGAAGGTGGAAGTTTGAAGAAAAGTTAAGAGGAGATGGGTGATTGGGTTTTTTTCCAGCCTTTTCAGCATATCCAGAATTACATGCATTATTCGAGAAAATTTAGCATATTGAGGTCAAAGGGTTAAGAAGTTGGGAGGTACACTTAAGAAGACATGCAGCAAAGTGGTCAGAAGGCTTTAGTAACATTAGACGTTTATATAGGTGACCAGACCTAAGTTGACCTTACTAGATTTTGGATTCAGGGTAGTTGAACTGAAGTCAGGTAAGTGTGTCTTGGTTTTGAGACCATGTGATGTCTTATTTAATTGCACAAGTACATACTATTGCTTAGTACTTGCGAGAATGTGGGACTTGGCATTTTGTGTGGATTTCGAGGAGTTTGTGGACATTGTAAAAAGAGGTTCTGCAATGTGAGATCATCTGACAGTCAAACTTTTTGACTTTGAAATGTCTTTTTTACATGTTCTGTTTTGGTCAATAACACATTGTTGCTACCCTTTTTACTTGATGAATAATACATTGCTGGTCTCTGAACTGCTATTTTTGCAGGATCTCACAGTTATTCTATCGACACTTCTTCCAGTCATTTGCATCAATAATGATAGCAAAGAGCATTCAGATTTTTCAGTGGGACTGAAAGTGCGTATATCTATTCTTGCACACTAGTCTTTTCTGCACGTTGTTCATTACTTGAATACGTGGAATTCCCTTCTTGTTTTCTTGATTATTTTATCTTTAGTTATTCTTGAATTTTTGTTTTGTTGCAGACCTACAATGAAGTTCAGCGTTGTTTTCTGACTGTTGGCTTGGTGTACCCTGATGATTTGTTTACATTCCTTCTGAATGTGGGTATTGGTTTCATGCTAAAAATAGTATTGAACGATTCAATTACTGCTCATCTAGGACGAACAGTTTGTTATTTCTCCGCTTTATTTTTGACTAAAATGGTTTTAGTATGTTTTATTTCTTTACTGGTTCTAATATCTGACTAATATTGTGATGCTATACACTTTTTCTGTACATTTCTGCTATCAGAAATGCCGATTGAAGGAAGAGTCTTTAACTTTTGGTGCACTATCTGTTCTAAAGCATCTCTTACCAAGGTTTCCCACTTATCTAATTGGTAATTTGAAAGCATATCACTTTGTTGTCCATGCGACTTTACTTGTTTATTTATTTTTTCATGTAGGTCATCTGAAGCTTGGCACAATAAAAGGCCTTTGCTAGTTGAAGCTGTAAAGTCCTTGCTAGATGAGCAAAATTTAGGTGTTAGAAGGGCTTTGTCAGAGGTGCATTCTGGATCACTACTGCTTATGGTTCTACAACTATTCATAACATGCCACTAGTCTATTATTCCTAATTTGTGATTCTGTTGCTTTGGTAGCAGTTGATTGTAGTTATGGCCTCACACTGCTATTTGGTTGGTTCATCTGGGGAATTGTTCATTGAGTACCTTGTACGCCATTGTGCTCTATCAGATCTTGATAGCAATGATCCTGAAAACTCCAAGGTCGGTTCTCACTTTAGTATGCTATTGTGTTTTTTTTTTAATTAAAATAAAAAATGGACGTTATAGCTGACATAATTCCTTAATGTAGATATTAGTTTGGCTTAGTTAACAAATAATTATATATTTGGGTGGATATAATGGTGTAGAAATATTTACTTCTGAAAAATCAAGACCCATACTCAATTTTATATTTTGCCAAACATATGGGGTGGGAGTATTTGTAGTTTACCTTTATGATATGTATTCAATATAGCTACAGGATAGCAGTTTGGTATTAGCCTATCTCTCTCTATATATATCTTTTCTTTTTGTTCTTTTTCCCTCAGGTGAAGTCAGGGAGGTTTTGTCCAATAGAGTTGAGAGCAATCTGTGAAAAAGGCCTTCTTTTGATAACTATTACAATTCCAGAAATGGAGGTACTCAATATTTTCTTTTCTATTTTCATCACATACTGGTGCAGATTTCTCTCCACGTTGGACATTGCTGGAGTTTGCTTTGCAGTCCTATGGCTCGTTCATTCATTCATAACTTCCATGTTTTATCCTTTCTCATTTTCATGCAGCATGTTCTTTGGCCATTTCTGTTGAATATGATTATTCCTCGGATTTATACTGGTGCTGTTGCAACGGTATGTCCTTAATCATCTACATTTCTCTAACTTATCATGCACTGAAATGGTAGGAGTGCTCTTATTTTATTGTTTCTTCTAGTTCTTTAGTTTTTATACTTCTTTTGATTGAATTCAGTCCTGGCTTATCCTTGTTGGCTCGTTCTGGGTGTTTGAATTTGTGTGCTCATTTTGTTTCAAAATTGACGTGGGATTTTGCAATTCTTACAACATATACTGGTATAACAGGTCTGCAGATGCATCTCAGAATTATGCAGACATAGATCTTCTACTATTAGTGGTATGCTCAGTGAGTTCAAAGCTCGTGCTGATAGTCCAAGTCCTGAGGTTGATCTTCGCTATTTGTAGCTTTACTTCCAGTTATCTGAATATGAATGCCAATAGTCTTTTTGGTGTATACCTGTTCAGGAGCTGTTTGCCCGTCTGCTGGTGCTTTTGCATGATCCATTGGCGAGAGAACAGCTGGCAACTCAGATTTTGATGGTATATGCTTTTCTTATCCTTGATTAGAATGGATTATGTAACCAAGGGATGCAGAATTAAATTCTTTGCTGTAATAATATAATATTGGATAAATAAATTCTTCAGAATTGTTAGATTTGTGATTGGTTGGTTATGGCCTAATAAACAACGATGCCCTGAATTTGCAACTTGTTGCAGTTGCATTGTACTTTTAATTTTTTGACAAGCATACCCTAAATAGAACTTAGAGATCAATTACACCCCATAATTGAAATTGAGGGGAAAAAAATTATAATTGATTAATCATTTTAGGGTGCAAAAATCCCCTGAACTTTTCATGTTGTTGCAATTGCCCCCTATTTCAAAAATAGGATGGTGCAATTGCACCCTATTTCAACAATAGGATGTTGCAATTGCAATTAGTTGCAAAGTTCAGGCTATTGTTGCTTATTAGGTTGGTTGGTTACTCAACAGATCTCTCTAAAAACATTGTTAAGGTTTCTTTTTTGTGTAATCTTCACTCCTTACATAGCAAAGAAAAAAGTTGTGTTACCAATACAAATTTAAAAGATTAAAATTGCAATGGTAACGGAATCCAAAAATAACAAAAGGGAAAAAAATTTCAAATGGTTTTGCTATTTAAGCTAACAAAGCCAATTCCTTGCTTATTTTGATATTTCTGTATAAAGAATAACATGCTTGACCTGCTTTTGTGCCTGCAGGTTCTTTGTTATCTGGCACCGCTTTTTCCAAGGAATATTAACTTGTTTTGGCAAGATGAGGTATGCTGTTATGAAAGTCCTTGTTTAGCTTAAGTCCAAAGCTACTTTTATGATAAAAAATGAAATGATATTTGAGAAACTACTTTCCACAAAAAAAAAAAAAAAAAAAAAATTTTTTCAATTGGTCTCTTCTGTACTTTGAAACACAAGTGAAAAAATAATTTTTTTTTTTTTTTTTCTGTTGAATCTAATTGTTTTCTCTATTTGGTAAGCTCTAGATTCCTAAAATGAAGGCATATGTTAGTGACACAGAAGACTTAAAGCAGGATCCTTCATACCAAGAAACCTGGGATGACATGATAATCAATGTAAGATTCCTTACTCTATAACGCACGTTTTTTTTCTTGTTTATCAGGACTGCTTTATCATATAGGGAGGAACATGTTTTGCTTTAGTTTCCTTTTACGTGGTGAAAGTAAAAATGACAACAAAAACCAGAAGATGTAGTGACTGTGACTAACATGTCTCTTCTTTCCGGGTGGCAGTTCCTTGCAGAATCCTTGGATGTGATTCAAGACACTGATTGGGTGATCTCTCTTGGAAATGCTTTCACAAACCAATATGATCTCTATACAACAGATGATGAACATGCTGCACTTCTTCATCGGTATCACTGTTTTAAATATGCTGTTTGATGCTCTAAAATGGCAACAGAATATTTTTTCTTTTCTTCACTCATTTGCATTGACCTTTTAGGAAATTGCAACTTCATATACTTATAAAATTTGTGAATGTTTGTTGAACTGTTTAGCTACCTATGGTTCTGGTAGTACTTTTACCAATTCCAGTCTAGTTGATGCAACTTAAACAGTAATTGTAATGTTATCTCCTCTTCCTTCTGGTTCTTTTACTTGATAAATGCCAAAACTTATCATGTGCCAGGTTACCTTTTATTGATGCTGTAGGTAAGATCATTCTGCTTGATTGAAGACTGTTGCTTTAGCTTTTTCTTTTTCTGTTTTGGTTGAATTTGAGTTTTTCAGTATAGGAGCATAATTTACCTCCCATTCCTTTTGCTTCTTGTATTTTTGAACACCACTCAAAATCTTACTCTATGTAGTACAGAAAAATTCAACAAGCCGGACAAATTTGTAATGCTAGCACAATATTGGATACTTCCAAAACATACATCGGGTCCTGAAATCTGTGGAACTAAAAATCAATGCTGTTCAGGTCAAAAAGTGAATTAGATGCTTTTCTGAATTGGACTACAACTCTTTTATGGTACCATATAAGTAAAGAGATCCTTCCTGGTGAATGCTGTCCTCTATTTTGATGTAGAAATTAGAGTTGCTTCTTGGGAAGAAATATTCTATTGTAACTACCAACAAAGACTTGACGTGCCTTTTGTGAATGTTTTTGTTTGTTGGATCCATGTATTGGTTTCTTGGGTGGTATTTAATTTGAGGTGTTAACTTGAAATTATGGCTGTTAGATAATGCAATTGCTTGCTTGTTGCTGCTCCATAATCTTCCTAAAGATGGCATTTTTGTTAAATGAAAAATCTTGAATTGTTTACGATCTATTTACCGTACCAATCCTTTGTGCTGCAGGTGCCTTGGTATGCTTCTACAGAAAGTTGATAACAGGGCTTATGTCCAAAGTAAGATTGATTGGATGTATAAACATTCTAATATTGCTATTCCTGCCAATAGGCTTGGTTTAGCAAAAGCCATGGGATTGGTACGTTTGATGTTGGCATTTCTCCACAATCTTTGTTCCCAGCATGAGAAACAATAAAAGAAAAAGAAATGCAAATTGTTTTGCCTTGTTTGTAACTTATAGCTTTCTTTTGTTCCAGGTTGCAGCATCCCACTTGGACACAGTGCTGGAAAAGCTGAAAGACATTCTAGCTAATGTCGGGCAAAGTATTTTTCAAAGGTTAATATGACTTTTTAAGGATATGTATGAACATCCTCCCCTAAAAAACCACCCCACCCCAACCACCGTCTGTGATTTATAGTTCAATATTTATCCCTTCTACTTTTTGGTTCTATCCATGATAATCTCTCTATGGGTTCCCTTGCTTGATATCTCTTCCGCTTATGGTGAATTCTAAAAAAGTTGGGATCTTTGATGCTTTCTTAGTTATTAAATATTCAATTTTTGGCGATGTCATGAACAATGTTCATTCAGAATTTCAAAGGCCAAATGATAAAAAAACCCTCAACTTGGACTGATTTTATAAATGATAGCTTGTACTTTATTTTTCATAACAATTGTGGCCTACATATAATTGTCATCTAGATTCAGCTGAAGTAACTATTAGAATTGATAGTGTGGGCCTCCACTATGACATGTAGTGCTGATTGGGAGATCTACTAACAATTATGCAAAAAAACTCAACTCTTTTGTAGTCAAATTTTAACATTGATTGCAACATGAGCAGCTTAGCTAATTAGTATCTTGAGCATAGTAACTCTTTAGAAGTAGGCATTGGTTTGATAATTCAGAAAATGCTTCTTGTAGAAAAGATGGAAATAATGGGGGTGAGCATGCTGTTGGTTCAATTGAAACCGGACCAATATAAACCGAAAAAATCAATTTTTCTACATATATAAAAAAAAGAAACCATACAGAACTGAACTGAACCAGTTTGATAGTTTTGGTTAATTTTATTTTTGGGTTAAATCAGTTTTTTTTTTTATTATTATTTTTTTTCAGGTCTTATATAACAAAACTGAACTAAACTGAACTAAGCAAATGTGAATATAAAGAAATGAGATTGAATTTTTCCTCCCAGATTGGATACTTTTGACATTGTTGCTCCTCAATATTTTCTTATAAAAGCAGGGAGATGAAATATTGTGAAGTTTTTTATGTTGCATTTTATCAAGTGTTAAGAGATGATGATGAGTGATTTATGACTTCAATTTTGCAGATTGTTGTCTTTTTTCTCTGATAGCTATAAAACAGAAGAGTCTGATGATATACATGCTGCATTGGCTCTGATGTATGGATATGCTGCAAGATATGCTCCATCAACAGTTATTGAAGCAAGAATAGATGCACTTGTTGTATGTTTGTTTTTCTCTCTTTATTACTTTGGATCTCTTTCTTGCTCCTTTTCTGAAACGTGCTAATCTATCTTTCTTCTTGAGATACAATTCTAGAGCAGATGGAATTGATTGGTTAATCACATTATTATTTCATTTAATAATTTATCCAAGCTAGAGTCGTCTCTCATATAACATGGCTTTTACTCAAAATTCTACATGAATCAATGAGATTGGTATAGAATTCTGTTTGCTCAATTTAATGTAACTCAATATTTCAATCATAAGATAAATGAATAAAAGGTTTTCTAGAACATTTATTTGATCTGATTCTCCTTAGGTAAGAATGTTAATGGCTTTGGAGGAGATTGGTGAACAAGAGTTGGAGACTAAAATAGATATTGTTTGCTGGTTACCGTAATGATTTTATGCATTTCTTGGGTTTTGTTATTTTTTTCAACATGCAATAAAGATTTGTTTTTGGGGAAACTTTTAAAAGTTTACTCTTGGCAATTTTCTTATGAAAATGGGAATCTTTCAAGCAAACATTTCACTGGAACTTCCTTGTTTGCATAAGTTTTCCTGTGCTGCCTTCGTATCTTGTTTCTGTTCTCTAATAATCTTTTCATGCTTGGATATTGAACTTCCAACTATTTGAAGATGCCAACTAATTTCGAGGAGCAAAATATTCTAACAACTCTACAATGACTTTATAAATGTCGAAAATTTGCGGACATTATATGATGCTATATTATCATGGTTGTGGTCTCTCGTCTCTCTTTTAAGCTTTGATACGTGCATACGTGTGTTGCCATTTTTGCTCTTTTACCAGTTATGTGACATTTTTCTATATGCTCGAAAGGCCAACTCTTTATTGTTCTGGCTTTCAGGGGACTAATATGCTCTCACGGCTTCTTCATGTACGCCACCCTACAGCCAAGCAGGCTGTAATAACTGCTATCGACTTACTAGGTTTGTGCTTTTGCAATTGATTAAAGCTGGTTGTAAAATTTCTCACTTTCAGCACCACATGTTGCATCACTATATTTTATTCAGTACAAATATATAAACATTTCCCCCCTTTTCTCCAGTTTCTGAAGCTTGCAATTTTAGGTCTGTATTTTCACTTTCTAATTTTAGATTAGTCAATGGTAAAAATTTTTACTTACATTGGTGCAAGATTAGTCTCACTAATCTTATGCTGCTTCCTCTTGTGAATTGGCTTGTTTTATGTTTTGCTGGTTAGTATCCTGCAAAGTCTAGAGAAATAATGTAATACTGTAGTGGCAGATGGGTCCAAGTTACCTGTAAGGGTATGAAAGGGGTTATGTTTACCTATGGCTCATTTTTAAACTACTCTTTGCAAATTGTTTGTACAGACAGCTCTAAGAACATCAATGGCGATGCTCATCCTTGTTCATGTCTCGGTTAAGACAGTATTTTTCTTTATTTTTTTTATCTTTCTTCAGGAAATAAAAGTGCGTGCTATGGATTCAAATTATTTTTTTTCCCCTCACAATCACATCCCTCTCTCTCAGAGATCTGAGAAAGTCTAGTGAGTGTAGCCAGAATGTTAAATGAATAAGTGAAGGGTGATGTTAAACGATATTGAGGTGTGTTATCTGTTAAGGACAACAACAAAAAGAATATGTGAGGTGCAGTTTTCTTTATATTAATGAGGTTCTGGCTCCTGCTACTGTAAGCTAACTGGAAAAAGTTGTTGCTTCTTTCCCTTATTGAAAATGCACAGAGAGGCTAATCTTTGAAGGGTTTGATAGGATGTGCTTGGCTTTGCTTTTTCATTCGGGCAACTGCTCCTTTTCATTTGTACCTTTATTGCTTTTAGCTAGAAAACACACACTAGTGATGCAACCAGCAAATCAATTAGAAATTTCTTTGCCAAGTAGTTAGACTATGTGCCATATATGTTTTCACCAATAGCTTCACCTAGTTAAAGTTTCAATCTTGTTGGAAAGTTCTTTGCAGAGAAATCAGATCACATGCGTTTGTCTTTATCAGTGTATTCATCTAGTTACAGTTTCAACTCTCTACTTTATAAAACATTTTAGATTACTTGTCTATGCCTTAAATGCTTAAGTAGCATGAATAGGAGTTTTGTTCAGAGAAAGTGATCAAAATCTGAGTAGTTGTTGGGAGAAGAAAAGGAAGTGGAACTGTCTTTTGATGCCTTCATTTACCAATTTTTTTTTTTTTTTTTTTTTTTTTTTTTTTTTTTACAAGTGTAAAATTGTTTGTTATGATACAGAATATCTTAAGTTGCAACAATGGATTTATCATATGATATGATATGCAATCTTGTGAAGATTATAGCATTATAATGTTGCTGACACAGGTCGGGCTGTCATTAATGCTGCTGAAAACGGTGCATCATTTCCACTGAAAAGAAGAGACCAGTTGCTTGATTATATATTAACTTTGATGGGCAGAGATGATAATGATGGTCTTGGTGATTCCAGTCTTGAACTTCTGCATACCCAGGTCTTTGGAAGAACTGTTTTGGAGTTGCAAAGTTAATGTCTATTATACCATTCCTTATTAGAATTTTTCTTTGACTGCTTTGCTTCTCTTGGCTTTTGCTACAGGCACTTGCTTTAAGTGCATGCACTACCTTGGTCTCTGTGGAGCCAAAGCTGACTATTGAAACTAGAAATCATGTTATGAAGGTAAATTCATGGCTGATGGTGATTGTGTATGATTAATATATTTTATGTTCCATGATCAGTTGTATTAGTCTTGTGAGTTCTGTTTTTTTTTTTTTAATTTTTTTTTTAATTTTTTTAAACAGGCAACGTTAGGGTTCTTTGCTTTGCCAAATGAACCAGTGGAAGTTGTAAATCCGCTCATAGACAACCTTATAACTCTCTTATGTGCAATTCTTCTTACAAGGTATTGTTAAATCACCATTGTTTGAGCTTTTCTTCATTAGTATTCTATGGAACTTTTTTTTACCTTTTTTTCTCTCCAATGAGCATGCTTCAATTGCATTTCATTCCAAAACTAGCCTGATTTCTATGTCACTGGATGTTGTCAAATTTTTACTCCACAGTCCACACAAAACCTCCATGTTAATTAGGGGCTTATGCAAGTGATGGCATATTTTCTTCTGAACAATTGGAAGCAGAACGTCACTGCTCAGATTTGGAGATGGGAATGATTGTTATTAGAAGATATTGCATTCATAAAACTAACTTTCTTATAATGTTTATTTCATTCGGGCATGTGTTTAATTAAATGTGATAGTTTATGTGATGCACATTCATTGGATTAGAATTTGTCGTATTCCTACTCAAACTAGCATTTTGTATAATAATTAGTGGAGAGGATGGAAGAAGTCGAGCAGAGCAGTTACTGCATATTTTGAGACAAATAGATCAGTATGTTTCTTCATCAGTGGAGTGTCAGAGGAGAAGAGGTTGTCTTGCAGCACATGAGATGCTTCTCAAGTTCCGGATGCTTTGTGTCAGTGGATACTGTGCACTTGGTTGCCATGGAAGTTGCACACACAGCAAGCAAATTGATCGCACTCTGCATGGCAATTTTGCCAACTTACCATGTAATTCTATTTCCCAGGAGAGATTAACATCTGCTATCTTTTACTTGATTTACAACATTTCCTTTGTGTGACTACCAGCGGCATTTGTATTGCCAAGTCGAGAATCCCTTTGTTTGGGAGAGAGAGTCATTATGTATCTTCCACGCTGTGCAGACACTAATTCTGAAGTTAGAAAAGTCTCTGCTCAGGTGCGGAATGAATAGTAGTAGATGTTTGTAATGTTGGTTAATACAATCTGGTGAAACACTGATAACGTTTTGAAGGTTTTTGAGTCTGTAGACTTTTCCATATTTGCTTAATAATAGATTGAGCACTTGGTATTTTCTTTTTCAGATTCTTGATCAACTCTTCAGCATCTCTCTTTCACTTCCGAAGCCTTTAGGTTCTAGTTCCAGTGTCGATATAGAATTGGCATACAGTGCTTTATCCTCCCTTGAAGATGTTATAGCCATCTTGAGAAGTGTAAGTTGTATCTGGTCATTCTGTTTTTACATTGCCTCTCTCATTGAAGTGTGAAAATGAATGTGTTATACACAATTTTTCATTTGCCTCTTATTGCAACTTCAGGATGCTTCCATTGATCCATCTGAGGTTTTCAACAGAATTGTGTCATCTGTCTGTATCTTATTGACGAAGAATGAGGTAGAATTTTATTTTCTGGAAGAGTTCAAAAGTTCAAATTATTTTATGGTTTGTTGAAGCGTCATTTTATTTTTTAGTGTTTCTTGCAGCTTGTAGGCACCCTGCAAGGTTGCACAGCAGCTATATGTGATAAGATCAAGCAGTCAGCTGAAGGGGCCATCCAAGCTGTTATTGAGTTTGTTTCAAAGAGGGGGATGGAGTTGAGTGAAACTGATGTTTCAAGGTCTTTTACATAATAAATGAATTTCGACTTGATTCTGTTTCTACATTTGGGTTTTTATCTCGCTCTTTATTTTCCAATTGCTTCCAACCTCTTTTTTCTTTTCCCATCCTTCATGATTAGTTGAGAAATGTCTATGATAGGGAACATAAGAACCCAATCCATAGAATGGAAAATCCATGTTGTGAAAGGGACATGCAATTATTACATTCATGTGCATCATAAAAAATGTACTAACTTTAACATTTTTCCAGAATTGCACCACTTGTATGATTTATATTTAATATCTAACTTTCATTCTGATCGTGAGTTCGCCGGTTCGTCCTTCTCATCTTTCTATAATGGACGCTGTAAATTTGGAAAAAGTATCAAGTAGGATTGTGGACGATGACAAATATTCTGCATGGATTGTGGACAATTAGATTGAGACAGAGTACACCTGCATCTGATAAAGCGTTCCTTTTCTTTTCATTTTTTGAATAATTTTCTTTGGTCTTTAGGATCTGAACTATTTTCTCTATTTACTTCATCTAATTTCATTATTGTGTTAACTTCACATGTCCTTACTTCATATATCATTACTTTGTATGGTCCGTGGGCTTAATGTTTCTTATTGTCTGTATAACACCTACATCTGCAGGATAACCCAATCATTGGTCTCGGCTGTGGTTCATGTAACTGAGAAGCATTTGCGGTTGGAGACTCTTGGAGCTGTATCTTTTTTTTTTGGATTTCATCTTAGTCTATTTAGTGGTGTTAGTTTTTTATTGTTTGCTTCTCATTTGTTGGTTCTGGCTCCTTGATTATCAAAAGATTTCTTCTCTAGCCGAAAATACTAGATCAAAAATTGTCTTTGATGAAGTATTGGCTACTGCTGCAAGGGATATAGTCACAAAGGATATTTCTAGACTACGAGGTGGCTGGCCAATGCAGGAAGCATTTTACGTGAGATTTTACTTTAAGCCACAAGACTAATGTTTTCTCATTATGAGGATTTTATTTATTTTTAATCTATTTTATTTTAAAGGTTCTGTGCTTTAAGACCATTATTCTTCTTCTAAATCAATTTCAAAACTAAAATTTGATTAGTCACTATGGTAAATTCCTTATTTGGAATCTTTTGTAGGCATTTTCTCAACATCCAGTGCTTTCTTTTCAATTCCTGGAGCACCTGATATCTGTCCTTAATCTGACTCCTGTTATTAAGGGTGATTTAGACAGCTCTAGTCATTTTGCTGATGGTCAGATAGGGGATGACATTCTGCAAGCTGCTATGTTTGCTCTCACTGCCTTCTTCAGGTTTGTTTATGGTTGCATTTGTTAGACTTAGCTTCTTTTTATGGTCACCACTTACCTATACAGTCTTTTCTGTAAATACAGAGGTGGTGGAAAAGTTGGAAAGAAAGCCGTTGAGCAAAGCTATGCTTCTGTTCTTGCTGCACTTATACTTCAATTTGGAAGTTGTCATGGTCTAGCTAGTTCTGGTCAGCATGAGCTATTACGGTCAGTGTAATTGATTTATGTCTTTATATTTTCTGGAAAATAAATCTACCATGTACTGTTTGAGTGTCAAAATCAGCGTGGATGTGCATGAAAAATGTTATCCTTTTTTCTGCAGAGCTCTTCTGACTGCATTTCAAGCCTTCTGTGAATGTGTGGGAGATCTTGAAATGGGAAAGGTATGCAAAAGTTTAGACCCTGTTACCAATTTTCACCTGTAGATGAGGATTTCAGATCATTGATTGTATATTGCATGTAGATTTTGGCTAGAGATGGAGAGCAAAACGAAAAGGAGAAGTGGATCAATCTTATTGGAGATTTAGCAGGAAGCATTTCTATAAAGAGACCAAAAGAGGTTTTCATATTTGAAATTCTCATCTTAAGCATTTCTTCTTTCCATTTCTTTTTGCTTTTTCATCATTTTTTTTTTGTTCCTTTTACTTGCTCTAAGAAATACTAAATCTCTATAGATGAAAACTTCAAAAGGTTATATATAAGAGAACTAGGACCGGGTCCAACAAAGTATCAAACAATGACCAGGTGAAAACTTCAAAAGGTGGAAAAGGAAAAAGATTATCAATTTTCTCGAACACATCTTAAGCAACTATCATGTGGAACATAACATGTACCTTGGCTGAAAACATATATGTTCTCAAATACAAAGGTTCAGGGGAATATTCTATAGATTCTATACATACCAGTATTACTGGGACAAAGCATTTTGAAGGAAGATATAAATAAGAGATAAAAGTAGGTTTAAATAAAAAATAACTTGTCCTTGGTCCTTCATGAGGTTATTCTTCTTCTTCTTATTCATCCCTTTTTTTTATTTTTTTTAAGGAAATATACGAGCATCATTAAAGGTTATTCTAGTTTTAAGAAAAGTTAATATGTGATACTTTTGGCATGGATTTCTAGCTGTCATCTAAATTGCTTTGACAGGGTGGCATTATCAAATTACTACACTTGTTGTAGTTTTGGGAAAACATTTGAAATCTCACTGAAGTTTGTACTCTTGGTTGATCAGGTCCAAACTATTTCTCTAATTTTAACTAAATCCTTAGACCGACACCAAAAGTTTCAAAGGGAAGCAGCAGCTGCAGCATTGTCAGAATTTGTTCGCTACAGGTCATATTATATCCTGGACATTTACTTTAGTGTCATATATCTAGCTTTGTGCTACTGTTGCTTCGATATTGTGTGTTTCTGTTGGGTTTATTTTATTAATTGTTCAATGTCACTAAGGAAAGTGATATTCCCCTGGTAAAACAAGCATGATGTACTAGGATTGTCAATTAGTTAAGAAGATACTATTAATGCGATACATTTTTTTTATTGAAAAACTTTGGGAAGAAACTAGACCATTAGTTTTAACCTATATTCAGTTTTTGCAACCTTGGAAGGGTTTTAGTTTCTTGTTATCCCTCTTTGTGAAATCACACAAATCTCTCTCTCCTGCCCTAACTTTTGAATCTTAGTGTTAATGATTTGGTAGAGTGCATATGTGCTAGTTGAAATTCTACACTGAGATTTGGTATGAAAGTTTTAGTAAATGAATTTTTACCATCCATCTTTTTGCATGATTTTTCACCATGAATTTTTTTATTGGTATTGAACTTGAGGTTTGGAGTTCCTAAAGGAGATATCAATTTCCATCAAATTGGCCTTTTAGATCTGTGGATATTTGGTTGCAAACAGCTTCTGGTCTTCTAAGGGAACTGAAAAAATAATGCATAAAAGCTGTATCCTTTTATTTCCTTTTCTAATGAATGCTTGTCTTCCATGCTGTAGTCTCTATTTTTTTTTCTCTCTCTCCTTTTCAATAGAATTTCTTTTTTTATCAAGAAAATAAATAAGTAAGAAAAAACTGTTGTCTTGTTGTTGTCAAACCTGTGGTTTCACTTATGCATTCTTGGTGATGGTGTCTTGCTTGTGCTATGACAATAGAGATGGTTCTTAAGCAAATATGGATTACTTTTTTCCTGATTCTTGAATGTGGTTGTTTTCCATTCACCTTTGATTTTCAGTTCTATAACTAAACTGCGTTTGAAAAAAGGTGGTCTTGCATGTAATGTAAAGTTCAGTAACTCTTGTGTCTTCTCCCTTGTCAAAAGTCAACCTAATTCCTGAACACCAGCCTCCAAATGCGCAAAAAAGAAAAGAATGAATGACCCTCATTTTTGTTTTTGTTTTTTTCTTTTTGGTTGGAATTTTATGCTTTTTGTAGCAGCACACAAATTTTTTGATTGAAGCAATTTATTGTTTTTCTTTCCAAAACAAATATAGGCCAATCCAAACTTTGTTAATTCTTTGTTCTTTGGTCATCAAAACTCTGATTCTCTTTTGGATCACTTAATTATACTAATCTAATTTTTCATTTAAGGGTTTATATCTTACATCTTACTGTTAAATGTTGCATTCTCATATTTTATCTATGATGCAGTGGTGGATTTAGTTCTCTATTGGAGGAGATGGTGGAAGCATTATGTCGACATGTATCAGATGAGTCTCCAACTGTTAGAAGCCTATGTTTAAGAGGGCTAGTACAGGTAAAAATATATTAATATTGATGAAAACTCCAAATATGTCTTTTTGTTGGTTTTCCGATGAGGACAACTGAGATGAAGTCTGGGGCCCCTCCACATTTTTTTCATCCTTTTACTACCTCATTAAGTCTTCAACTACCCCTTCAATTTTTTTTTTTCCATTCCGAAAATAATTTTCATTTACCTCCTCCTTCCACTCCGCTTTCTCCATTTAAATTCTTTTACCCTTATTTTTTTTCCCCTTTACCACCCTTTTAATTTTCATTTTAGCCCCTCTTCCCACATAGCATTGATTTTGGCTCTAGTATTTAATCTGTTTTTGATTTCTATTTTAACTTAATAGTTTATTTTGTAATTTCTTTTTACTTGTTAAATTAGTTGTTTAATATGGTTAATTAAAAATTAAATTATTGATGTCGGACAAAGTTATACTTTATTTTATTTTATTTTTTTGATGGAAAAAAAAAAAAAAAAAGTAATAATATTTTTCATTGTTTTTTTTACTTGAAAGAGCTAACATGGCTGTTGCTTACTTCAGCAGACTTTCTAATCATATTTTTTTGATATTTTTATTTTGGACTTGACAGATACCATCTATTCATATTTATCAATACACACCTCAAACTCTAGGTGTAATAGTAGCATTGCTCGATGATTCAGATGAATCTGTCCAATTGACTGCTGTTTCATGCTTACTGACGGTGATTTGTTCATCATCTCTCTACTTGTCTATTTTCCTGTATTACAAATACTGGGTTCAGTTGGTTTTCTCACTTTGATTTCTTTGACTTCGTCCCATCACCGTGTAGGTGCTTGAATCATCACCCAACGATGCAGTAGAGCCCATTTTGCTTAATCTTTCTGTCCGTCTCCGAAACCTTCAAGTGCGTAAAGCTTTTGGCAGGTTTTCCATTTGATTTATTTGTTGCTTAACCTGTTAACCATTGTGTTGTTATATTGAAAATTGATTTAATCTCATGCTCCTAAATGCTTGCAGTTGAATGAAAGTATGTCATGTGGACATTATCAATAAGATAACAACTTCTAGTATCAGAAAAGCAAAATACAGGAGGGTCCTTTGCCCTCTAAATTATAGTTATGTCTGTGTTTCTCAATAAAGTACTTTCTGATAAAAAATAAGAAGAAAGGAAAAACTGAAATATGGCATGACATATGAACTGCATGCAAGTGTTTATTTTGGGTGCTTGGAATTCTAAAAAGGAAGCCGGAAGTGAGCAAAGAGGCTACTGCTGTTGTGTTGCATAATGGCTACTATTTAAATTGCCTTTCGATGCATTTCCATGGTGGTTTTGTTGTAATTATTATGCTGCATCTTACATGGGCGGTACTTCTTAAAATCAGCTGATTTTAGAGTCACTTTCTTTTTCTTGCAACAGATATGCATGAACACAAAGATACGAGCCACTGCCTTTGCTGCATTTGGGGCACTAAGCAGCTACGGAGTTGGTGCACAGCGGGAAATATTTCTTGAACAGGTTCCTCACTGACTTGACCATATAGAATTATTTGCTCTATAAGATCCCTTGTTTCAACAATATTGAGTTTAGAAATCGATAGCGGTATGTTATGACTTTAGAGTAACATCATTTCTTCGTTATTGTTGATACCTGATATTTATTAAGAAACTGCCAAGTCATTCTTGATTCATTTCAATTATAGCTTTAATTTTCTTCTTTCCTGTTATCAGTGGCAGATCCACAATAGAAAATGGGGGGTCAACTGACCCTCTCTTCTTTTTAAAATTCTTATATATTTATGTGTGTTTCTGGGTTGAATTGACCAGATTTATCTAATTTAATACTTACGTTGACCCCCTAAAAAAAATTTTCTGGATCAGCCACTGCCTGTCAATTGCTTGACGTTCGGCAGATTTTAGTCTTTAGTAATTGAGCTAAAATGAGAAGCAATAAAATATTCTTGTCAGATTTTATACAGTCAACTTATTATAAGCAAAAGGAAAGCAATTTTACATACAGCAATATTACCATTATATATATCAGTGTGTCTTTATTTTTTTTTTTTTTTTTTTTTTACATCTTTTTTAACCTTATTTCTTCAAGTGGAGGTAAACTGTGTTTTTTTTTTTTTATCTCACTCTCTCATTGCCTCAGCATTTCGTATATATTGTGTGAATCACTTTTCACAGATACATGCTGCCACTCCTCGCTTGGTTTTGCACCTTCATGATGATGATATTAGTGTTCGACATGCTTGCCGAGTAAGTAATTACTATCCAATGGGTTTTCTTCTCTGCATAAAGCCTTGGAACCTCTTGACCTATTTAATGTTTAACAACTAGAATACTCTCAAACATATTGCCCCCTTGATGAAGATTGAAGGATTGGCTTCCTTGTCCAACTCACATTGTTGCAATTCTGATCATCGGTATGCATGAATGATCTTTAAAATGCTCAAGTTTCTGAAAGTAGCATAAAGTGATTTTGTGCTTTATGATTAACTCTTCTTTTATTTATTTATTTATTTTTATTTTAATTTTTTTTTTTGCCCTTTAGAAGTGACTATGAGGGCTTTCTAAGAGACTTCACACGGCTGCTCACCCAATATCTTCCTTCTAGAGTTGATTCTTACATGGCATCAACAATTCAGGTTTGTGCTTTTCTGAAAACTCTCTTTTTCTATCGATTTTGAATATTATGCTTACCAACTATATTGTTAATGAACTAAAGTATTTAATCCTTTGCCATTCCTGCTTTATACTCCTGTATGTTCTGTCAGTTTCTTGGGCCTTTTTTTTTTTTTCTAACGACTTTTGGAGGTCATGAACTAAAGTATCATGTTTTCCTTCTTTCCATATTCAAATTTTGCCATCAATGGGTTTATATGGATATAATTCATGATTGTGACATATTTTTGTGGATCGTCTTATTTGTGCCTTTCATTTATTAAAAGTGCAATAAGCATGAGTTCTGAATCATGGTTGCTTACTTTCTTGATGTGGCAGGCTATAGATGCACCTTGGCCAATAATACAGGCCAATGCTATTTACTTGGCAAGCAGCATACTATCACTTTCAGATGATCCGCGTATTTTAGCTCTTTACTATGCACAGGTTCATCTCAAAAATCTTCATCATTCTCGTGTCTTGGCTTGGCTAAAGGAAACATATTGACAGATCTGTTTGTCTTTATTTAGGTGTTTGGAATGTTGGTGGGGAAGATGAATCAGTCAGCAGATGCAGTTGTTAGGGCAACGTGTTCTTCAGCCCTTGGCCTGTTGCTTAGATCAACTAATTCTCTTTCATGGAGAACAGCTCGTCTCGATCGTGATCGAGTTGAATCATCTCGGAGGACCCATGATTCTGATAAGAAGTAGAGATTCTAAGAAATATCAGGATCAGATAAAATGACGGTGCTGATTACCATTATGTTCATTTGTATAGCATGTCGTTATTATTCTGCTAATGATCACAATCCGAGTTCAAAAGCAAAAGCCATGCAGAAGATAAGTGGTTTGTCTTGATTGATGACACGCACGATGAAGCTAGTTTGTGATTACTAGATGGATATTGAAGTTAAAGTTAAATAGCATTTTAAGATGTACAGCTTTTGGTAAATGTAATCGATTCATTTGTTTGATGTAAAGCTGGTTGTTGCAACATTGGAAGCATGCGTCTTTAACCCTTTTCAGGTTGTATAGCTTGTACCATACTGTAAAATTTGTGTCATTCAGCTCGATTTGTTTCAATAGAAAATTAATAAATGTAATCCGAAGTTGAATGTAGTTATATTCAATTGGAATTGAAGTTTTCAGAACATTCTCTATTTGGCTTATTGTTAGTGTTATATTACGGAGTCAGATGCTTCTTTTGCGCCGATGATCCTTAGTTTGGATGGCTTAAGGTGGGGCATCCATCATGGGTTCTATTTCCTCTTCAACATTTTTAACTTTGTGGGTTGTGATTGACAAATATAAGAACTTTGAAAATTCACAATTATTGAAAATATGATGGTATTTGGATAATTTCATAAAATAATGAAATTCTCACTTTCCTTGGTTGATTTCTCACTGAATTAGAGACATTCAAGATCTGCATGAGTTAAAATTTATTTCATTATTTTCGCCTTTTTTTCCAAATATGGAAAAATTTTCTTATGTATTTTTCATAGTTATTTTTCCTTTGTAAAATTACTCCTTCAAAACAAAATATAATGTAATCAAATATAAATTGAATATTACACCATAATATTTGATTAGTTATGATTTATCCCTTGTTTGGTTGGGTGTAAAATAAGGAAGGGTGTAAAATAACAAGTGAAAATTTCTTGGCTTTGCAAAACACCTTGTTTGGGAAGGAGGTAAAATCGTGGGTGGCTGTAATTTATTCTTTATTTTACTTTCTCCAATTTACTCTCCAAAATGGGAGGAAAATAAAACAATAAAAGTGCAAGTAAGCAAAATAAATTTATTTTACTTCCACTCTCTTATTTTTCCTCCAAACCAAACAAAGAGGGTAAAATTAGAAGGTAAAATGAATAGTACTATTTTACTCTTTCACTTTACATTCTCTCATTTTACATCCTCTCCCTATCCAAACAAAGCATGAGTGATGATGGGACGGTGAGGTTACTGAGTTTAAACTATAGTTAAGTCTCTAAAGTAATTATTGAAAAATGGAAAAAAAAAAAAAAAAAAAAAAAAAATATCCAAACAAAGCATTGAGTGATCTGATGGACGGGAGGTTTACTGAGTTTTAAACTATAGTTAAGTCTCTAAAGTAATATTGAAAAATGAAAAAAAAAAAAAAAAAAAAAAAAAAAAGAAAAAAAAAAAAAAAAAAAAAAAAAAAAAGGAGAGTCAGTGGTTTTGGTCCATTTGTTTCCTTTCTTTTCATGCACCAAATATTATTGTCTTTCAATTCGATGTACAAGGACAAATTAGTGTATCCATGAACTGAATACAGACAATTCTTAACTCAAGTTTCGATATGAAACATCATAACCAAAGTTTTGTCCTCTAACAAGGATGGTGGTACTTTTTTAAACAGTCGTCGACTATTTGACATATAAGGACATCATGTCCTACTAGACAATATTAGCACCGTGAAAAAAAAAAAATTAAATTAATAAATAAAAATTAATTATTTTCTTAATTATTGTGTAAAACCTTAAATATTTATATTTAGGAGTATTACAATATTGGATTGGAAGCAGACCTCAAAGTTGACAATGAAAAGCTTTCATTAACTGTTCTTAGAAAACAAAGAAAAGAAAGCTTTCATTAACTTAAGAGAAAAAAAAAACATAGAACATGGGTGGTTTTTAGGACCCTACCAACAGCTAGCATGCATCCTCCTTTGTATACGAATTTAAGTCTCCATTTAATTCCCTGCACCTTGTTGCCTACTATGATATATTAATCATTATGGCCTTTAATAATATCAACCTGAATTGATATTTTTATTGCATGTTGGATATAAAAAAAATTTTTCTTTATTACTTTAGGGGAGTGATATGAGATGAAATGATAAGAATTCATTCTCTTTTAACTAAAGATTTCTTAAAACACTTAAAGTGAGTGCTTTGCTCCTTTTTTGGGTCTGTCTGTCGCGAATTTGGATTAATCAGGCTAATAGATTTTGAATACCGGAGAAAAAAAAAAAAAGCATATGACTGCATTGTCAAAATTTTTTTAATTTGTGTGAATTTTGGGTACCTTGCTAACACTCATCAACGTCCCAACTTGAATTTCACTATTTTAATAGATAAAAATTGAAAGATTTTATTATTTTACAGGATAAATATTTTTGGCTAGGGTGGAAATCATTTATTCTATAATTTCGTGAATTTGATAACTCTAATTTCTACAATTACATGGTACCAGATTCACAATTGATTCGAATGGTTGTACTAAAAAAATAAAGAAAAATAAAACAAGAATGTGAGAGATTAAATATTTTATTTTATATTTTCGTCATTTTCTATGATTTACAATAATATTAGATTCACGTAGGAGATGGTGATTTATATCTTAAAGATGAATTATTATGAAGATCCATTTGAGAAATATGATTCTAATGGATTTTTTTAATAAAATTATACCCTTGCAGTGATTTGTTAAAGTGATGAAATAGTTCTCTTTTTTTTTTTCTTGAGAGGAGTTAATTAGCTATGTATTTCTATTATATATTGCTTAGATAATGTGTAACGGGATTTTTAATCTCACGAAAAAGTAGATTCACATTTATCTATTTCTAAAATAGAATAAAGTCTCTTTAGAATGACTCTGTTCTTACTAGACTGAGTTAATAACTACTTATTTATCGATCGAAGCACCAAGATTTTTGAGGTTGTGGATATATTTCCTTTTGAACAATCTGTAGTGGAGAAAACTCGAATTCGAAATCTCCCACTCCTCACAATCTTCTATAAAATGTGGTCTTATATAGAGCATGCATGCTTGAAAATTATACTAGATAAGAAATGCCTTGAATATATATATATAAGAATATTTACATTGTTTTCAAAAGAATTAATTGATCTTCTTCTCTCATTCTCTCACCATTTATATATATTCTTCCTTAGTCAATTACCCAATTACCATGGCTTCACAGCTCAATAATCAGCTCCATTTTGTTTTGATACCCTTGATGTCTCCTGGCCATCAAATACCTATGATAGACATGGCCAAGCTTTTAGCAATCCATGGAATTGTTGTAACTATTGTAACTACACCTCAAAATGCCATCAATTTCACTTCAACAATTCAACTTTCCGTTCAATCCGGCCTTAAAATCCAACTTCTCCAACTCCAATTTCCGGCAACAGAGTCCGGCTTACCGGCCGGATGTGAAAACATGGACAAGCTTCCCTCTAGAAGCTTGATCAGAAACTTCTTTATTGCTGCAAGTATGCTGCAACAACAATTCGAACGAGTCTTCCACACTTTAAAACCTCGTCCAAGTTGCATAATCTCAGGCAAGAATCTTCCTTGGACGGTGGAAACTGCTCGGAAATTCAAGATTCCGAGAATCTTTTTCGATGCAATGGGGTGTTTTTCCTTTTCATGCTCAAATAAACTTGAAACATCTAGAGTACATGAAAATCTTTCCAAGTTTGAGACTTTTATAGTCCCTGACTTGCCTCATCGAATCGAGTTGAGCCAAGCCAAGCTACCCGAAAGCCTAAGTCCAGACTCGAAAGACTTGAGCGATGTCCGAGACAGTCTTCGAGCTGCTGAAACTATACCAGATGGGATTGTTGTTAATACATTTGAAGAATTAGAGAAAGAATATGTTACAGAATATATCAAAGTTAAAGGCAATAATGTTTGGTGTGTTGGTCCAGTTTCAGCTTCTAATAAGCTAAACCTAGACAGAGCAGAAAGAGGTAAAAAAGCTTCAATAGATGAAACCCATTTGTTAAAATGGCTTGATATGCAGGAACCTGAATCGGTAATCTACGCATGTCTTGGTAGCATTTGCGGGCTAACAAGTTTGCAATTAGTAGAACTAGGGTTAGGCTTAGAAGCATCAAACCAACCATTCATTTGGGTTATAAGAGAAAGTGAAAAATCTGAAGGGATAA